TAGATGGGGTGGGAAGTTGGGTTGTTGCTGATGCAATCACGGTGTTGGGGTGAGGCCTGTGCTCATGCGACCAGACTTTAGTCTTAGTACTGTACAGAAGCGAAGGCTTCCGAGTGGCTGTTGATTGTCTGGTTGACAGTTGTGACAGCTTGGTAGACGTCATGCAGGGCATCAACGTTGGTAATAGCCACTCACAAGCTTGTCCGCAGTACTATACCATGGTGCAGATGTACTGATTGCATCACTGTCCTAAGTTTAGGGGGGTTTGTACATTTTGACAATCATTATATACTTGGAGCCGGATCCCCTGTTCAAGGTCTTAGCGGACTTCAACCTGAGTGGAAGATACTAACTAAGTTCTGCGAGCAGAAACACACGGAGATCTCTGCAATCGTATCGAAGCCGGACGAGATCAGAGACGCGGAAGGCATAGGCCCAAATATTAAAGCTGTCGACCAGAACACATTCAAAGGATAAAAGAATCATGCCAGGATGCTTCATGCCCGTGTACCATTCGAATATCTGCTTCGAGAACGTGCAACCTTGTGACGACCAATCCAGGAGCTGCAAGGGACGACCCTCCCATCTGTGGATAGGCCAGTTCCATTCTTGTGTCAGTGTCAGTGATGCAACCAGCTCTGGTACAGTCAGAAATCTACAGAGCTCGTTACAACTTTACTGGCGATGGCGAAGCTTCGTCACATCCGTTGAAGCTCTGAGGTCGGATATAGGAACCAGATTATGAATTGGGCTGGCCGCTCGAAGGCGACCTAAAGCCTCCTGAAGCGCTGGATGTAGAGGTATCGTGGTGCAGACACAGAGATACAATGCTTTGAGAAAGTCGACATAGGGTGGTGTCGACAAGGCTGAGCGGAATCTGTAGTTACATCAGCATTGAGCGCACGTATTAGATAGCAGGATTGATCAGGCCCCCACGCGCGAGCTGTAGGTGAGTTGTTTCTTCGCACAGATGCAACGGCGAGAGGCTGCGATAATGCAGGGCGTGGAGGTGAGGATAGACTGCAAACCGAGAGGGACTGGTGGAAGCGCGGACTGCGTTGGATTGTTGCGGCTTCGCAACATGTGTGGACGGCAGGTGTTGGGAAGCGCGGGTGGCGCAGTCACCATTGGCGCTTGCAATCGCTCATTCTACATTTGTGTCAGCAGCTGGGCAGAGCGCAATTGAAGCCTTGAAAAGTAGCAAGAGGCATCAAGTAGAAGAGAAGCCAGATTGCAGAGATCGCGGTACTAGCCGAAGCTTCCAAGTAACACATTCAGCATAATTACTACGGCTGCCTTCAGCGTCTTCTTGCGCAAGTCTACTGGTAATAACGTCAAGGCTAAGCTCTACCACTACTTTCAGATCGATCGAAGGTACGCTACCTGTTCTCTGCTCACCTCAAACTCTTCTCCTCGTTGACCCTGCACCGGTCCCACTTGCCTTCCTCGTCCCAGCCGCCTTCTTGCCTGGCTTCCCCTCGACCTCACCCACCAGCTTCTCTGCAGTCCCTACGACCTTATCCTTCGCCTTCTCCGTAGGAGTGCGTCTCTTCTTAACGACCTTAGTCCTCGGCCCGGTAGTGGTAGCTGTGGCCTTGGGCTTCGCGACGCGGCCGGTGGTTGTGCGAGGCTTCGACGTGTTGGCCGTGGTAGCTGTGCGCTTCTTTGGTATGACGGCGTTTTCGATCTGCTGCACGATGCGCGGCTTGCTATTGCCGGTGCTGGCGCGTGTTGAGGCTGGCATGTTGGCTCGTATTGCGCGTCGGTCGGTCAAGCTATGGGAGGCTAGGTCAGGTGTCTTATCTGGCGGCTTAATTGATACTCAGACGCAGAAGCATTTGAAATCAAGAGAGAAGTAGACAATGTCGAAAAGAAACGAGAAGCAGTGACGAGATAAGAAGACACGGGAAAACGACAGCCAACATACTTTTGTGGCAACACCGACGTGTAACGCTCAGAATAACAAGAAAAAACGCGTGAATTGTTGATGAAAACTACAGACTCCACAGTAAGAGGCACGTGCGACTTACTTTGAAGAGTTCGTGCAATGCAAGCAAGCGGAGGATGGACGTGCGACAGGAGCAAAGTCAACGACTGTAGTTGTTGATAATGCGGGAGGAGAGATTGCGACGCGAAGGAGGGGGATCGCACTCGACGACCTACTCAGCTCTCAAGCAAGACGTGTCTCACAACAACACCTACAAACAGGTGACCAGTGATCGATGATCACATGGGTCAGAAACAGCCGTGACTAATTGGGCAGCTGAGATGTTGTGTTGTTCCTGGCAAGGCTAGACTGTTCGGCGCGGGTTCTCCCATTTGTCATCGCGAAGCGGTGCGGTGATAGCTGTGCCTGAAGATCGACGCACGACGGGAGACTCGTGGTGTGCAGTATAGCGCGACTGCGAAGGAGTGTTGCACAAAGAAAAATGTTCCGGACACTTGACGGTCGATGATTGTGGCAGAAGTCAATGTTCAAAACCTGGTACTCTGTAAGCGCTAAATCTGCCAGCTGAGTGACTCACGATAGGATGCGATGCGATAGTGATGTTGGTCATGTTGATTATCCTAACGAGATAACCAACGTTCAATTGCTCTTATTAACTCCCACGGCGCAAACCGCGCTCAAGCCTCATTGTGCGCGTTGACAACGCACTCAGGCCTCATTGTTGAAGCTCCTATCTCTAACGCCGTGCATGGCCCGCACTGGGTGCACTTTCTATCGTGTAGACTCGGTAAAAGCCTCTGGAAACGAAACTGACATGCAAGGAAACTTTTGAAGAGGGCTGCTGATCACAGGGGTATATGCCCTTCCCGACGCCGAAACTTGTTGAAAGAAGAATTGCCGCCTTCTTCAAGATATGCATATCATATCGCAAAATCGTTACTTCTTGACCTTGTGGTTGAAGTTGATTCAAACCATTCGTGTGCAAACATTAAAGTTGTACATTTAGAGCTTAAGCTCCTTGGGCTTCTCCCAGGTGAAGTCCTGGTTGGTGAAGTGACCATTCTTGGCGGTCTGGTTGTAGATGGGGTTGGTGAGGTTCAGCTCCTTAACAATGACACCAGGGCGGAGGTCAAAGTTCTTGTAGATGATCTCAACGAGCTCATCGGAGGACTTGTCTGAGGTGCCGTAGGTCTCGACGAAGAGGGACAGCGGCTCGGCAACACCGATGGCGTAGGAAAGCTGGACCAATGCGCGGCGAGCCAACTTGGCGTTGACAAGCGACTTGGCGATCCAGCGGGCAAGGTAAGCGGCAGAGCGGTCGACCTTGGAGTAGTCCTTTCCGGAGAAAGCACCACCACCATGGGCACCCCAACCACCGTAGGTGTCGACGATGATCTTACGGCCGGTAAGACCGGCGTCACCCTGGGGTCCACCAATGATGAACAGACCAGAGGGCTGGATGTGGTACTTGACGTTGTCGTCAAGGTACTTGGCGGGGATAACCTTCTTGATGATCTTCTCCTTGATCTCCTTGCGGAGCTCCTCAGTGGTGATGTCCTCGCTGTGCTGGGCAGAGACGACAACGGTGTCGACACGGAGAGGAACGACGGCACCACCATCGTGGGCGTACTCAACGGTGACCTGGGTCTTGGTGTCGGGTCGCAGCCAGGGCAGGGAGCCGTTGTTACGGGCCTCAGTCATGGCAGAGTTGAGCTTGTGGGAGAGGATAAGAGTCAAGGGCAGGAGCTCAGGGGTCTCGTCGGTGGCATATCCGAACATGATACCCTGGTCACCAGCACCAAGCTTCTCAAGAGCCTCCTCGTAGTGAAGACCCTGAGCAATGTCGGGCGACTGCTGCTCAATAGCAACGAGAACGTTGCAGGTCTTGTAGTCGAAACCCTTCTCGGAGGAGTCGTAACCGATGTCCTTGATGGCACCACGGATGATCTTCTGGTAGTCAAGGTGGGCCTTGGTGGTGATCTCACCAAACACCATGATCATACCGGTCTTGGTGGCAGTCTCGCAAGCGACCTTGGAGAGCGGGTCCTCCTTGAGGCAGGCATCGAGGATAGCGTCGGAGACCTGATCGCTGTGAACACGTTAGTATCGTGTCCTTTTCGTATTGTTGAGTTTTTGGTGGTGGTTGAGAATGTAGCACGTCATGTACATATTCTTTGACTCCACTGTGGATAGAGAGAGGTGGGACGGTGACATACCAGATCTTGTCGGGGTGACCCTCACCAACAGACTCGGAGGTGAAGAGGAAGGTGTTGCCCTGGACAATGGTAAGAACAACGCGGGGCTTTCACGGGCAATTGCATGAAGTACCTTGCTGGGCGCAGTGCCGTTGGTGCCGTTGGGGACAGTCATTGTGAATAGATGTGAGGTAGCAACAAGATAGTCTAGGACTTGCGACCGCGTGAAATTATGTGAGAGGGCGAGAGGATAGGTGGAGGGAAGGAAGGAGGGGCCAGCGCGACTTTATGAGGGTTGGAGTCGTTTCCAATCTGCCGAAGAAAAACGTGCGTTCCTCCCACCGCAGCCTAAGCCGCCCGCGCTCCGAGTTCGCACTAGTGTAGCACGTCGTAGTGAACGAATCACAAACCATGGCTGCTCCACGATCACCGCCTTCAATACGGCAGAAATTATCAGAGACGAGGTTCCCCTCGATGCCCCACCACTTGATTTCCAGCCAGCCACCTTCCTTTCAGACCGCCTTGGGCAGAAAAGTGGCCGTCTTCCGCAGATAGCGACAGGCTATTCTGGTGACGCAACATACTGATACTTGGGTAACCGCAGCCATGAGTAAGTTCGGCACACTGGTAATGGTAAGGAGCATACTTGACACTCAGGATTTACTAGTATACTCATACAATACAGGGCCCAGCTGGCGCTGGCAAATCCACCTTCTGCACCGGTCTCATACAACACCTTCAGAACAACAAGCGCCCATGCTTCTACGTAAACCTCGACCCTGCCGCCGAAGACTTCGCATTCGAGCCAGACCTCGATATCAAAGACCTGATTAGTCTCGAAGATGTTATGGAAGAGATGAGCCTCGGCCCCAACGGCGGCCTGATATACTGCTTCGAGTTTCTTATGGAGAACCTCGACTTCCTAACAGACCCGCTCGAGGAAGTCACCGAAGACTACCTGATCGTATTCGACATGCCCGGACAAATAGAGCTATATACACACGTACCAATCCTGCCCGACCTCGTCAAGACACTGATGCACGGAAGCTTGAACATCCGCATGTGCGCCGCATACCTCCTCGAAGCAACCTTTGTCGTCGACCGACCCAAATTCTTCTCCGGGACACTATCAGCCATGAGCGCCATGCTTATGCTCGAAATGCCGCACATCAACATCCTCAGCAAGATGGATTTGGTCAAGGGGCAGGTAGCGAAGCGCGAGTTGAAGCGGTTCGTACAAGTCGACGCTGATCTGATCGAGGATGATCCGTCGCGCAAGACGACAGACGAAGAAGACAACAGGAAGTACAGGGATCCTGCGACAACGGAGAGTCTCATGAGCGGCTCAGCGTTCCACAAGCTCAACAAGGCTGTTGCGCAGCTGATTGATGACTTCAGCATGGTCTCGTACCTTAAGCTGGATGTGCAGGATGAGGACAGCTTGGGCGCAGTGCTGAGCTACATCGATGATGCAATACAGTTCCATGAAGCACAAGAGCCCAAGGAGCCTAAGGAAGCAGATATGGACGAGTAAGACGGAGATTTAGACGGGCATTTGCACAGATGGCGTTCAGGCATCGAAATTTTGGCAGCATTGACAGGCGCGTTGGTTACAAGGGGGAGGCGGCACGGAGCTACGATACCCAAATTCAAACATCAACTTCGACAACTCGCGGAATCTGACTTGATGCACACACATCCTTCGCTAACCAACAGGTCAACGAATTCAGCCACTACCGATTAAGTCAGGCCCAACTGGCACTGGGGTCTCCTCCCCCCCTCACTCTCCATTTCACAATACGGCATCCTCACCGGCTCGGCCTTAACCCCCTTCGCCAGCAGCCTTTCCCTCAGATCGCTCAGCCTTGGGCTGGCTTCGATCTGGCTTCTGTTTTGACCTTCAGAGTCTTTTGCACCACTCCACAGCACCTCCCCAACCGCTGCAGCTCTCGGCCAAACCATCTGATCCAAGTTTACCACATCGGTCTGCTCGCCCCACATATGAGCCTCGCCGCCGATGACCAGGTGTTGGAGGTGTTCAGGGATGCCTTCGTAGGGGTCCTTCGAGTAGATGAGCCGCCAGTTGTGGAAGGGCGCGCAGTAATCATCGTACGGCCAGGCGTCTCTTGAAGGGGAGCCGGGGGCGAAGTCGAGCCATTGGCCCTTGCCGCAGTCAAGGTACCAGTACTTGTAGTTCCCAACCAGCGCTTTGTGGCCGGCTTGGACGATGGAGAGGACGGCTTCGTCGCTCTGCCAGCTTTGTACGATCACGTCGGAACCAAGTGTCAGATTCCACGTCAAGAGCATTTCTTCCCACACAACAGGCGTAAGACCTGCTTTCCTCACCCGCTCGTGGTTCGTGGAGACGAAGGCTTGCATCAGCGGCTGCAAGACCTCTGGATCGCTCGACTTGACCGTGTCGTCCAGGGAGTACGCGTTGAGGTTCACTTCGTCGCCGCCGGTGTGGAAGTACGCCGTGTACGGTTTCACTCTTGGCATCAAATCTGAAAACAGCGTATTCAGGAACTTATCCACTGCTGTCGAGTTCAACTTGAGCGTGCCGGAGGGTGGCTCGGCGGCGTACGTATCCCAGTCTGGTTGCTGGTTGTATGCGGCGATGAGGTCGGGGGCAGAGTACCAGATGCTGGATGTATGGCCCGGCATGTCGATCTCGGTGATCAGTTGAATGCCCTGGAGCGCTGCGTGGCGCTGCAAATCTGCAAAGTCGGCGGCGGTGTAAATTAGGTCTGGGCGATACGCTCCTTTGCGGGCGAGATTGGACGATGAGGGAATTTCTAGAGGCCAGGACTGCGAGTCTGTGGCGTGGAGGTGGAGACGGTTCATCTTGGTGTAGGCAGCGGCATCGATTTGACGTTTGATGTCTGGGACGGGGATGAAGTTTCGCGATACGTCCAGGTTGATGCCTCGGTGCTCGAATTTCGGTTCATCCTGGATCGTGATAGGGGCCAGGGGCGTGTAGACATGTTCTCCATCTGAGTGCTGAAAGAAGAGTTGCGTGAAGGTCGTCAAGCCTCGCGCAATACCGACGCTACTGTTCGCGGCCACTGTTGCAACGCCCTCCTCCGTCAAAATGAGGGTGTACGATTCATCCACATCTCCTGCCAGTGCCTTTGCGACGTCTGACAAGTCGGAGGCGAGGAGACAGATGTTGACGTGGTCCACATATCTGGCCTTCTTTCCTCGACTCGGCTCGTCCCAATTCCGCGGGTGAAATTTCCATGGATAAAACCCCTGCTTTAAGATTGTCTTCCAGGCCGATCGAATAGCGTAGTCGATTATGTCCTCGCTGGATACTCCTTCGACTTCTCTTTCGTGATTGTAGTCTTGGAAGGGCTCTGTGTAGTGCCTATGAAGGCTCAAACCTTCGCCAGCGTTGATCTGTGAAAGAGTGTCTGTATTAGAATTGGACGCGAAGAGGAAGGGTGCTTGACCAGTGTGGTAGTCTAAATTTCTTACGCCAGCCTCATACCAGTAGAATGTTACGTTTTTCAATATCCAGAGTACAGCGTCTCCATGCTCGTATGACTTGGGAATCGGCCACAAGGCCAGTGAAGAAGTTATGAGGTATGGTGCAAAGAGGGGAAACTTCATGTTGACGATACACTTGAAAGGAAAGGTGGGAGAAGGGGAGCAGTCAAGTAGTGTACCTGGTCATTGACAAGCAATTACGCGTGATGCAACAGGCGGGATATGGAACGAAGCTGGCGCAAGGAGATGGGATCCGGTAAACCTGATGTGATGCTCCCGCATTCAATTGTTCCTCAGGGCTTTTCGTTCGTGTACCAGTAAGCAGCCTCACTGTTGATACCATTGAGGGGCTCGAAGGTGGTCGAACCATTGTAACGGGAAGCTCGAGGGTCGATGTTGCGGGGTCAATGTGGGGCATCCGCGAGGTCTCCTGGGCGGAGATGCCTTTTGCGAATTTGGCATCTGTGTCCATGGGCAATTTATCAACAAGATCGAGTGCAATTATGTTGGAAGACATCCTGTGTTCGAGGGACACAGAGCACGCACTTGGGATGACGAAGCACGCAGCCGAAGGAAGCGCCCAACGATCAAAACTCTCCGCTTCTGCAGACGTATTGCACAACACCAATTGCTCGGATGCACCTCTCGACTTTGCGCACGAGCTCACAGAACCCAAAGCCGTGCCCAACTTTCTCCACCGCAATCGTGCAAATTTCCCAATGGAGACAAATCCTTCCCGAAGCCACCAACCGTCAACCATCTGATTGGCTCTCGGACCATGGAATTTCAAGAGGTCCGTTAGCACTTTGCTCGCCCGTCCGAGAGTGACCTTGCGCTTCACTCGATCATGCTCCACGCCTTCCCCGCTCTTCGACATCTGCCAGGGCACTTACACGAGCGAATGCTACGCGGCGAATTGGCAACCATGTCGTATTCAGCGCATCTTCCGACCGAACATGGCAGTCCGTGATACCGAGGTGCGCATATGAAGCGTTGGAAGGGCACAAGACCATCTACGTAAGAGTACAATGAGCGGTTGAAGTCGTGTTGGCGAGGCCTTGATTGGATGCCGCGGCACGATAGATGTGCCGATATTGAGTGATGGAACGGTTGACGGAAACGTGAATGGGCCGCAAGAGTTGACTAGACTAGTGCGACACGAGAAAGGTGTATACATATACCCTGTCTTTGCCTCTAGTATTACCCGGACTTCGAAAGACTTTGACATTGCTGAGTGCCGTCGAAGTTGAGGCTTCACACGAGGCCTTCAACATGCCTGCCATGGCCAATATCATACCTGCTCACTTGTCGACACCGTATCTTCTCGGAGGCCTTGTCGTACTATACATCGGCTACAGAATCGCCCTAACAATACACATCGATGCCAAAATCCGCAAACTCGGTGCGCGGGCACCTGTAAGAAAGACATACGTACCTTTAGGGCTGGACATGGCATATGAAGTCATCAGCTACGCACTCAAAGACAAGAGCTACGAGATGTGGATCCAGATGTTTGACAAATGGGCCGGACCAGGACGATACACAATCGAAGCCGGTGTAGGAGAAAGAGTTATCCTGACCGCCGAACCAGAGAATATCAAAGCCATCCTCGCAACCCAGTTCAAAGACTACGGAAAGGGCGAGCAGTTCAGAAAAGACTGGCATGCGTTTCTAGGAAATGGCATCTTCACAACAGACTCCACACTCTGGCACAACTCGCGCCAACTCATCCGTCCCCAGTTCATCAAAGACCGCCTTTCGGATATTGATATCTTCGAAACACACACACAAGTCCTTCTCTCCAAACTCGCTGGCGGCCAACCAATCGATACACTGGATATGATGTTCCGCTACACGCTCGACGCAGCGACACACTTCCTCCTCGGTGCCAGCGTCGACTCCCTGCACCACCCACAAACCAAATTCGCCGACGCATTCTACAACGCGCAGCGCGTACAATCCATCATCGCCCGCGTGGGTCCTCTGAACTGGGCCGTTCCCCGCAAACGGATGCGCTTTTACGACAGCATCAAGACCATCGATGAATTCGTGAGCATGTACATCGACCGCGCCCTTGCCTTATCCACGGAAGAGTTGAATGAGAAGAGCAACCACGACACCGACTACACCTTCCTTCACGCGATCGCAGGCTACACGCGGGACCGGCAGATGCTGCGCGACCAACTCGTGTCCGTGCTGCTCGCCGGCCGCGACACCACAGCCTGCACGTTGACGTGGGCGATATACCACCTCTCACTCTCCCCGTCCATAACCGCAAAGTTACGGCAGGAGATTATCGACACCATCGGGCTGGCAGAGAAACCGACGTACCAGCATCTGAAGGATATGAAATACCTGCAGCACGTGCTGAACGAGACGTTGCGGCTGTATCCTGTGGTGCCGTATAATGTCCGCATGGCGCTCAAGGATACCACGCTGCCGACCGGCGGTGGGCCGAGGGGCGACCAGCCGATTGGGATTCTGGCTGGGACACCGATTGGGTACAGCACGCTGGTGATGCAGCGCAGGGCAGACTTGTATCCGGGGAGTGAGACAGGGTTTGCGGATCCGACGCGGTTTGTGCCTGAGTAAGTCCCCCCCCTTCTTCTTCCCCCAAGAATGCCTACCCCATCCCCTGCCCCGAGCCTCCCCCTCTCTATCCCCAAGCCTCTCATATCAAAACTCTTCGCTTACCTTCTCACAGACGCTGGGACTCCTGGACCCCCCGCAGCTGGACCTACATCCCGTTCAACGGCGGCCCACGGATCTGCATCGGACAGCAGTTCGCGCTCACAGAGATGGGGTATACACTCGTACGCTTGCTGCAGCGGTTTAGCGGGATTGAGAATCTGATGGATGGCGAGCACCCGGGGCTGCATGCAGATATTGTGCTGCAGCCAGCGCGGGAGGTGAGTGTTAGGTTTGTGGAAGGGGTGGGGAAGAGTGGGTAATCTGGTTCCGAGTGAGAGAAAAGGCATGGAGAGATGTGGAGAGATGCGGAGAGAAAAGGAAGAAAAATGGGAAGAAGGGAAAGGGCGCCGATAACTTGATATCTGATGATCAGTGTCTTGATGTTTGATATGATTCATGAGTTCTGAAGAGGAGAGATATAGTACAAAGTATCCAAGATCGTGTCCAAAAGTCGTATCCAAAATATCCCTAGGTATCTGATACCTCGTAGCGAGAGTAAAGAAATGGTATCCAACAAGCCATATCCCGCTGCCGTCATGTTTGCTCCATGAAACATGCATATAGCCAACCTATGCGCCAAACACCCGTAGGTCGTGAAAATCTCATCATCGTAAATGGTCGTCTAAACCTCACCAGCGAGCACACTCCCGCTCCCTACACTACCTCCCAAATCCCAGTAATTCCTCTGACTACTCCCGCTCCTCTTACTCTTCTTCGTGCTCTGACTCGCACAGCTAGAGCTGCTCCTCAGCGTCTTCTGCCTCAGACCAGCCTGGGGATTATAGTGCGTGCGATACATCGTACCCGACTCCCTGCGTTTCGCCTCCCTGGACTGCCCAGAGGACGACGTCGGGAGCCCTCTCTCCGTCGTCCTGCTGACCAAAGGGTGATTTTGGCGGATCATAGCCGCTCGACGCGCGGACGTGCCCTCGTCGGTGGCACATGTGGAGGCAGAGACTCGTCTTGTGGGTGTCGGGGTACTGGAGCGGCGGGATGTGAAGCGCTTCACGAGAAAGTTGAAGATCATCTTGACATCAAGGTCGCGCTCCCAGTATTCTCGCTCTCGGGCGGCATCCTCTGTGGCAGCTCGCGCTGCAGCAGCGGGGTCTGGGTGGGATGTGTCCATTGCGTCGATTTCATCGGGCTCTTCTTCGATACCCCATAACGAGGCCTCGCTATACGTGTGCGACGTCTGTTGGGTTGGGAATGTTGCCGCGAATTGTACCGAAGCGGGTGAGGGGGTGAAGGGCTGCGAGCTAGTCGGGCCTGAGGATGCGAGATTGGTTGCAACATTTGGTGATAAACCTGCATACTCAGGAGTTGTCTGGGCGCGCTGGTACGTGGAGAATGCACCTGGGTGCTCGGAGAGTTGGTGTACTAGGACCCCAAGTTCTTGTGCTACGCGCTCGAGGACTCGTGTCTGCCAGTCCTCTTCAGGGTATGCTGACACATCTGCAACCGCGTCTTGTAACACTCGATCTGCCGGTGAAATCGTTGGAGAGGCCCCTTTTGGTGTCATGGCTTCCTCGGGAAGACTCTCACCAAAGATAACGGAAAGCGTGTCGTTGTCAAGACCGATGAGATCGCGAATGACGCGTGTCGTGAGTCGCTGCCAGAACGACATGTTCTCTGTGCCCTCATCTGACCCTTCGCTCTGTTCACTCGTAACAGTCCGGGCGATTGAGCTCACAGAACTCGTGGTGTCTTGCCGTGCAGTCTCTCTCTGACTGCGGGTAGATGCAGCCATACTCATGCGCCGTCGTCTTCTTGTTTCCCTCTCAATCTCCTCAAGTACAGCTTTGCTCTGCTCCAACCGCCACCTCTCAATACGCTGCCGTCGTTCTTGCTCTTCAGTGACTTCGTCTGTATCATCGAGAATGGTGAAGTGTCGCTGCACACTCGACCGCCGTCTCGCAGCGCGTCTGCGTGAAGAGCGCTCGAACTGCCACATGTGCTCCTGCATGGTAGCGTCTGGCTGAAAGGATCCCAGTCCATCGTGGTTCGGCAGCACTGTGTCGCCGCTCTCTTGTAATCTGCTGGTGGACAGAGCATGTTCAGAGGGCTCGTGGAAGGCATGAAGACCGTCGTCTAGGCTGTCCAGCTCCTCTTCTGTTCCGAGGAATGTGCCGTTGTCGTCATCTTGATCTGAGCGCGCTGCTGTATCGAGCGAGCCAAACTCACTGAAGCGTGACACGCCAGCTGTCCGGGGCGTGCGTTCAGTCGAGGTTGTGTGTGTGCGAGCGGCCGTGGAAGGTGCAGTTGGCGAGAAGAGGACCCATTCTTCTGACTCTTCGAGGCGTCGCTTTAGCTGCTGTGAGCTAGTTGCGACAGCCGCAGCGGGCTCAGGTGCATGCAATTGTCGAGAGGTTCGGGGACGGTGTTGTTGGGCAAATGCCATCGTTTGGTGTGATTAAGGGGTTCGTCGAGGGGTGTGGTCGTGGCGATATAGGAAGGAGCTTCTGACGTGTGAGAAGCAAGCCACGAGGTATATCGGTCAGGTGCGGAGAGGATGAAGGGAGAGGGTGGGTTCTTGGGACAAGGCGACGAATACACGCCCCAGGAGCGAGCAGTGTCTTTGGTTATTGTCGTGAGTACCTCATGCCTCGCTGCGACATTCGGAGCTCGTCGAGCGGTGAATTGAGGGGATAACTGGTGTCCACGGGTAATGATGTTACCACGACGCGCTAAGATAGATCAAGCCACCGGTTTCAGCGGGCTCGCAGGACAAGTGGTCAGGCGCAAGTCGTGGTACAATAAAGGCGCAGATCGTCAAAGAGAAACGGGGACACGCTGCTTCTCTTTGTTGGTTCAAAGCAAGCCAAATCCAACAAAACGCGTAAAAGACACTGGGCGGTGATATGTGTAGTCGACCTGCTGTTGGGCCCGCAGCTGATAAGCTCCCTATCGCGATCACGGCGGGTCGGGATCTGCCTTTGTCGTCAGACCTGCATTGGGATTGCACCACCGCCGCACCGCCGACGTGATTTCTGATCTTGATGCTGAGATGCGCCCACAATTACGACGCAACTTAGTTTGCTTGGCTCAGTAGCTGCGAATGAAGTCTAGCTGCTGTTTGCTTGTTGTTTGGATGAGACACTATCAAAGACGTCATTTGTACGACTGCTTGAGCCTGCACCTGCACCAGCGCTCACATCACAGGAGACCTCAGAACAAGGAGGCCGAGGAGCCCGTGGTTGACCGTAGGAGGGTCATAAGGCTGAGGTTTGGCATGCGGCTGACATGGCATTTGGACGCTGCCAACCGCTTACACAACGGGCCGGCATGCCGTGTAAGCCTCATGCATGATCTGTCAACCGTCCTTTGCTGGGCACTTCGTCAAGCAGACAAAAATGTTGCATCAAGAGCCTCTGGAACACACGCAACGCAACGATGAATCTACGTGAAGTCGACGTCAGCACAGATTACACCACTCTTACGCCCAAGCTCGCCCGCCTAACTTGCCGTCCGCGGCATCACCATGTTGTTTTGACAAACTTCTTCTCAGACTTTTCTTTCTGACAGCGCAGTGGGCAACAGACAGGTCGAGACTGGTGATTTGAGTCAAGCAGTGGGACGATATCGGTGCTTAGTAATATGATGGGTTTGTGCTTGTACGTAGATATCTCAAAGAGTCGCTCCAATCCATTGCCAGACTTCCACGCCGTATATAATCCCATAAACAACCGTCGGCAGGATGAAGAAAGCAACCGCCAACGCCAAACAGACTGAAACGAGCGTAAGAATCATGGATATCGTGGCATGCAACGCCTAAGATGCAGAATCGTACTCAGGTCCAAAGACTTTCTTCGCGTCGTCTTCGGTCATCTGTTCTCCCTCGCCAACATGAGGGTATCTCCTCATCTTTCTTTGACGTTTGCCGTCAAGAGTGTCCTTCAGTATGCAATCTCCATTCCCCTGACAAATCTGCTGGCGGCCCAAGTTCTTGAATCTTGGACCTAGAGGGCCATTGACGTAGTGATATTGGCCTAGGAAGCGGTACTGTCGAGGGTCGCCGAGTGGGTAGAACTTGTCGCCCCAGTGTCCGGCGAAGTAGAAGAAGCCAACGGGTGCTTCAGGGGTCAGGTTCGAGGTTGTGAGGTGGTCGCGCTGATAGTCGTAGGTGTACGAGTACATGTTCATACTGGGATCCCAAAGAGGACCGCGGTCGGTGACGTCGTGCAGGATGCCGCCAGGGAGAACGTAGGGGTGTACGCCTGCTGTAGCATACATGGCGTGAGTGCCGGTTGCGGAGAATCCAACGGGCTACTGACTGTCAGTGTTATTCGTGTTTGCACGCATGTTCGCAACTTACCCTCTTGCCAATCTTCTCTACGGCGTCCCATGTGTATGCTTCACCGAACGCATGCTCGCTGAAGAACACTGCTTTAGGGACACCGTTGTGGAACCGCACGGTCGTGTGTTCCCAATCACCGACGTGATTACCGAAGCGTACGTTGAAAACTGTGTTTCCGAGATTGTAGCTGTAGAAGAAGAACCAGAAGGCGTCTACTACACCGTCGCCCTTGGGCACTACGACGAGCACTGCAGGCGCGTCGCTCCGGCCACCAACTACCTTCTTCCCCTCGAATCGACGGCGATCTTTCATCAGCTCTGGTTGCCAAGTCTCTTCTTCCGGCTCTACAAGTTTATCACCTTCCGGTGTGCTGGTGGGTATCAGGCGTCCTGGCGATGTGAAGTCGGGGCGAATACCTCCCCTATCTTCGGTGTCGCCAATTCCTGCATGCCACCATGCTTCCTTCTTGTAGTTCTGATCACCCTCAGGGTGATTCACTTCTTGGTCTTCATCTTCCCAATCGGCACCATCGTCGCCGTCGCTTGGGACTTCAGGTATGTTGGTGCTTCCTCCTAACCACCTCGGTCGATCCTCTACGTTGTCGTCACTTTGCAAGTATACGAACCGGCCCCATTTGTTCAGCTCATTCAGAGTTCGGACGTTTGGGTGATCGTCGGTGGCTTGAAGCGGGGTGTAGTTGAGGTGAGGCGTGGTATGTATCAAATGGTCGGTCATGTCGCATGGCCAGAAGTTCTCGCCGGAGTAGAGATGGATTAATGGCGCATGCTCCAAAACGTACTGCGGAATCTCAACCACCTCCTTCCCGTCGTGATCTTCTGGCAGTATCCGAGCATCTTCTTTGAAGCTGCCCAGGTCTATCTTCTCTGCATCTTTACCGTCCAGCGGTGTTTGCTTTTTGCCCTTACTTGTCCACCGTAACTTGTTGAGATGTGATATTCCACACATGCCAAACCAGTCGCATGTTTTCCTGTCTATCCATGATTCTGATGATGCAACCCATGCCTTCTCTTCCATTCGCTCCGACCAGGGTGTGATTTTGTCAAAGAGCACATTTTGGTATATCTGCGAGAACGAGAAGAGGCCAAAGAATGTCCCAGCGGCGGCAATGGCGGGTTTTCTGCCCTTCATCTGATCGTCCAATTCTCTCGAGGAGCCACTAGTGCCAGCAATAGACGTGAGAGCCTGCCCGGACGTACGTTCATTCGAAGGATGGTCGTTAGGAATGTCGATAGTAGGTAGGTCGTAGTCGTAAAGAGCGTCCGGCGCAGCGTCTGGTGTCGCAGTGGGGGTCGTCGAAGAATACACTGCTATCGAGGGATATGCAGGGACGTGGATGGAAGATATGGATGACGGCGGGAGCCATGACGGCAGGTGCTCCCCGAGCGGCACTTGCACGCCGCCATGCTGGAAGTACGGAACGATAGGCACTGTGCAGTTAGCACAAGATTCTACGACTCAAACAAGGAAGTCTGGCAGCGAATGATGGACGCCGAAGTTGCCGGCGCTGACAAAAGCGCAGAGAAGGCTGTCAAACTCCGAATGTTCATCGAGTCTGCTGCGTGAATGACTGGCCGAGGAAGCGTGCGGAAGATCGACGCCACCCAGACCTATGGTTGACAGCGATAGCCCCACCAAGGCTTGAAGAAAGTGCAACGAACGCTGCACAGGTGGGAAGCGGCGGAAGCAGCGGAGCCACAAGGATGACATAGAGGTCTGTGGATCGGTGTAGGGCTGCCGGACTTGCGCGGAATGCTACTTACTGGTGAGCTTTGACGTGGCTGTAGTAATGTTCTTGTTATGCGCTCAGTGCCTAGCGAGGACAATTCGATCGAACTGCTGTAGCAGGAAGACACATGAGTGAGCAATGTGGTTTCAAGAGTCGCAGCGGCGGCAAGACGTCAGGGAAGCTGGGGCTGGAACTAAGCAGGGGTCCAGCTGCGGCTCCCCGGAGTGCATGCCCAGCTGCGTGCCACGAGCTTGACCCCCGCCGTTTGCTGGGTATCCAAACGTTGGGTCGCAGAACGTGCATGTCGTCGTCGTCGTTTGTACGGGTAATCGCACGGAAATGGGGCGAACTTACCCATTGAGGATCAGGGTCTGGTGTGGGCTACTGGATGTTGTCTTGCAAGCGTGTCTGCGAAGGTTCAGGTCACCGAGGCACTCCGAGGTCTCGTCGAACGGATGTGGCGGGACTGTTTGCATACTCGCGCACCTCAGACAAAAGTAGCAAGGAGAACGAGTATGGTGATTTGATGAGTGCAGATGCCCTTCATTGAGATATGTTTGTACCTTGTAGATGTAGGCGCTATCACCGTTCAAACCCCAGAGCCAAGCGGCTATCACAGAGGCGTCCAGTTCAGGCGCCGTCAATCTTCGCAATCCGAGTGGAGTTCGATCATCCATGGAGCGCGGACGAGACCTCAAAGAAGACAGCGTGACCCCTCACCTAAACCTTCACAAACTTTGTGTGACTTCCTGTGGCAACCACAGGCCCTGGCTGGTCATCGACGACTTTCCATATCGTAGCCGTCGTGAACGCCAGTGTGCCTCCAACCTTGTCGCACTTGCCCTCGATCTCTACCCAGTCGCCGTCCTTCGCTGAGCTCACATATGAGATGTGAATGTCCGTCGACACGCCAGCCTTGTCGCGGTTGTCCCATGCTGCAATTGCAATCCCGCCGACCCAGTCAATGAGTGTAGCAGACACTGACCCGTGAATGCCGCCGTGTGTGTTGACGTGGTTCTTAGTCAGCAAGAGCCGCGCTCGCACGACACCTTTCGAAGCATAGATCAGCTTGATGTCGTCAAGCAGAAACTGGTAGACGGGGCTGCGAGGCTTCCTGGCTTCCCAGAACTTTTGAACGTGGGCGAGGGTATCGGGATTGTTGGGTGCCTGTGTGGAAGCCATGATGCAGGTGGGTGTTGAAGAATTTGGAGCTGGAGAGGGATGGCAATTTTAGCAATCGCAGATCAATTTACCAATCGGAGGTGGGGCATCGTTGCTCCGTTGGACAGCGGTGAAACGAGGAGTACCCCCAGAGCCCTCCGAGCGAATGCAGACGACACTTGTGCTGTTCCTTGCTGATAGACAGTCATTCTCGCGCGTCGCTGGAGTCCCTTGAGTTCCTTCGAGCTCCATGCATGCGCTCACGCAGCCACCATGAGCGACCCCGTTGCAGCGACCGCGAATGCGCCAGATACGACCGCCGGTGAACCGCTCAACGATCTTGTAGAGGAAAAGGCAGCAGACACAGCGTCTCAGAAAGAAGCACACCAGACGCCGCCGTTCGATGTGAAGGCCCTTACAGACCGCGCACTGCAGTTCTTGGCCACAGCCAGCAACGAGACGCTCGGAGCGTGTCTGGTGGGCCTTGGTGCAGGGACATACCTGATACTTGGCCGAGTCGGCCTCGTGCTCATCGGCGTCGTCGGTGGAGTCGTGCTTCATGCGACATGGGAGGGGCAGTCACAAAGTGGCGAGGATGCAGAGCACAAGGGCAAGAGCAGCGAAGCCAGGAAACGGGAGCTGGGCGCGCACGTAGCGAACAGGATTCTGGATTGGAGAGACAAGAAGGAAAGGCAAGATGGCGATGCAGACGGCTCAGACGGCTCAGACCTGAGCTTGAAGCTCTACTCGGGCATGAATCTCGACTACTCACAGTTCAAGCCAGAGACAGCTGCAGCGTTGACAGAGCTGACAGACGCTGTCATTCGGGACTATGTCAAGTATGTCCTCGGTACGCTACAGATAAACCTATCTAATGCAATACAGATGGTGGTATTCACCCATTCTGCCTGCCGAAGATGCTTTCCCCAGCTCGTGCCGCCAAACCCTCACTGCCTTCATGCTCTCTGTGTCAGCACATCTCTCCCGCAAGCGACCTGCCGACAACTTCGTCGACTTCGTAACGCGCTCATCTTCCTTCATCATCATCCTCCTGCAGGAGCTGTCAGCTGCCATTATAGCTTCTCCAGGCGACGCACCGAGCGAAGCTGTCGACATATACCTCAAGATGAAGCGGGACAGCACGCTCGCAAACATCCTCGATGCCGAGTACCAGACACGGCAGTTCAGTGTCGCCGCCGAAGACATTCTCCAAAACTATCTAGAGCACAAGACGTACAACTGCATGCCAGCAAGGATATTTTTGCACCAGATCCTTGCCAAGGTCATCCTCGAGATGATCGTAGTGAGCTGCTCTAAGCCGGAGTTCATCAACGGTTGGATCGTATACCTCCTCGAGGACGGCGAGCCTGAGCTTATGAATGCCATCGACGCGGGCGTCGAGGAGTCGTCTGGGCAACTGCAGAATGTCAAGAACAATATCGAGAAGACTACGGGAGAGACTATATCGCCAGAGCGCAGAGAGCACGGGCGGCGCGTTAGCAGGGCCCAGGACGCGATGGACGAAGCTATGCAGGAAGCACAGCGTCTGAGTCGATTGATAGCTAAGGAAGACGCGAAACGCCTGAGGAGCCTGGACGAGTCGACGTCCTCCTTGACTGACGATCATTCGGCAAGCACCACGCAAGGAATTGTGACCCCAACATCATCGCAGAGCGAGGCTACAACTGAGGGCGAGGCGACAGGCTTAGGCATCTCCGCCCCGCCGGCGCAACCGCCCTCGCAAGCCGCACCAGCATCACCACCAGAAGCTACTGAGGAGTCGAAGAAGGCATTTACTAGCTTCGATCAGCTGCTAGGCAACAACCCGCCAACCGCACTCCTCGACGATGACGATCGACCAGTGCCAGCAAGGCCACCTCCTCTTACACTTTACAACAGCACGATATCCATCTTTGACGACAGCATGCCAGGGGAGAAGGGCGTTATAAAGAATAAACCCAACGCAGAGTACTTGATTCAAATCGAACCCTCTTCTCACCACCACTCTGGATGGATGACCGCTCGGAAGTACACCGAGTTCGAGACGTTGCACGAGGTTATTCGTCGCATTGCAGCTATCACAGGCACGACTGGGTTTATTGAAGCTCATGCCGAATTACCTAATTGGAAGGGCCACTCTAAGCCTTCTCTTCGAGGCGAGCTCGAGCGCTACTTGAACGATGCAGTCAAGTACAAGCCACTGGCCGAAAGCGAAGGTATGAAGCGTTTCCTTGAGAAGGAGCTCGGAACTGGCAAGACACCAGGTGGCGGCTTCCCTGGTATTGGCTGGGCGGGCCAGACCTTCGACACCATGGGGAAAGGCATAGGGTCTACGTTCGATGTACTATCCAAGGCGCCAAAGGAAGTCGCTGGAGGAGGCAAAGCTCTCTTTGGCGGTGTCACTGGCGTCCTGGGCAGCGTTGCACCCTTCGGGGCAAAGAAGAACCGCGAATCTGTCACAAACGTCACCAGCACCAATACACCAAGCGCTATCAGCAGCACCGCCAATCTCTCCCGAACCTCCACGAACACAGCTGAGCCTCCGAAGACCCGTCACAGCCGAGCCGAGTCCATCGTCCCCGAGCTTCCCACACACATCCGTTCAGAAAGTACTTTATCACTGGCTTCGAAACGCACATCGATGGAGTCAATTCGCAACCCCAACTCGCCGGTTATCGACCAGCAACCCCAACGCGAAGCTCAGATGGAGCGCCGACCTTCCTACAATCCTGACGGTGATGGCAAGCGCTCTGGCCGCTCCTCCCGCTATGGATCGAGGGCCAACAGTCGCGCTCCAAGCCCGAGGAGAAGCATAGACCTCAGCCCTGCCCTAGGCGGCGACCAGATTATGAACCTACCGCCCATGCCCAGTGAAATCACGGATGACTACAGTAGCACCCCGCCTCGCACATCTCTCGATCCATTCCACGCCCGTAATGTCTCTCGGACGTCTTTGAGCTCGATGGCGCCATCGAATAACGACGCCGCGTCGCCCGTACCTCCCCTACCACGTCGCCCATCAGCAACCTCAGTGACCGCCTCCACCACAACGCCTCCAGCCAAACCCACAAAGCAACCCAAAACGCACACGCCCCTTTCCGAGCCCGAAACAACCGTCCTAATCGAACTCTTCTTCGCGGTAATAAACGAACTCTACACCCTCTCCTCAGCTTGGACACTCCGGCGCACGCTCTTAAACGCAGCAAAAACCTTCCTCCTGCGCCCCGGAAACCCCCAACTCGCATCCATTACCACGCTCTTCCAAACAACACTCGACTCCACAACCTCTGACGAAGGTCTAGCACGCCAGCTGCGGAAGATCAGAGAGAACGCCTTGCCGACAGAGGAGGAATTGAAGACGTGGCCGAAGGGGGCGAGTGAGGAGGAGAAGGAGAGATTGAGGGTTAAGGCGAGGAAGTTGTTGGTGGAGAGGGGGATGCCCAGTGCCTTGACGAGTGTTATGGGGCAGGCGGCGAGTGGGGAGGCGTTGGGGAAGGTGTTTGATTGTTTGCAGGAGGAGAGGGTTGCGAGGGGGGTTATGTTTGGGTTGATGTTGCAGGGGTTGAGGGCCGTCACGCAGTGATACGGATGTAATGATTATGTACGATACGAACAAACGATGATGATTATGGCACACAAGGCGAGATCTAGAATGTTTCGTGCCAGCGCCCATTCACTGGCTGGATGTCTATGTCTATCAGCTGACTCTTGAACCCATCGGCGCGCTCTGTCACTGTAAAAAGCGGTCTGGCTTCCGGCTCTCTATCCTCTTTACCCCACAACCCCCCAATCCCATCATACCAAAATTGGAATTTATCAAAAACATGTGCCCAAAAAGCATTCCAACAGACGTGATGCCTTCGTCGCTGCAAAGCAAGTCAATGTTACCAAAAAGCCGGTCCATCGGGCACATGGCAAGTGTCTCCCGAACCCTCCTGATGTTCTTTGCCTTTCAGAGGTTTTCAGATCTTGAAGCAAAACCAGACATCCTGATATCTTTCTGCTCCTGGAACCTTTCGATCAGAAACCGTATCGCGACTTCGTTGTGGCTTTCCAAGTCGATTAGAATATCCTGAAATACAAATACATGCTTATTCCTTTGTTCCGGTGCTGGTTCTTCCAAATTTTTCTCAAATGACAAGGGGATTGCTCTACGTTCTTCTTTCCACCGGACTGTCATATCAAAGACACGAATTGCCAAACCACATGGTCGTGTGACGCTTTCTGATTACACTGCAGCTATATGTACCTGTCATTGCACTTCGACAGTCACCATTAACCGCACTCATCTCTTCATGCCCTTAAAACAATACTGCAGACAAGTCGTGTCTCTTCTATCCTCTTGCTGCAGATTGGTTCCATCCAAAGTGTGCCTCGGTCTGTTTTATGTTCTTGCCCTTGCTAAGGCAGAAAGCCACTGAGCATTCTGAGCAATTTGAAATGCATCCACAATCAAAGCTCCTCGTGAGATGCTGTATGACTTTCTCTGCTCCTCCAACAAAAGTGCTCCCGTCAAACCCATGTTTTCCCGTCCAGCAAAAGTCGATGACTCAAGACACAACCTCTCTGCAACGTTAATACACGCAAACCAAAAAAGATTTATTCAACAAAAATGTCCATAGAATCTGAAAGCTTGGATGGTATGCACGTCGCCTCGACAGTGAGGTACGAAAGGTCTCTTGTTGCACCTGACTCTCTCTCCTAACAATATTCCCAAGTATCAAATTTAAGAATTCCAAGTCTGACGACTGATGTGTTTTTTGAGTTCAGAATCATGAGAGCACGGCCTCATGTCTGTGTGCCTCTTTCTTTCCTCCACCAACTGTTAAGTCGTCAAGATCGATGTCTGCTCTGTCGCTTTGGGCTTACAAGATTCAGTGCAATTGTCGATATCATATACATCAAGACTTACGTCATCCACGCAAAAAAAAAAAAAAACTCCCCCAAGTTGTATCGAAACGAGCTAAATGCTTGTATCATAATTCTGTTGCTGGGCCTGTGGTATTGATACGCACAACATCTGTATTCGATCGCTCTTTTCCATAGATTCCTAACACTACACTGGCATCTCTCACCTCTGAAAGAGAGATGAATCCATGGCATGGCTTCCACTTCAGAACTGGCTGGGGACTTCTCATGCCTTTTTTGCCTACAAACGACCCAGGCTGGTGGATATACCTGCCTGAGATCAAATTGATCAAAAATCTACAATGCTCTCCGCAATGTCCTGTCTCCTTCTGTCTAGGATCGCTCTCAGGAACTTTGATTATAGGTCAAGATTTCTGCTCTGATGTTCCTCTCTCTTGCCCCAGAAAGGTGAAGGACTATGCACCACAAAGTGCAACGTCGAGACTTAGATGTGTTTGTTCCTGCTGTCCTTCTCTGAAGCCGAGATTGTCCAATCATGGACCCAAACTAGAACTTCAAACATTGATGCTCTTTCCTCTAGAACGAGACGAAAAATGGCCGAATGTTTCTGTAACGTTGGATCCCGAAAGCGTAGGAACACGGACTGCTGTTTGCGGACCGCTTCAACTATTGTGCAAAAGTATTCAATGTGGTACTAAGCTCCAATGTCTCTTCTCGCTTGTCTCTTGTTGCTTACTGAGGTGCTGGAAGGGTTTTTCGTTTTTGCTTTTTGCCAAAAGAGATTGCTCAAGCATCGCGAGGACGCTATGAGCGCAAAAAATATCTCCGCTCCCAGAATCGAACTAGGGACCTTTCGATAACAATGAATATTACAGTCGAACGTGATAAACCAACTACACCAAGCGGAGTTATGCGACTGAATGCCGCGCTCGTGTCTGATTTGACTGATGAAGAAAAGTTAAAATATAATGTTTATATTGGAATTAGAAATGTCGCGCAAGGGTGCTAATGTCCGATGAGAAACTACAATTTCAGTGGATCGAAAGTTTCCTCGGAAGCGCTTGGCATCTGACTGTGCTAGTTCTCCGTTTACCGAGTTAGCTTCCAATCACATCCCACTCACCTCACCAACTTCACCACCTGCACAATGCCCGACACAGCCGACGAATGGGAGTACGAGTATGACGATGTCGAGACAGAGGACTTCTACATCCCAATCGACTTGTCGAACGTCCCCAAAGGCCAGAAACATGTCGACAGCGAGCGCCGCACAGGTCATCCCACGCTCTTGAAGAGCAGACTACGCGCGCTCAACGCGCAGCGCGGCCAGCAACAGGATGCGCAAGTAGTCGACAGCACCAACGGGCAGGAGCCAGAAACTTTGGGCGAAGCACAGATCATTGGCTTGCATACCGAAAACCCGCTCGTTATGTATAACGGCCAATTGCTGAGTCTTCAATGGGCGTCGACGATTGGGACGGACATGTTCTTCGCAAAGCCGGACACGGATGCAGACTCTGAGGAGAAGCCGCTTCGTTCGCTGCCAAATGTGGATCTGCTGGCTATGAGCTCTGCAAAATTAGTTGCGAAAGTCGGGCGTCTGCGGCCTCGAGATGATCTTTTCGACGATGTTGATGAGGCGAATGGAGCGACTGCGCAGAATGCAGCTGCCACGCAGCCTGAGGTAAATGTCGGGGACGCGCAAGAATCTGCTGAAGTGTCAGAGCCAGCGTCCACGAGCTTTCTTGCAAAACTGAACGCGGCGAAGGCAAAGAGAGGGGACTCGAAGCGTCTTGCTATCTCTAAGTCCGGTGATGGCTTGCATCTGATGTCTGAAGCGGTGCGGCCTGGTACAGAAGATGGGGGTGATGTTGAGATGGGCGGCACTTGATGAATATAAACGGAGTCCTGCGAAAGAGCTGAGAATTGCAACGCGGTGATGGAAAGGATATGTAAAGGTGTGGACCAAACAGTGCCTTCCCTGGGCATGCTTGCCGTATACACGATAATGAGCTGTGGCTTCCAACTCAACGTAGCGCCTGCCTTGGTCAACAACGAACCCAACAAACCGGTATCTCGACATTCTGGATCTGCTCACAATACCCACGTGGCCCTTACAGGAGAAAGCCCAACTGAGTGACCTCATCTTCACTCTTCACCTACACTGATTACATCATTACCCTATTCACCTGTAACTGCATCACTAATGCAGCCCTAAATGCAACCGCCATGGCATCGTCCTCGCGCTACTCTCGTCGCACACGACGAGATAGACTCAGCATCAACGTCGTCCCTGAGCAGTCGCTCGATGCTGAACCTCGATCACCGTACCTACATTGGCTCTTTGGCGAGAGTAGCGAGGTTTATATCTATTCACGATTGGTGGACGATGATTCCGACAACGTAGATGATGGTACTGGCTACACCAAGGCAGATGCCGTGATCATGAAGGAGGTGGCCGCTTGGCTCGAGCTGCGTGAACACGATGAGTTCTGGGTGTCAAAGAGCAGACATGCTGGGCAGGTAAGTCTACCTATTCACGTGGCACAGCGTAAGAGGATTGACAAGATGGGCAGATCTTCCTCCCTACAACCAGCCAACTCCTCGCACGACTAAAAGACTCAGAATCTTCTCTGCCTTACACAGGCAACGGCGCCGAAGCGTTCGATGCTCTTGTTCAAGCTATCGCATTGCAGCTATTAGCATCCTGCTACACCTTCCTTCCTGCCTCTAGTGCCAACCACCTGCCGCTGTTCCAGCAAAGGACTGGCAAAAGGCTCGTGACCGCACTGCGAGCGCACGCCTCATTTCGTCTCTCTCCAGCTGCTGGGCATCATGCTCGCGCTTCGTCCGAGACCCATGCGTGGCCTGGTCTCTACACAGGACCAGAGCCGGAGGATACACTGGCAGAGACTGTCAGTCAGCGGCGACGCTTTGCAAAACGTAACAGCGGGTACGTCCCTAGCTTTGCAGCAAGCGGGTGGACAGATGGTGCGAACGACCCGTATCGTCGGAGACGCGGCTCATCGTCCAGCTCATCTTTCGAGACTGGCATCTTCAGAAGGCTGACTTGCCAGCCATCGACACCGAGAAATCCACACAGCAAGCACAACGCCTTGTTCTCGAGGTTCCTTTTCTGCAAGAAGAAGGGGGATCTCGATCCTTCAGACAAACACCCGCGCAAGAAACCATTCCAACCAGTTACTACACAGGCAGTACAACGCATCCCGTCTGTGATACGCCTACGGCATACAGAGTCAAATCCTCGCATGGGAGCAGATCCAAATCCTAAGCACCCAACTTCTGAGTCAAGTCCCAAGCTTGTTCGCCATACGAGCTCTGACCCGTCCATCAGCAGCAAGTTCAGGTACAAGCTCGATATTCCAGAGATCCGTCGTACATCGGCCACACCGAACGCCAGTCACGAGGTCCAAACTCCATTTTCAATGAGAGGCGTTGGGAGAGGCGGCATGATCTCCGCACACAAATACCCAGAAGAAACACAAATGGAGAGACGACCCTCGATAAGCCAGATCACCAGACTCCCTCCCATACCTTCATAGACTGGAGGCCGATCACTCTTCAGCGCACCGAAGCCGCAAGGAGAAGATAACAACGAACAGGATGGCGATGACGTGTACTTCGACGTGGCAAGCCCAGTGTTGCTGCAAGACGACAAGTGCCGTGAAGATGACGCCAATGATGATCAACCGAAATCCTCTAGCCTACACTACAATGACCGCCACACAGAAAACAACCGTCAGATCCAAGATGACCGCAAACTGGACTTCGATGACAATGGCCAAACCGCGGCAGACCGCCGGAACGACACAGACTACGGCACGGAAACCGGTCACAACTCCCGAGAGCGCTCTTCGCCATCTGAGCATGACAACCGCAAGACTAGACACAACCATGGCAACAGGACAGATCCAAACGTCTACCCCCCACCTGACAACCGCATCCATGACCGCCTGGCACGCGATATGTCAGGCATGTACGACGACGACAACGGGCCAGATCCTGTTTCAGATCCGAGGCTGATGAAAGTCATGGCTCGTCAACAGGATTCAAGTGATGACTCGAGCAGCAGTGATAGCGGGAGGACGGTGATGGGCCCTGTGGGGAGGGATCGAAGACGCAAGAGTGTCAAGCATGCAGCGGGTTCGTTTGATAGTGAGGTTGCGAATAAGTTTAGACTGGTGAAGGAAGATTCGATGGCGGAGAAGGAGTGCTCGAAGGAACTCGAGGGTGCGGAGGTACGGTGAGGTGGCGAAGATGCAGGGGGACACACAGCTTGAGTCCAGAAATTGGTAGTTAGACATGAGTGGAAAGCTACGTACTCGCACGCTTGCATGATGCGCTTCTTCTCCTCCCGCTCCATAATTGTAATTATACACAATATCACATGCTTCCTCTCTCATCTTCTCATCTTCACCATACCACCCTCTACTGCTTCGCCCTCTTCTCCTTATCGCTCGTTGTCTGACTGACATTAAGACCAAGACCGTTCGAGTCGAGGTAGACCTTGTTCGCAGACTGCTGCAGGATCTGGGCAATGTTCCTCGCGTTCTCGAACTCTCGCAGATCGACGTATGTGCGCGACTTCTTGATGGCGTCTCCGATCAGCTCGGCGGAGCGTGCCTCACCCTGGGCGCGGACAACGGTGGCTTGCTTCTCCTGGCGCGCTTTGTCGACGACGAAGGCGGCGCGCTGCGCTTCTTGTTGGGCGACTTGCTTGGCTTCGACGGCGGCGGTGAATTCGGGGGAGAAGGCTAGGTGCTGGGGCCTCGTTAGTACAGGTTTGGAGAGGGTGAAGGGAGAGAGCTTACTGTAAGGGAGACATCGTCGAGCATGATGTTGAACCTCGCCGCTCTCCGGACAAGGTTGTCGCGCACCAACCGTGAGACGTTCTCACGCTGAGTGATGAGTTGCGAAGCATTGAACTGCGCAACCACGCTCTTCAGCACCTCATTGACAATCGACGGCAGCACCCTCTCATCATAATCCGTTCCCAACGTCCTGTAGATCTGCGGCAGCGCCTCCACCCTCGGCCTGCTGAGCACTCTGCACGTAATGTTGACCATCTGCAAATCCTTTGTTCCCGTCAAAGACGCCACGTTCCTCGGCTTCGCGCGCACGTCGTACGTGATGGGCGTCTCGAACCACGGCATGTTGAAGTGCGTGCCCTCGTTGTAGATCTCCTTCTGCACACCGCCCAAGCGCGTGTACTTGATGGCGCGGTGTCCTCCGTCGACGTTGAACAGCGCGTTGTTGGCGAGCCAGAGGCCGCCGCCGAGCAGGACGAGGCCTGCGATGCCGCCTGCTGTGCCTTTGGGGGCGCCGCCGCCGGAGCCGCCGAGGCGCGAGGTGCGGCGGGTGAGCTCATTTTGGATGCGCTGCCAGGCTTCCTTTGGGTCGGGTGCGGCCATTGTGGATGTGCGCGACGGCGGGGGGAGGGGCGGGTGGTGAAGGCGGGCGAGGGGTGGGTGGTTACGGCGGGCGAGGATGTGGGAGGCGTTGATGTTGGAGTAAAGTGGTGATGGAATCGAAGCAAAGTTGCCGCCGATTCTCCGATTGGCCAGCGATGAGGGAGCGGAGCATGCAACGGAACCCAGGCACGAACACTGCGCTTGCTTGCACGTCTATCCTCCAGGCGCTTGTTTGTGGTGTACGTAGCCCAGCACTGTGAAACACCATCTATTCTCGCCATAGTCTCTCAAACACGAGGCCGGGTTTGCTACGCTTGAAACATCTCGCTGCCCGCGGGCAACATGCAACCAGCTTGCGCTTGGACCAGCACTCAGCGTCGGAAACCAAGACACCAGCTGTCCATAAGCTCCTTGATTGTACATATCTACATATCACTTGTCGTAGTCTCTAAACCTAACCTCTGACCAGTTGGTGGTAGACATCTGTTCCTCTACAATTTATTTGAAGATACCCACTTGTATTTCAGCACCGGTCTGCTATCTCTCTCGCGACTGTCGCATGCGGCTTGGTGCAACGCGGGCGGAGCTACTTTCATCTGATGTGAGTCTTGATCTCGAAAGACCGTGTGCGGGGAAATAGACTGACAGCAGTTAGACTATACTCTTCGACCTCCTGCCTAAACAACTATACCAATAAAATCACGGAAGTCGGCTCCAAGGAGCACCACCGTCGCCATGTACATAGCCTCTCGAACCCTTCAGACCATTGCCTGGTCCACCCTTGCAGTCTCCGCAGCACACGCCCAATATGTCATAGACAACCTCAGCTTCGGCCACAAGGAGGGCGTCTACATCTCGCCCGACCTGCGCGCCATCCCTCACTTCGACGTACAGGGCATCGACGACTTCAAGCCCCAGATCCTTTCCGACCGTGTCATCCTCACCCCTCCTTACCCCGGCAGTAAGCGTGGTGCGCTATGGGCGATCGACCCCATGCACCATGGCGGAGACTGGACCGCCGAGCTGGACTTCAGGGCGACAGGAATGGAGCGCGGGGGTGGAAACCTGCAGCTCTGGTACGTTAAGGAGAGCCAGGCGCATGACAAACCGAACAGCCTGTACACTGCGCCCAAGTTCGACGGACTGGTTTTGGTTGTTGACCAGTACGAGGGCCACGGAGGCTCAGTGCGGGGCTTCCTGAACGATGGGACGAAGGATTTCAAGTCGCACCCAGACCCAGACCAGCTGGCTTTCGGCAAGTGCGACCACGCGTATAGGAATCGCGGACACCTCAGCACCATCAAGCTCCACCACGCCAACGGGCTGCTCGAGGTCACTGTTGACGGCGAGTCCTGCTTCAAAACCGACAAGGTGCGTTCTTGGATGCGCAATACATCCAGCAAATGCTAATCGATTACCCCAGGTCAAGCTCCCCCAGGACTACTACTTCGGTGTCAGCGCCGCCTCAGCCGAAAACCCCGACTCCTTCGAAGTCCACAAATTCATCGTCTCGACTACCAACTCGCACACCCGCGAAGAACCCAACCGCCAACGCTTTCCCGACGCGCGAAACCAGCAACACCAACAGCCCGTCCAGAACCAACCCCACCAAGAGTCCGCGCAGCAACAACACGCCCAGCAGCAAAACTCTCCGCCAAAGAAGATGGCATCCTCGCAGCAAATTCCGGCATGGATCCAGGATGTGCTGGCCAGCAATGTCAAGACAGACAACGATAGGTTTGAGGATCTGCATAACCGGATTCAGGACGTCGCGCACCACGTCGCTGCAGTTTACACTGCGATCGAATCCCTCAACGAGATGGCCGAGCACCGGCACAACGAACTCATGTCGCGGCTTGCGCCCATCGACGACCGGACAGCGCACAATGTGCGCTTGAGCGAGAAGACGGATAGCACGGCTCAGCAGATCCTGCGCGATCTGGAGAGCAAAGATTACAAGGAGCTGATTGGCGCGTTGCATAGGAGGCTTGAAGATAACCATAAAGATATTCCGAATGTGGTTAAGACGGTGGTGCAGCAGCATGGACTTAGTTGGATGAGTTTGCTGGCGATTGCATTCGCCGTCCAGGTCATGGTCGTCGGCGCGTACCTTGTGTATAAGAAGAGGAGGGGTGGGGCGCCGAAGAAGTATTTGTAAACGTTTCGACGTAAACGTTTCGACTTTTGGCGAGACGAGGACTGTATCATATGCTTGGGTTGTTGAGTTTGGTGCATTGCAAGGCGTTGGATGAGCTGGGTCGAGATTTACACAATACAGGAACAACGGAACACATCAGATTCACACTTCATGCCGCACGTCTCCAAAACACCTTTTCGTCGTAGAGCACATTGAGCACCCAGTGCATTCACGGTACCGACACGTCTTTTAGATATGCTGCAAGGCCCGAACTACACGGCCATACATTCCAGCCTTGTCCCATTCCAGCCTTGTCCATTTGGCGAAAGGAGAAAAAGTAGAAGAGAGAGAGTGCAGACACATGGCTCCGTGTCTTCGGAATTTGGAAAAGATGCAAAGCGGGTATAGTGGATGAGGCAGTCGCAGGTCAACACTGGAAGCTAGATGTGTGGGTACGCTCGTAAGTAGGCAGGATACATCGAAGGCCTCCAGCCACCACTCCAGACGGCAGGGAGCGGGGACATCGGACTGAACCTCGGTGGGTTTGATAGCACTCGTCGACAACAACAGTGCGCGCACATATGACGATTGTGCGACACCGTTCTGATGTGATGAGACGACAGACAGCCCAGCAGGAGACAGTGCTGTTGTCAATCTTAGGGTTGAGCATCAAGAGGAGCAGAGGACATGGTTCTTCGTGATTTCCTTCGATTGTAGAGGCAATAGGAGTGACGGGGATCGGTAAAGGAATTCATATAGTTCGTGGCACCTCCAAGAAAACAAGGCACACGGCGCCATGTCGATGTTGCTCGAAAGGGTCATCATGTGATTGTACGAGACGTTTGATGTGATCAGGTTGAGTGACGGATTCGAGATTAAGCGGGCAGAAGACGAAAAGAAGAATGAGATAACCTTGGCCTAGACAGAGGCAAAGAAAACATGATTCCTAGGTACATGCGGTTCTGGAACAGTCATGTTATGTCCAGGCGATGGTTCCAGAACCGCTGAAGCTCGCTGCGCGAGAGACGGACATGGCGATCTGCCTCGGCTTTTTTGTGAAGGCTGAAGCAAGGGAATGTTGTGATGGAGAAGTGGGGGACAGGAAGGCATGTTGGAAATTTAAAGTGATGGCAGCTCGCGAAAGCAGCGGGAAAACATGTGTTGACGTGCGTTGTTATAGTGCTCCGGACGGGAGAAGAAGACGTATTTTGCGAACTTGGCAATCTGAAGTTTCCTCTCAGAGACGAACGTGCACCTTGAGTCTGTGAAAGAGGGTGCAGTGCAATGATTATGATAGAGAGCGGAAGCTTGGCTGGTGTTTTGAATGCGAGTAGACTAGATACTGTGGTTAGGACTTGCTGCGGAAGGGAACATGCAAAGTTTCGTGCTGTGCTTTACGTGGAGGTGCTGGCGACCTCCAGGCCCAAGCATGTGTACTGTGCCAGTGGAATTTCGGACACCAGAAGCTTAAGAACATCTCGTAGTCCCATCAGTTTTTCGGTTTTCATGAGTCGTCATTGATGACCTTTAAACCAAGACTTGTAGTCACGTCAAATGAATGAGAGGAAAGACGGGAGGCGGGGAGACTCTTGTACTGCAACACTCAGCTCCGAGAGCAGGATGAAGAGGTGCATCTTGATATACGATTTTTGATGTCCATCCAAGAACATTTGTGTAGTTTTGGATTCTGAGAAAGATGAAAGAAGTGATAGAGAAGAAAAAGGATGTGATAGAGAAGAAAAAGGATGTGATAGAGAAGAAAAAAAAAGAGACGAAGAGATATTTGTCTGATATGTATCGTATTTTCGCAGGCTAGAAGAGAAGAAACGTCCCTTCTCTCGACAACGATTTGGACTTTCAGAAGCTGCCGGAGGTGGTAGAGAAGCATTCGACGATACGGAAGTGAACTTTAAAAACGGTTGCTGCAGGGGGCAGAAAGAACGTACGGTCGTTCTGGTTGACTTTGATTGGTGGCCATCAGACTGAGCCATTTCATTTTCAACGTGTAGGACACAATCAACGGATTTGTAGCAACTTGAATGGCATGCGACAGGTGCGCACTCAGAGCCATGCACGATTGACTGAAGATGGGCTAGCAACAGCAGCGGCGCACAAGCACCGGGACGTTGATGACGCCTTTTCAAGATGGTAGCTCTGCCAGAAGGCAGAACACATGCTAGTGGTGGATGTGAGGTTTTGTGTCGAAGCGATGTCGTGCTGTGTTTTCTTCCTGTCGGGAAGAGCAGAAAAACATGCGCTTGCAACGTGTTGTATAAGGCAAACGCAGGGAGAAGAAGACATGTACCGGTATGCTCGGGTTTTGAGCTGCGGAGAATATCAGGGGCGTTGCTGAAGGCTTTGCCATACGGATGCATCGATGAAGGAAGGCAGTCTTCTTAAGGACAGCAGGCATTTCCGTCTGCCGTTTTGACTTTCAGGGGACTGCGTGTGATTTGGGAAAAGAGTGCTGGTGGAGCGAGAGAACACGAACATGGTCTTTGGCCATTTCAGGAAGCACATGAAATTGGGACTGGTACCTTTTAATATTTGGAAGAGAATGATGTTAGTGATAGTTTGGAAGAGAATGATGTTAGTGATAGGGACTGAGGGGTTGAAGGAAAGTGAGGTACTTATAGCGCATAAAAGCGTGCGATACGTGCTCGCACAACGCCAACACGCTACTTGCGTGAATATCCCGCGGGTGGTCACTAGAGGCTATTTGGGGTACGAGATTCGTAGTTAGTAGTCACGACGTCACATGTATGCATGCGTACACCCGTCATGTCAGAAGCGCACGCGAGTAGCTGAGGGCCGGGACTACTCGAGTCGCCGTCGCGGGGCTGGAGGAACTCACACCTGTAGCTGCGAGGAAAAGACTTGCATTAATATAATGTTTTCGAATCTATGGCGATCGAGTAGGTAAAACTTACATCATCGTAATCAGCCTCGTGGGACGGTCAAAGCCTCGGTCCGCTGTTCTTCATCGGTTCAGCGACTGTCCTGATCTGCTCTTCAGGCTTTCTCTCAGTCCATGCTCTTCGCAAGCGCCCACAAGCTGTCCAGCTTGCTCCTACTCAGCACCTCTCTCGCTTCGCCCGCAGTCTCGCACATCTTGGAACCCCACTTCCTGAACGCGCGGTTCTTGACCTCTCCCTCGAACAGCAATGTGCACTTGTTCTGCGAGTGGTCCTTGAGGTTGCCGTTCGCATCCAGACTCTTCATCCACTGCGGATCGTTGGCCTGCTTCTCCAGCTGGGTCTCCGTGGGTTCTGCGTTCTCAGACCACTTGATGCGCTGCAGCATCAGCTTCTTGTACTTTTCGATCGAATGCAGCCCGCCCTCGACAATCACGAGGTTGAGCTCCGGGTTGAAGAGTGTGAGGCCCGTGAGCGCGTGCTGTTTTGCGTTCTGATCGATCTGGTATCTGTGCTTGCCGAACGCCAGCGTACCGATCTTGAACACGCATAGGTAGAGCCCCTTCTGCGCGTCCTTTTCCTGGTTTGTTTGCAGTTTCGCGTGTCGTTGGTCTTTGTCGAGCTTGCGGTCCTCGTTTGCTTCCTCGTGGTCGTGCTGACGTTGCGCGATTTGCGTCTCTACGAGCATCTCGACGGCGGTGGGGTCGGCGATGGCCTGTTCGCCCATGACGCGCATCATGTTTCCGCGCTTGACCTTGGGTGGTGGAGGTGGTTCGAGGCCGAGTCGGATCTTCGCCTGCTTCTCCTTCAAGTCGGCTGCGCGACGCATTCGCCGTGCCTTGGCCTGCTCCTTGGTTGTGAGATACAGCGGCTTGACTTCGACTAGCCGTTGGTCTTGGGGAGCCTTGAGCAGCGGCGGGTGCTGCACATAGAGTGTGATGATGGAGTCGTCGGTGTCGATCATGACCTTTTCAGGCTCGTCGATGCAGTCGTACGTCTTGTCCTTCAATATGCCTTCGTCCCACCACTCGATGTCTGCTGGCTGCTGCACCAGGAAGCCCCGCTCGCTGTTCTCGTCGAGTCCAGCGCGCCGCGCCTGCTTGGCAAGCATCTTCTTGATCTGCTCCAGACGGCCCTGCGCTCGCAGCTTGGACGCCTGGTCGAGGTACTTGCCATGCTCGTTGAACTGCAGAGGCTTGGACACTCGTGTCCGCGCACCGGGCTGGCCGGCAGCCTTTGGGTCGTAGTATGGATTCTGGAGCTCTTCATCCGGCTGCTGCTGCTGCTGCTGCTGCTGCTGCTGCTGCTTTGGCGCAGCAGCTTTGGGCTTGGCATCGACGAGCGGCGTTTCTGCGCGGCGGTTGCCCAACGTTGTCGCAAACCGCGGTCCTGTGGGCTCCGGCGTGGGTGTCGCAGGCTTCGCGGTGGAGCTGCTGTTGGCCTTCATAGCTGCCATGCGCGCCTTGAGGGTTGCCAGTCTGTCCTGAGCATTGCCCGCGGTAGCAGCGGGCGCAGGTGCTTGTGCGGAGGGCGCGCCAGCGGGGCCAGCCTTTTTCGCGGCAAAGCGCGCTGCTATCTCTGCTGCCTTTGCCTTCGCGGCCGCAATGGCATCCGAGCCTTTGGTGCGCTTGGCATCGCCGGCGGCGCCCTCCGCGGCGGGGCGCTTCTCGACCATGTGGACGAGGGTGTGCGTTTGGGTGTGGAAGAGTGCGTTTGGGTGTGGAAGAGTGCGCTTGGATGTGGAAGAGGGTGTGCGTTGGGTGCCTGTGCGGAGTTCTCGGGGGTGGTGGAGGTGCAGTGGGGACCGGCCGTCAATGGCCCTTCTCGTCAGCCGGTGCTACTGTCCGTCAACAGAGACGCGATCCGGGAAGGGGCGCTGGAGCGGAGGCAGGTGCGACCGTCGACGGTGTTCGATACGCTGTACTCGGTGGCCAACGCGTGTGACGGAGGTTCTGCTGCTAGCGCTGGCATCCTTCCCTTGGCGCGTGCACGCTAGCGGGGTGGGCCCGCATTTTTTCGAGATAATCTTTTGCAGCTCCAAGCTTCGCCTCGCCTGAAGGCAGATAGTAGCGGTTCGCAGCACCGGCGCATGTAAAGGAAACCACCGCGGGTTCGCACGCACGCGCAACCATGAACACTTCCCAGCCCACCTCCTCCGCCATCGAGGGCGTCGAGTTCGGCTTCCTCTCTGCGCCAGACGTGAGAGCGCTCTCGGTGAAGCGCATCACCAACCCGACCACGTTCGACTCGCTGCTGCATCCTGTCTCTGGTGGCCTGCACGATGCCGCGCTCGGCGCTTTCCTCGACAACCCGTGAGCTTACCCGTGCGAATCGCGTAGACGAATCGCGCAGACGGATTGCGTAGCAGTGGGCTAATGTAGCTTCAGGTGCTCGACATGCGGCCTCACCACAATGCTCGGCTGCCCCGGCCACTGCGGGCACATCGAACTGCCCGTGCCCGTATACCACCTCACCTTCATGGACCAGCTGTTGCGCCTGCTTCGAGGCAAGTGCGGCTACTGCCACAACCTCAAGCTCGCTCGTGTGCAGATCAACGAATTCGTCTCGCGCTTGCGGCTGATTCGCTGCGGACTGGTCAAGGAGGCCAACGAGATGCACGAGTTCATTGACGTGAACAAGGGCAAGAAGAAGAAGGACGCTGCTGAGTCGGAGTCTGACGACGACAACGAGGATATCGTGGGCCAGCGCAACAACTACGTCAGGAGGTGCATGAAGCGGGCAGGCATCTCCAAGCACGATGCGCGGTCAGCGAAGGAGAAGAACGACACGATCGCCGAGGCCAGGCGGCTGGTGCTGAAGGAGTTCTACGCTGCTCTTGTGGCAGGCAAGAAGTGCAGGAACTGCCAAGCCATCAACCCGACATTTCGCAAGGACAAGAGCATCAAGATCTTCCGCAGGAATTTGAGCGGCAAAGAGAAGGCGCAGATGGCGCAGTCGGAGAAGCGTCTCCAGAACCCTCTCGATATTCTCGCCCGCCGCGACGCAAAGGCGAACAAGCAGACCGTACACGACGACGAAGGATTCGCTGATATGTCAGACGACGACTCGGACGAGGGCGTCGATGTCGACATGGGCGACGGCTCGCTCACAGCCACTGAGGCGCGCACAGCCACAAAGACGAGAACGATCACCGATGCGGCAGACAGCTCGCAGGAGTACATCACAGCTGCCGAGGTCAAGGCAGCGATGATCTTGCTGTTCGAACAGGAAGCTGAGATTCTCCGTCTCATCTACAGCCCACACAGCTCAGCCAAGGTCAGCCCTGACATGTTCTTCATGGAGGCCATCATCGTACCGCCGAACAGGTACAGGATGGAGGACAAGACTGGAGACTCGATCGCTGAATCGCCCAAGAACAGCTTGTACAAGGGCATCCTGAACGCTTGCGACTCCCTGCGCCAGATCAGCAATGAGATGAAGGGCCAAGAGAACGAGGCAGGGTACAGACGCCGTAACTTCGACGACCTGCAGAACACTTGGGTGAACCTCCAGGGTGCCGTCAACGCTGTGATCGATCGCGACGCCAACCCCGTCCAGGGCAAGGCTGGTCTCACGAACGCCGACGGTATCAAGCAACATCTCGAGAAGAAGGAGGGTCTCTTCCGCAAAAACATGATGGGGAAGCGTGTCAACTTTGCGGCGCGTTCCGTCATCTCGCCTGATCCCAACATCGAGACCAACGAGATTGGTGTACCGCCAGTCTTCGCTAAGAAGCTCACCTTCCCCGAACCCGTCACGAACCACAACTTCTACGACATGAAGGAGGCTGTTCTGAACGGTCCAGACAAGTGGCCCGGTGCCGTCGCGATCGAGAACGAGTTCGGCCAGGTTGTCACACTCAAGAAGAAGAACTACGAGGAGCGATTGGCGCTGGCTAACCAGCTGCTCGCACCGTCAAGTACCTTCTCGAACGGCTCCAAGAACAAGAAGGTGCACCGACATCTGAACAACGGCGATGTTGTTATCATGAACCGTCAGCCAACCCTGCACAAGCCGTCCATGATGGCACATCGAGCGCGCGTCCTGCCCGGCGAGAAGACAATCCGCATGCACTACGCCAACTGTAACACCTACAACGCCGATTTCGACGGTGACGAGATGAACATGCACTTCCCGCAGAACGAGCTTGCACGTGCCGAAGCTATGACAGTCGCCGACACAGATCACCAGTACCTCTCGGCTACCGCCGGAAAGCCCCTGCGTGGTCTCATTCAGGATCATATTTCCATGGGTGTTTGGTTGTCAAACAAGGATACCTTCTTCACGCGCGAGGAGTACCAACAGCTGATGTACGCCGCCCTGCGACCTGAGGATGGACACACCACATCCGGGAGACTTGAGACCGTTGAGCCTGCCATCTACAAGCCGCGACCCCTCTGGACCGGCAAGCAGATCTTCTCCAGCATACTCAAGAACATCAAGCCTGCGGAATACCAGGATCTTACACTCGAGTCGAAGTCCTCTACCAACCGCAACCTCTGGGGTGAGTCTAGCGAAGAGCAGCAGGTCATCGTCAAGGACGGCCAGCTTCTTTGCGGTATCATCGATAAGAGTCAAATCGGTCCAGCTGCCGGTGGTCTCATTAACGGCATCTACGAGGCGTATGGCGAGACCATCGCTGGGCGCGCTCTCAGTATCATCGGTCGCATGCTCACGAAGCTCCTGCACATGCGCGCCTTCTCTTGTGGTGTTGAGGATCTCATCTTGACCGCAGAGGGAGACCAGGCACGTCTGGAGGAGCTCAAGGCTGCTGAGAAGGTTGGATTTGAGGTCGCTTCCAAGTACGTCAGCTTGGACTCGACGAACATCACTCCCACCACTGCAGAGCTCCAGACACGTCTCGAGCGAGTGCTGCGAGATGACGGCAAACAGCACGGTCTTGATCTGCTGTCCAACAGCGCGACTGCGAGCGTATCGTCTGCAGTCACGGCAGCTTGTTTACCCCACAAGCTCATCAAGCTCTTCCCCAAGAATCAGATGCAGGCCATGACAGGTTCTGGTGCCAAGGGTAGTTTGGTCAATGCCAACCAGATCTCGTGTAACCTCGGTCAGCAAGTCTTGGAAGGTCGCCGTGTCCCAGTCATGGTCAGTGGTAAGACGCTGCCTTGCTTCAAGCCCTATGAAACTAGTGTGCGCGCTGGCGGATACATCGTCAACCGTTTCTTGACTGGTGTCCGACCACAGGAGTACTACTTCCACATGATGGCCGGTCGCGAAGGTCTTATCGATACTGCTGTCAAGACATCACGTTCCGGATACCTGCAGCGATGTATCGTCAAGGGTATGGAAGGTCTCAAAGTCGAGTACGACACATCCGTACGCGACTCAGATGGTAGTATGGTGCAATTCCTCTACGGTGAGGACGGCCTCGACATCACGAAGCAGAAGTATCTCAACGACTTCAAGTTCCAAGCTCAGAACTTCTTGTCGCTCGCCCAATCCCTCAACACACAAGAGGCCTTTGGTAAGGTGTACAGCCAGGAGGCTGCTGAGCACAACAAGAAGGCCGTCAAGAAGGCCAAGAAAGACGCTGGTGCCATGGATCCCGCCACAGCAGTCTATGCTCCCGGCCGCTACAGTGGTAGTACTTCCGAGAAGTTTTACCAGGCCAAGAAGGAGGTAAGTCAAGTCATGCTCAAGACGCTGCCCGATCCTATACTGACATGCAACAGTACGTCGACAACAACAAGGACAAGCTGCTCAAGAGCAAGAAGAAGGACCCCGAGGGCGAGATTCTCAAGAAGAGCTTCGAACAGATGCTCGACCTCAAGTACCTCCGTTCCCTCGTCGAGCCTGGCGAGGCTGTCGGTGTCGTCGCTGGTCAGTCCATTGGTGAGCCGTCGACACAGATGACACTCAACACGTTCCATTTGGCTGGTCACTCGGCCAAGAACGTCACGCTCGGTATCCCACGTCTCCGTGAAATCGTCATGACCGCTTCCGCGAAGATCTCAACACCGGGTATGACCATGTACCCACACGCTGAGCTCCCCAAGGACCACCAGGAGAGGTTCGCGAAAAGTATCACACGTCTGCCACTCTCCGCAGTATTGGACAAGGTCATAGTCACCGAGTCGTCAGGTGCCGGTACGCAGTTCAGCCAGGCAAGGACATACAAGGTTCGCCTGGAGCTCTACCCGGCCCAGGAGTACACACAAGAGTACGCCATCAAAGTTCGCGATGTTGTCGAGTCGATTGAGCAGAAGTTCTGCCCACGCCTTCAGAAGATCATGCGCGCGGATCTGAAGAAGAAGGGTGAGAACAAGTCGCTGTCCACTGCCAACGCATCAGTACCTCAAGTTGGCCAGTCAAGCGGCAGGATCGAGGAGACTATCGTTCGTGATTCTGATGAGCGTGCTGGTCGTGAAGGCGGTCCAGAAGATGATGACAGTGATGATGGCGAAGGTGATGGCGACACAACACACGCCAAGCAGCGCGGCCGCCGCGAAGACAGCGTCGGCTATGAAGAGCCCGAAGAGGAGGAGCAAGCTTTCAATGACGCACTCGACCGCAACGAGGCAGTGTCCGATGAAGACGAGGCCTATGGAGGCAGTCCCAAGCCTTCGCGCGCCAACTCTCCTGACCCAGACGACGATTCATCCGACGATGAGCAACTCCTCGTCCCCACCGATGAAGCCTCCGACATCCGCAAAGACCGCATCATCAACAAGAACGCCGACGTCTTCGACTTCAAGTTCGACGACAAGAAGGGCGAATACTGCGAAATCACGTTTGAGTTCCCGCTCGCAACACCAAAACTGCTGGTGCTCCACCACGTCGAGGCTGCCGCTGAATTCGCCACCATCCACGTCATCCCCGGCATCACCTCCGCCATGGTCTCCAAGGAAGACGGCAAGGACGCAAACGGCAAGAAGATCGAGGTCCCCGTTGTCGTGACAGAAGGATCCAACCTCCTCGCCATCCGCGAATTCCACGACATCATCGACGTAAACCGCGTCTTCACCAACGACATCGTCGCTATGCTGCAACTCTACGGTGTTGAGGCGTGTAGAGCGACAATTGTCCGCGAAATGCACGCTGTCTTCAGCGGTCACGGTATTTCCGTCGACCAGCGCCATCTCAACCTCATCGCGGATACAATGACCAAGGGTGGTGGATTCACGCCGTTCAACCGTATTGGTTTGAGGGGTAATGTCAGTCCGTTTATGAAGATGAGTTTTGAGACTACGGTTGGTTTCCTCAAAGACGCTGTTCTTGAGCGCGATTGGGATGATCTCAAGAATCCCTCTGCACGCATCGTTGTAGGCAGACTGGGTGGTATTGGTACAGGCGCGTTTGATGTGCTTGCGCCGATACAGGTCATTGATCCGTTGAAGGGCGGGGTCTTGCCTGGGATTGAGGAGAAGGCTGAGGAGGATGTTGAGATGGAGGATGCGTAGGATATCGAGGCATGAGCGGAATGGTTGGCACGATTGATGTACCTTACTTGGAGTCATGTTCAGGATTAGCATAGTAGGTGGCGTTCCGGCGCGGGTGGTAACGCACAGTTGTGCGAATTGAGTAAAAGTGTTTATATCCGCACGTCATTGCTCATGAACACGTGTTTGTGGAGGTACTCCTGTGTACAGCGCGGTATTATAAACTCTTACGCACGTGTCCGTGGATGTACCCATGTGTACCGGATGATATGGAAGCCCTTGCACAGCCTTGATTGCTTCCCATCATTACACTCCTTCCGTCCAAACCATCAAGATAACATGGCGCAATCCCCATGTTCTGTCCGAAAAGCCCATACCTCAGCACGTTACAACATTTCAAAAAGTTCCAAAACCTTGTTCTGGGATATGCGTGTTCTACTCCGAAAGTCCAGCAGCCAGCAGCCATGTCTTTGATAGTGGATGTGGCAGTATTCATGTGCGCTCTGCCTTCTGTTCGCGCCGGATCTTTCAATTCTGAAAAGGTACAGGAAATGCTTGATGTGCTGTGAACTCCTCGTTCTGGAAGTTGAAAAAAAAAAAGAGCATATGTCTGTGCCGCTGCTCTGCCTTTCCCCACTCAAAAAGCCCTTGCCCTGTTTCATGAGTTTGCCTTTTTCGGCGAGTGTATTATAAATTGCTCAATCGCAGCTGGTAATTCCTTGTATTCATCTCACTTCTTTATTGAAGTATTTAAAACTGTTTCCATGGCACGACATGTACTGCTAAAGGTTACGGCCGGGTCATTCATGTCTTTTAGAAACGGCGGCAGTAAGAAGCCATGCTTTCGTGCTTCTGCCCGCTCGAACACTCTCAAAAGCACCGCAAGAACTGGACCATGTCTGTGCGCCTTTTCTTTCTCAACTCAAACCAGGCATACAAACGGCCTATGTTCGAGGTTGCTGCTCTGCCTTTCCTTACTCAAAGAGTCCCCCAAACTAAGAATGTTTTGTTCTTCCTCCGTGCCGGTACTTCACCCTCTCGACTACTAACGGCAACCTCTCTCCTTCATCGTGACCGTATGTGCAGATATCATAACCTAAACAATTGTCTGTTTGTCCTGCCTAAAAGCACAACAGCGGCTAGTGATGTCTTCCGAAGCAGAGAAACTGCTATACTATGGGGTTTCCAATTCTGCCCGCTTGAAAAGTCTTCAAATGAAGCAAATAAGGCGACATCTTCGTGCGCTTCTGTTCTCTTGATGGAAGAGGTTTTCATGTCAGACTCATGTTCGAGAACTTTGGGCTGCCTGCTGCTTCGAACTCTAAAAAGGACCGAATTCAAGTGTTGTGCTGTGTTCTGCTGTAAAATTGACAGTTCCAAGCAAAACACTTGACCACTACTCGATGTGTAACTCTTCCTTCCCATGTGCCCTTGGAATGTGAATAGCGCAGTGCACAAGCTCCATTGCGTTCCAAAAAAAGAAAAACCCCCCCTTCTCGTCGACACAGTTCTTTCAACAAAGTCATCCAAATGAGAGGAACTGGATGTTGATGTTTTGTTCAGACAGCCGTGCACAAAGATGATATGATACCTAAAATCCATGGCATCTCTTTATGATGTGTGCCCTCCATATGCGCTCGTCTATCAATTTCCTAAAAACAAAAAGGTATGTAATGCATGTTTGTGCCGCTCTGTTCCTTTCAAATTGCTCAATCAAGAGAAGAAGAATCGTTTTCGATCCTCTCTTCTTTCTCACTCAAAGCATGATGCAAGCCAAGTGATGACCCGGTTTTCTTGCTTCCACCACCACCATCACCGGCGCTCGGGTTTCAAGTATGGAACGGACGAGGTCACCCTGACATCATTCTAGAGGATAGAGTCACGGAGCTTGGTCCGCATATCAAAGAAGTTTTTCCAGGCGTTAATCTATCCAAAGCCTTTGTCGTGGTACGGGCACTTAGAAATGTCAGCATGCACACCATTCGCCTTGTGTAAGGTCAGGAACCTAGTCTTTGACATATGATGCTCCGGTCTCCAAACTTGGTCGTTGTGCCTTTCGAAGATGCAATCAGCGACATGTCCCTGCAAGGCTGTGAAGATGACTGGATGTCGGTGGCACGTTACATGGGCCCAAAGCTTGATGAGCCCAAAATTGACTTTGTCTACAACTCTAAGCCTTTTTACGATCCTGCATTCAACTAATTCTGAAATGACTAAGGGCCAATGGTTTGCAACGAGTACTCGTCCAGACGATGCGGCCATATGAGATGAACTCGACTCTCAACGACGAAGAAGGCGCCTGGCTTACCTCACATGGAGCCAACCACTACCAAGAATGGAATGAGCTCGCTCCTCTGTGCGCAGCGTGGAGAAGTATGCTGGAACCTTTCTGAACGGCATCCAGATCCTCGTAAACGCGATCGAGCTGCCTCCAGTTTCACACAGTGGGCGCATCAATATGGGCAAGCAGCGACCAATTCGTTGAAGAATTGACTGAAACAGGTCCAGGTTCTCTCCCAAGAAGAGTTTTTTGGTGCCGAGGAAAGAAAGTGCCTTCCTTCATTCGACTCTTTGACCATTGAAAACCAGCTCTACAATACCAAGTCAGAGACAGATAGGATATGATTATCCAGATGAGTGGAACAAGCGACCGAAATTTATCATTGTCCACAGCTCTCCACCCTATCCGACGACATGATTCTCGGCAAACCGCATGCCGCTTCAGACCTATACTCGTCTTTGTTCGGTCCCACACTTGGCTTCAAAGATAAGGCGTACAACACGCTGCAGCCGCCAACCGAGAAGAGTGCAGAGCGCTTCGAGGAGAAACCTTTCCTTATCTACACATCATGGCTTCTGAACCGCCGCTTCGGTGCTTGCAAGCGCACGGATCAAGTGCATTTTGGCCACTCACTGTCACGCTCTGTAACTTAAGAAGCCATCACAAGCTTTCCCCACCCAGCGCTTCGTAGTGCATCACAGCGATGTCGAGGCGAAATAGGTTTTTAGCTGTATTCCTGGTGTGCCATCTTCCACTACACGGTGGAGCGGCACCGCGAGGCTCTTCTGTGGAGCTATGTCATGCTGCGCTCCGACAGAGATGACGATGGGTATCTGTGGAAGGGTTGAGATGTTGATTGATTCTCTTAGCTATTGACTGGAATCGATCGGGACTATATAGTAGAAGGCAATAGCAGTGAAGGGTGGGAAGCAAATTGAACTAACCAAATGAGCTGGACAGTCACTGCAGCGGACCGCTAGCAAACACAATCAGTGCAGTGGACCCGCTAGCAAACAGATGGCAATCAGTGGATACCTTCACCCCTCCGACAGTATCTTTGAGAGCGTAGGACCATCCTTAGCGATCTCATGGAGGGTATAAGCAACCGGTGCGGCGACTGCTTGCTGAAGCTTGCACGCAACCGAAGGCGTGCAGGTCTAGGACCTGTATTGTCTCACCCGCTCAAGAAGCCACAGCAGCGTGAGGCCGTTGTGAAGGTGCTTATGAGGTTTCAGTATACGATCGTATAGCTTGACGCAGCATTCTCCATATTCACCGACGCTGAACAGGCTCGACATGTCTTGCTTAAGCCGTTCACCAAGCATGGCAAGAAGTCGGGTCCGATTTGTCTGAACGACGATGTAGTGGTTCAAGACGAAGGTGAACTGAAGGCACTCAAGGAAGTGATGAGGCAGTTGTTCAAAGGCTTGTTACTGAAGCCTAGCAGCTTCGAAATGGAGAACTGTAGCGTTTCCTTTCTCTATTGGCAATTTTGGCCCGAAAAGCCATAGCAAAGGGTAGGCGTTAGAGGAAAGATCGAATGGCAATCAGTGCGTCACCCTCTTTCAAGCCTCTGGGGCGAATACGGCATTTCCATTGTACGAAGATCATGACTCCGTGGAACGATCTTCAACAGGCTCATTTCCTTACAGTGGCGAAGCTGCACCACTCAAGACTCAACATCTTTATTGAAGACAATGTGTTCTCGACACCTGGGCTTGGTAGGCTGAGAGTTCACTTTTACTTCTTGGAGGATTCCACTTGAGACTCAAAGACAATGTTGCCACTTGCATACTTCGGAACGCTGCTTTTGGTCTCAAAGCTTAACAATGTGAACGAGAGGGCGCGTTTGAGTGAGGCAATGCCTCGTTGTCCGCGGGTTGAGTCGCGATGATGTGCAAGCTGGGGTTCGTCTCAGCCACGATGCACCCCTAAGCTTTTTCACGCCAAGCCAATGCACGCGCTACGGCACGCTTAATGCAGGGTTGCACCGAGCGTCATAGGGGTGACATTTCCCCTTTCGTACCCACTCTCCCCACTATGGAGCACACGGCACGTAGCGCTCGTTCTCCATGTTTCTGCACATCCATTGACAGATCTATCGTTCTCGGGTGCGCATCGAGCTCAGCAGCTCTGTGGGCGGAAACATTTTCTGTTGGAAGTTGAAAGGTACGGTACCCAATCAGCTTTACACCAACGCGATCAGATGAACACGAGGTCTCACCAAGCGAAGAGAGCTCTCTTGAACAGCTGCGCAAGAGCTGAAAGCATTGCCGGCAACAATCAGTCAACAGCGGCAATGGCACAAATGACTGCATCAGCGCACAGAACGACAGTGTGCCTTGCATTTGATGACCATCGTATTTTTGGAGACTATGATTCTGTCCGCCCTGAACCAGGACGTCTGGATGTGGGATGGCTTGACGAGTCTGACACCGTCGGAGCATGGCCGCCTCGGTGTTCTCGGAAGTTCGAGGCCCGGGATGACTTCTACGCGTTCCCAGAACGCCACAAAACCCGCTTACAGCATCACGCTAAGTCCAACATACCGATGAGCCATTGCGGGTATTTGAACGGATCAGATCGCTTCTCAGTCTTGGTGTGCCTCCTGGACCGATGAAAGGGGCTGCCCTCAGCTTGTGTCCCAACTTGCGATACGGCATCATTGACCTCCAGGCTCGAGAAACAGGGATGAAAGCAAGACTACGGCGAGGAGGCGAACAACATGCCAGCAGTATCAGTCGCCAATGGTAATCTCGTCGGCTCCCAAAGATGGTGAGCAGTTGCTAAATGCGGCTCCCCTTATCAAACTTTCCGCCAAATGTGGATTCTTAGCTTACCGGCGGGACATGCTCTGGACCAGAGGTATACTTCCAGCGAACGGGTAGGTACTGTCAGAAGCCAGGGGTAGCACTACTCACTTGTGTCCAAGCTTGCATCTCGAGAACATATATGAGCCTGCATCTCTTGCATGTTTTTGATCCTCATCCACAGTCATTTCTTGGACCGATCACTCTTTCGCACTCAGTTCCTGAGCGTCGACCACACTCTTTTTTATCTTACCAAAGTCATTCATTAATCTAATATCTAATCAAAATGCGTTACGCTCTTATCTTCGCCGGTGTCGCGGCTGCCTACGACGCCTACGGCTACGACGCCTACAGCGACAACAAGGCCAGCTCCAGCACCCCTGCTGTCAAGTACTCCTCTTCCGTCCCCGCCTACGGGGGCTACGGAGATGACTACAAGACCTCCTCGGCTCCTGCTCCCAGCAAGTCCTCTTCCAGCTCCAAGGTCGGCTACACTACCATCCACCCCGGCTACGGCAAGCAGCCCGTGACTGTTACCTCCCAGTACCAGCCCTACCCCACCTGCGGCGCCGCTGGCTCTGATGGCAAGTCCTGCGACAAGTGGAACGAGGACAAGTACGTCTCCACTGTCATCGACGACTACGATTCCAAGAAGGTTACCGTCACCTATGTCGAGAAGCCCATCACGGTCTACCACACCAAGACTACCGTCACTCACTACCCCACTGCTTCTTCTGAGGGTAGCAAGGACGGCAAGGCCTATCCCACTGGTAGCTACGGCTACGACGACAAGAAGAACGGCACCAAGGTTTGGTACGAGCTGTACGAGAAGGTCCACGAAATCAAGTACAAGGACCTCGGCGCTCACGGCCTCCCCGGTTACAGCGGCTCCGGTCTCTGCAAGTCTTGCGATGACGAGCAGCCCTACAAGGTCAAGGAGTACAAGAACGGCAAGTGGTCTGAGTACGATACCACTGCTGTTTACAAGGTTCCCACTCCTGAGACGAAGACCTACGAGAAACCCGGCGTTTACACCGAGCCAGCCAAGGATGTGACAGTTACCTACACTACTACCAAGCCTTCTGAGGCTACAACCACTGCCAAGGCCGGTGTTCCCGTCACTTACGGCGGTGTTACCACCGACTTCAAGGAGACTGGTGTCAAGACCTGCGCTTACGGCGCTTACGAGACCGGCAAGGACAAGAACGGCAAGGATGTCACCTCCACCGTTGTTAAGACTATCACTGTCACCGTTTCCACCACTGGAAAGTATGAAGTTGCTAAGCCCACTACAACCATCTACGACCATGACACTGAGGTCAAATACCCCACCGTTTCCGTCTACAAGCCCGGCGTTTACCACAAGGATGCGCAGACTGTTACCATCACCAAGTCTGGTGACTCTGCTTCTTGCGAGTACAAGCAGACAAAGACTTACCCTGCTGAGCCCAAGAAGACTCCCACTTATGGTGACGAGTATCCTCCCTACGGTGGCAAGTCTTCCTCCAAGCCTTCCGTAGAGATCAAGACTTCCACTGAGTACAAGCCTGATTACCCGGCTTCCACTCCCTCTGTCTCCAAGTCGAGCAGTAAGCCTGACAAGTACCCCGCCACCTCCAGCGCGCCTTACTATCCTGAGTACCCCGTCATCTCTTCGACTCCTGTCTACAACACAAAGAATAGCTCCAGCACTCCTTGCGCCAGCTCCAGCTCCAAGCCGTCTGTCGATACCAAGACCAAGTCTGTTGAGTACCCAACTTCGACTCCTGTTCATGGCGATGAGTACCCTCCCTACAAGCCCAGCAGCTCCAAGCCCTCGGTAGAGACCAAGACCCGCGAGTACCCATCTTACGAGACTTCCTCCGTTCCTTCTTACGATGACAAGAAGTCGAGCTCGATCGAGTACCCCTCTTACCCGACTTCCAGCTCTGTCCCTTCCTACGATGATAAGAAGAGCAGCACTGAGTACCCTCAATACCCCGCGACCACTACCGTTCCTCACTACGAGACCGGAAAGTCCACCCCTTGCCCCAGCTCCACCAAGCCCGTTGACGACCACAAGAGCTCCAGCGTCGCTTATCCCGAGTACCCTGTCGCTTCGTCCAGCCCTCCTGTTTACGAGGCTTATCCCACTCCTACCCCTGCAAAGTATGAGGACGACAACAAGTTCTCCTACGCTCCTACTCCTTCCAAGACCACTGCTGCCTACCCTAACCTTTCCTCTGACTACCCTGAGGAGAACAAGGACAACAGCTACGAGTCCGGCAAGGGCTACGGTTACGCTAAGCGTGCTGGCGTTGTCCAGCGTCGCCAGGCTGCCGTTGGCAAGCGCAGCGCCCGCGAGATCGTTGTTTAAGTCTGCTCAGTAATGAGAGTAGACGAGATGAGCATGTTTCCTTGTGTTAATTAAGTTCATTTGGTCTGGAGGATCGGTATATAAGAATGACTGTAGATGTTTGTTAAGTTTAATACAATGCGACCGTCTTGCTTAATTGTTCTCTGCCTTGCGTGCTCGGTGTTGTGGCCTCTTTTTGCTTGATCAACCTGCACCTTCTCAAAACATGTCCACTGCGCACGTTGAACCTTGAAGTTTCTCACTGACAACGAGACTCTATGTGCGCGTTCATCTTCCCCACACCAACTTCTGACTCCACTCACCACTCATCTTCCTTTTTAATGTTCATGGTGGAGATAAGCATTGCTCATCATGAAAATTCAAAAGGCGTTCAATATAGTTACGCACGACTTTGATCAGTTAATAATTTTTCTGAAGACTCCAAGTCATCTCTTTGAGATTATGTACGCGCGACCAGCGCCATTATCAACGCTTGTCAGCCGGGCACCTCTTCACTCCTGTGTTACATATCCTCGACGACAAGGACCAGGCTCACTTATCGACCTAACGAACGATTTAGAGCTAGAACTGTTCATACGACGGTTTCTAGAAGCGTTGCGGGCAGATCCCGCTGAGAGATGACATCGAGAACAAGCTCATCTGATGGGTGCTCGACCGTGACGACGAAAGGCTCTTTGCATATGAAGCCGTCTTCGCCTAAAGCTAACGATTTGTCCTTGTCTAGCTGGAATGATCGTGTGTCTGGACGGAATAGAAAGCGGTGTATGGGTCCATTTGTCTCTGGCGTGCGCTGCATAAAATCCAATAAGAACTGTAGACGATCGGCGAGAATCCTGCTTTGTCTGCAAAGGTATTTGTGTTGGGCTTTGTGGCTTCCATGTTATCAACTAGACGATCCATGGTGGTGTGGTGTAGATCTGTCATCGAGCGTTGGAAGTAGACCTGAAGGGCTGATATTCAGAAGGGTGGATTGCCCATCTGTGGTGAAAGCACATCTATCTTAACCTGTCGGTGAAAGGGCATCGCGATAATCAATGCAAGTGGAAGCCGTTCAGAAGCCCCCATGCAACCACTGCAGAGGACGAGTCAGAATTGAGCTGCGCTTCCGTTAGGTTTGATAGCTATAGAGGTACCTAGTCCACGCCCACTGTGCGTCATTGCCACGAAGCACATCAAGTCCCATCAATATTTCGTTGAATAAGGTGAGGCCGCACAATACATGGCCTATGTATTGCACACCAATACAGTGTACTAACAGATCGGACCGGTGGACTAACCCCGCATATGTTGCTCGCAATGTACATAGCCGTGACCGCCGCTGTCCACGTACAATAGACCCAAGCAACCACTGTGAGTAATTGCGTTGCGTGTTGAGTTATCCTGCGCAAGCGACGTAAGCCAAGACCGGGATCGGTCAACAACGGTGCATGCTGTTGAACACGACCATAGCCGAAGAATGCTAACGTAGGGTCGTTAGTGGCTATCGATTTCATCATTCCTCGTAGGTATTTGCGATACAATGGCTCCGTGCGGCGAGACATAAGCTGCGTGCAGTATGGGCAACGCACACGACCCGCGAAACGTGTATTGTCAAAGCTCGCGACCTATCGTTGGAAGCACATATCGCCGACGACATGGTTGCACGGTTTGAGCTGAATAGGTAGGCAGTATTCTTCAGGATTGTCCTCAGGGTCAAGACAGTCGCTGTAGGCCTTTTGGCAGATGCAGCATTCGTCGTCCTTTCGTAAGAATAGTCGTACACGTAACTGGTGTCATCATCGTGAACAAGCAACCAGAACCAGTCTGACTTCAGACAAGAAATGAAGATCTTGAGACAGATCCGCACGGCGAAAAGTGTGAAAAGCGCTCGTGCGTCGATATTGGAAATGCTATCAGGCTTTGGCGCTGGGAAGTCGTGATGATCAGCCGGAAGAGCTTTTGTAGTCATGGCGGACCGAAACCGTGAGAGAACCATTTTGGGTGAAAAGCTTAAAATGAGATGAAAAGGCTGACGATGATGCTGTATCCTCCCTCGTAATTGAACTGACAGCCTGGCTTCCTGCAGAGTGCGGAGTAGATTTCGGTTCCATTTGAACCCCCTGGGAACCTATTACGCGGCCAACCAAGCACATCTTGTGTACCGTGGAGGTTCGGCGCATTTCAGTTGGTTTTCGTCAAATGATGAATCATCGAGTCCAAAGACGGTACCTCGGGTTCGTTGCGATATGCTCTTCCACCATATTTGTTCGCTTGATTCTTTGCGGGGTGTTCCATGCAACTTTTATTTAGAACCACGCTGCCTGAATCTAGGCGATCACATGCTGGAAAAGTTATTGGCCCAACCTAGCGGACCGAACCCTTCAAAGCCGGTAAGTTGTGCATACTCTCCGTTGTTTGTTTCCCACTCAAAGAAATTTTGTAGATCGTCCAGGTTGAAGACAGGTTGCTCGAAATCGCTCGTTGACATATCATTGGTCAACACTGGACCAAGCTGTCCAGGTTGGGTTGCAACGTCAGCGAGTGTTGCGAGGCTCGAAACCATAGGGTCATTTGATGGCGTTGGATAGGTGTAGTCATTCGCTGTCGACGACGATTGCCCAATGCCGTTGGGGACTGGTGGCAGCAAAGCCACTTGGGCGTTTCGCTGGGCCGACTGGATGTCGTTCAAATTAGGGCTAGAAGCTTCAATAGCCTGTTGCACCTCGGTGCGCACCTCTGATGGATCTTGCGGCGCGATATATGTGCTCGCTTGGCCTCGTGCAAGACCAGAGCGAACGGTTTCAAGCCACCGCTCCGTTGTGATGTACAAAGGCTCTGCTAGCGGGTACATCAAAGACATTTCTCGCAGCGCTCTGTTGTTCTGTTGTACCAGTTCCACTGTTCGGGCGATCACCGTCCTCGAATCAGGCTTAGAGAGATCCAGAATGCGAGCAATGTGGTATAGCATAATGCGGTTGCTGTTGTAAACAAAGGACGGTAGGATAGGATCTGCAAAATGCTTGATGCCGTGTTGTAGAACGGTAGCTACCAGGACGGACATAAACTGAGCGTGCTCGAAACATACCATCTGTAGCCTTGACATGAAGGCGTGCTGTTTGGGTGGGAACTCGTACGGCTGTTGATTGCGGTAAAGTTCAGGCAGTGCAATCCGATGTATGTCGCACAACACATGATGATACATGCAGTGATTGAGGAACAGTGCGCCTAGCTGGTGAGACTCTCGGCGAATGTAGATGTTATCGGCAGAGAAATCTAGCCAAGATGGCAAACTGGCTTTCCATGATTGGACTTCCTCAATTAGCTGCGAAAACTCGGAGCCTGGCTCCCATGGCGGTTTCTCTTCGTTCATATGTTTTGAGAATCTGTTCCGTTAGTGCGTGAGCGAAGCAGGCCGCATGGGTAAACTTACCTCAAGACCCGCCGCCATATGCTGACGATGCGAACGTAGTATGCTGCCATACCAAGATTATCCCGTGGCTTCTCAGGCATGTCGGACTTGGGTATGAAGTCCAATGTTTGTCCCTCCTCCAGTCTCTCGGTCACTACTGGTATCTGAAGCAAGAATTGCCGCTCGTTGCATGGGAGCTGTATCTTGATGTCTTTCTCGTTTAGAATGGTCAGGTGATCGACGCCACTACCTGCCCATACATCGAGCATATAGCAGGCCCACATCAGTCTCCTCTGACACTCCTTTACTGAGGCTTCATTTGGGCCCTCCTTTTTGCACATGACGTCCGTAGAAGCTTCATTGTTCAGCTGCAGCGCATGTGCCATACGTATTACCAAGCCAGTAAGCAGAAATGAGCCGGCGTAGTTTCCAGTCCTAGCTTCTTGGTCGTGAAGAAGAATCAGGACCTTCAACTTTGTTGTCGAGATAGTACTGTAGTCTGCAAAAAACATCTCTTCGGCGATCTTGGCCCATTGCGTACCGGCATTCTGTATTAGCTCTTTTGACAATGGCGCAAAAGACTCGCTGTACTCTAAGGCATAGAACCTCGCGCCGAGAGCACACATGATGTGCAGCAACGCTTGGTCTGACGTATCAGTAAGCTGACCCTCATCGAGCATTCGCATGAAGGTTGGCTTGTGCTCAAATGCGAAAACCCGGATAGGCTGGACATTGTTGAAGTACGCTTCTAGGAGGGTATGCAACCGCGCTCTAGGCGGTAATTCTTGCGCAAACAGCCTGCACGTGCCAGTTTTAGCGACATAAACCAAACAGGGGAGCGCACTTACCAGGTTAACCCAGGCGGACAGTTGACTGAGGCCAGATCTGTTGGTGCCGACGAGAAAGCATTTCTAGGTACTTGTTGGGTCTGCGTCGACATACTCGTACTTGGACTTGGTACAGCACTTGAAGTGGTTGATGCAATGCTCTGAACCCAAGCAGGTTCATTGGTCTCCGCATCGTAGACGCATGTAGTCATTCGTTGCGCGCAACGTGTACATGTCGGCCTCTCGCCCGAGCATTTGACTTTTGAATCTCGGCAGGAAACACAAGAGCGGAAGGTACGTTTACGCTTGATGCCGAGTGGCTCAAGTACTGCGCTTGATCTCTTTACTCCGGTAGTGAGCGTACCATTCTGCACGCAGTTCAACTGCAGTCTTTCGCAGTTCAGGCACCCATCCGGTCGCTCGTCGCACTTGACCTATGCTTATGTCAATTCTGAACCTTTTGCAGAAGGGACAGTATCGAGAAACAGTTATAGAGTTTCTCTGATACATTGCATTGTATCTTCAAAGTTTCAAATGCGACAGAGAAGATGGGGTGTAGCATACCTTTCTCGCTCGACAGGTCGCACAAGCTGGTGCTCCGGTTAGCCGCCGATCGCCACAAAAGGGTCGCGTAGTGTATCACCATTCACAGGACGTCTGCGCTGCTTCTTAGCACCCGTATCTGGTAATGCAGGAATGTCCGCCATCGGCTATGATAGCGTTCGGCTCGTCGCTTTGTAGAAACTGCTCGTTCGCAGGCAAAACATTGGAAGGGTCATCGGCGAGCGTTCGGGCAGTCGCGTCGTGGCTGGTTCTGGCGGGGCGCGAAAAAACGAAATGACGTGATTCGACGTGATTTTACTTAATAAGCAAAGACCATATATTCACTCCGAGAGCCTGACGAACTCCACCGGAACATCGATGTTGATGATGAGTCGCTTGTAGTCAATGCATTTCCTGTCGTAGATACTTCTATTCGCATGCTTGTAGTCACCGAGCATCCCACATCCATCAGACCTCCCACTTGCCAAGAACCTCCCTGCCTCCAGCAGTACCCTCCAACCCCTTCTCCACGCCTCATCTTCCAGTTTCTCAAGTATGAGCTCTGCAGTAGACTTGCTTGTTACTTTATCAATACCGGATTGATCTCGATAAGACGATATCACGAACATGTCTTCCAGAAAGAGAGACGAACATCAATATTGGTTATTACGAACATAATGAGAACGGTAGGTAGGAAGTGCTGTCATTTTTGCTTGCTCGTTGAACGGATTTGTTCTCGAACTGAGCCGAGGTAATGAATACACTCATAGCCTTGATCGCTAGGATCTGACCCGCGTCGACACGAAGGACTGCTTAACTCATCGGAGTTACCCGAGCAGGTGTCTCATATGGCACTGTAGGATTCTAAGTACTCACAAACGTGGGCACACACTGCGCGTGCACTCAGGGTACTTATAATCGATTGCATACAATTGGCGCGCCAGTATCTGGTTCCCTGGCATTTCAACCATGGTTCAGACCGCGGGAACATTGCTGCCCTTCAAAACAAGTGCTTCCATGAAGCGCTTTTCTTAATTGTGGCGGCGTAGCCGCTGTAGTACACTGATAGCTACGGTAAACGATAACGTAGGACTGTCGGGTCAATGGAATATTGCGCTGAATTGCTATCTAGCTAGGAGATGACAATATATACTGTCCCTGGAACGTGCTAGTACAGAACAGTCTAAGCAAGGGTAATCGGTGTTGGAAGGGGTTATCTTCGTACCAGAAGGCGGTACTATGACATGGCTTGTACCTGCCACCTAAATTTACTAGTACACATCCTTCCTAACATTGGAGATCCTCCAACTCCCGATCAATACACTTTTACCTCAACAATCGGGGCTCGTAAGGGCTGACTGATACTGCAACATTAATGATCACTGACCGACACAATACATCTCCGTTCCCGCCAGACCAGATACTCTGTTGACATTCAGCAGCGAAGAACAAATACGAAGCCTAAACCCAACTTCCAGATTTACTCACCACTGCCGAAATGGAGCTGTTGCGAGATTTCGCGACTTCCTCGTGCTTGTCGCAGGAGACTTACGGAACCATGCAACAGTCGCAGTCCGACTTAACGATTCCTCTTTCCACCTTGCAAGGATTCATCCATTTACACACCGAGCAAACCTATATCCTCGGACGACGAGTGCTTCATCTGCAAGGAAACATTCACCACCAGTCTTCGCGATGTGACTGCCTATCAAACCATACGTCTGGAGTCCTGCCAACACATCTTTGGCCACGCTTGCTTCCTGAAGTGGATCAATCGGTCATCAACGACATCTCAAGCATCAAACTGTCCTTGCGATATTGCACTACGCCGCTCCGACAAGCCCCCGAATCGCCTCTACGCAAACGATATCGAGCCGTGGTCCTGTTCATCTTTTCGGCCTACCCTCCCCTCATTCTGGCCGATGGTGCCGTTAAGTTGCTTCTCGGATGCGGGCTACGTATTCGTCCAGCAGAGTCCCGACTTCAGCGCGCCTATCAGGTGTTGATGGAATTTCAGCTTTTGAGATCTATAGCTATGTGTCACGGTTCAGGGTGCTCCTGCCTGTCGAACCTCACCTGCCATGAGAGTGACTGCCACGTCACACTAGCGTTGTTTACAGCTACTCACCTATATGTACTGTCCGTAGCTTCACCCAATACAACCTCAGTTCAATCCGTCAATTCTTCCCATATGCGCATTGTCCACGCTTCCCGACACTATGTATATGATCACAATTGTGGTGCTGTTGCAGGACGCAGTGTCTTATCTCACACCATAACTTATGACTCACGTTTTCAAGGATTCCATCATCGCATTGATTGGAGAAGGAAGTAGACTCGCCTTAGACTTGGCGATCTGCCTAGAGACGTTGAAAGCCGGTCTTGACTATGAGCAGGTGCTCACGTACTAGCTTCTCATCAGGGATCGCCCCTGATTCTATTGTCTAATAATACTTGTGCGGTGGAGCAAGTTGCAAAGGTACAGACTTCCGACAATCAATGGTGCAGATGTCACACCTGCCCTCTGAACGTGCTGGTCAAAGTCTGTTGGGCATATCGGCAGCGAATCTTCTCTGAATACCAGACGTACGTTCCTAAGATCAGGAAAGTGCTCGCTCTTATGCACTAGCATCTCCCGGATCGATTCACAAGTCGTCGGGTCGACTTGCGAGATGACCAAGCTGCGCAGCATTTTTGACAGATAATCTATGGCTGCCAGCTCATCTTTTCGTCAAAACCCTCGGCATAACGGCTTCGAAAGATAGTGACTTTGGGACATGTAAGCTCTCCAGTTTGGTGAAGTCTCGCAGGCCTGAGAATGGTCGCGTGTTTACGCCGGTTGAAGAGTACCAGTTCAGCGCCAGCGCCAGATGGGACAGTCGTTGGTTCAGGGGTTTGATGGCGGTAGTCAGCCAGGACCATGTGTCAATTTTGCTCCAGGGGCAATAGAGCGGGTGAGTTTCGATATCTTGAAGATATTCCAGGCTTTTGATGGGTGGTCTTGGTCTTGCAGGGTCTTGAGGCACTATGGGCACTGTGCCAGTTGGTGTATCGATCGCAAAGCTCTGAACATTGGGAACTAAATCGCGTAGGAAGACTTAGAGTCCATTTCCGGAGGAGAAAGAAGGCCAGTGGTACGTAGCTCTAACCGCAAAGAGTCCGACGTGGTTTCCAATGATAGAGAGAGTCTGAACGTTTGGTAAAATGAGGGGTGAGTCTAATCACTCAACACTATCTCCATAGAAGTTGATGTCTAGCCGTAACACAGCAAGCGATGTTACTGGTAAAACCGGACCAGTAGATAGCTTGCAATCATAAATTTCGTACAGCTGCTGTAGCGCAGAGTGACGTCCAGGTACAGGCGATCGTTTTGACGATATCGTTCTGGATGCGCGGGTCGGGCCAAACCCAGAAGTTTGTGTGACTAGAGAACTTCAAGCTTTTCAATTTTGGCAATCATCCAACGATAACGGCTTGTAGCGCCATCTCACAACTTCGAGACAGCTCGCTTAGCCAATTATGTTTCTCCTTCCAGTTGATAGACGAAGTCGACACTCTCGCACATGCCTGAGTGAAAACATCAAAGTACGGTCCCTCGTGAGGAAGCAGAGTTTGCTAATGGTCACTGGCCAGTCTACGGTCCAAGAACTAGAGTTCAAGTGAAGTAACGCGGGCAGCTAGGTCAGGCCTGTCGAACAGTGTGCGTGCTGGGTATGGTGAAAGGGAGTAAGGATAGGCACCTTGTGTACCCATATTGAAGACCTTACCGAGGTTCATCTGTAGAGGAATATCTAGATAGAGCACTCGCTCGACGATGGCGCGAAGCCTGCTACACGTCATCACCAAGTTGTGCAAACTGGAAACCTCGCTCAAGTATATTTTAGTTTCCGCAATGTCGCCACATTTTGCCCGTTTGAACTTGTAGGGGTCGTACAGCACGCCAGCACCTTCTAGAACGTGCAGGGTGAATGTGGAGCGTAAGAAGAGGGCAACCTGCTCCAGGAACTCGTTCGGCAGCTGAAAAATATCGCAGGAGGGTTCAAAGGAATTGAACTTCTTGGTGGTTCCAACTTGCTGCGTAATTTTAGCATGTTTAGAGATTGACACGTATTATATTTATGCAGAAGCTTGATGTTGTGGCTGCATGTGGACATTTTGACTGGAGGAGATGGAGAGTGCTTGGTGGCAGCAGCAGCACCACCCACATTACCCACAGCACTACGATTCTGCTTGTTTCTAGCTCTTTGTTGCTGTGAGGCCTTGTGCTTGCCTTGTTGAGGCTTTTGTATAGGTTTCTTGGTGTTGCACTCCTTCTGTTGATGCTCTCTTTCTGCCTTGTGTTCAGCAACTTCCTGTTACGATCAAAGGGCAACCCGCAACAACACTGAACGAACAGGACTACGCAACGATACGAGAGGAGCCGAGGAACTGTAGTATCAATCGACTCAAGCAGTGAGGCCGCGTCGGCGATACTCAGTATGATCATCAATCTCAGTCGAGCAACTCGAGCAGTTAGGCCGCGTCAGTATACTTGGTGCGATCAGTATACTCAGTACCGAGCGATCTGAGCAATCCTCCTGCTCAAGTATATAGCAAGTAGACACGCTGCCCTTATAGAATCGTGTTCAACCTCGTCAATCAACTTTGTTATTGGAATCTCACCTGCTCTCGAGTTAGACAGTATACTCTGTACTACTCATTGCTCCCAGTCGCCACGGTCTTTGACTAGACGACTACCCGACTATTACAAAGGCTATTACAGGCCCGACCGATAGTCACTAACCCCTGACGGCTTCTGTACCTCTGCTCATCCCCGAGAACCAATCGAATAGTGTCTACGACCTTCGCTTAAGGCACGACTTCAACAAGGTGTTGTGAGCTCTTTTGAGTATGCAGCTGACAAAGGCTTGGACATCACCACATCAAGTGGCTAGAGTGTGTGGGTTGAATGGAGAGGAAGTATGGCCAGGAGTATTGTAACGGGGTTACAGTGCTGTAGTGAAGTAGGCTGTCACGTGTTGGAACGGCGGCGCTAGCCCATCGTGCCGCTAGCGTGGCACGAGCGAGCGAGCGAGCGCATGGATAATCGGCCACACGATAGCCAGAGAACGGTAGCAATTAATCTTATGGTGCGAACCCCCTACTGCTACCGAGCTCGCTATCACACATACCCTTACACAAGGCCTTGCCTCATTCTCCTGTTAGAAATTCGGACCATCTGTGGATCCGATGCCTGAGGACAGGTGTTCTCGGGCGAGAACCCCGTCATGCGCACATACTACTGTGTACTTTGCGCCTTGCTTTGCGCCTCGCGCTGCGCCTTGCGTTGCGCCTCGCGCTGTGCCTTGCGTTGAAGCTTTTACTCTTAACACATGTCCACAAAGAAAAGCAGATTGCATAGCACAATCAACACTTCATCAACTCACGCTCTACGATAACTTGCAACTAGAACATCATATTGACAAGCACATCAAGATGCGTAGCTTCCTGAGGAATCCGGAATGTAGGTGGTAATATGTTGCGGTATTGGTTGGTCTGTACAAGGTCTGACTGGACGCCCGACAGACTAGTCTCGTATGTGACAGGTCACTGGCTTGAGGTCAGGTATATATTCGTCATCTCCTAGCTAGTCAACAACTCAGCGCAGTCTTCCATCGACCCGATAGTCCTACATTATCGTTTACCGTAGCTATCAGTATACCACAGCGGCCCACGTCGCAACATAATATATCAACAAAATCACGCATCAATTACTGAGGATAGATAGTCAATAATGTAGCGTTGTGGACCGCTGTAGAATACTGATAGCTACGGTAAACGATAATGTAGGACTATCGGGTCGATGGAATACTGCGCTGAGTTGTTGACTAGCTAGGAGACGACGATATATATACATGCTCAGTAACGTGCTAACACAATATAGCCACTGCCGTGTGGGTCGAGGCTCGTAGGGCCAATAGATACCGCAACAAGTAAGAACTATAGACTTACTACAATTAAGCTGGCCCTAGCAGCTTTCGGTGACCAAAGTGGTCATTCCAAGTGGTTTTTCAGCCAGTCTTATTGAGCCAACTATCGACAGTTAATCCTTGCCTTTTTCTGAAGCGGTCTCATCCTGAATCACGTTACCTGGTGCGACTAGCCCTCCCCTCTCCTAGCTAGTTACAGTAGATGGCGAATCATTAGTATCTCTCGATTCTGTACATTTTACCTCACATGAGCTCCTTATTCGGCTGGCCTTTCTCTTTAGTTAGACCTTTCTTTTGGCCCCTTCCATTCAAATTAGTCAGACTTTCTTCTCGGCGGGTCTTTTTCTTCAGTCTATTACAGTAGCGCGACTAACTTAATTGTTTTTACGAGAGACCGAGTTAACGCATCATGTATGTAAGCTGATATGACGGGACGAGAGTGTAGCGATATCCGTCACATCTAGTGTGATAATTACTGAATACGGCCAGCCGTTCTTTTCGACCAGCCTATGTTCTCGCCTAGCCCATTTAGCCATGTTTTGTCAGGTTTATCTTCGGTCGGCCAAGAAGTGCGGTCTGCCAAGAAGTGCGGTCTGCCAATCCGTTCGGTCAGCCAAGTACTTCGGCTAGCCAATTTCTCCGGTCAGCCAATTACTTCGGGTCAGCCAATCTGTTGGGTCAGTCAATTACTTCGGCCAGCCAAGTACTTCGGCTAGCCGATTACTTCGGTCAGCCAATGTAATGTAGATTTCTGGTTTATGGCTTTCTACTTCCTGGTTCCCATTTCGCGGCCCTGCCAGGTCATGAAGGTTTGTTACTGCATGAGCAGTGTCGGTCGGAGGCTGTGGTCAATGATTGAATTACTATCTGTGTTGTCCGATGGTGTTGATGTACAGGAGCTCTCGGCTCAGAGGTAAGTGCACTTGCCTTCGGGCAGTGCCTTCCTCAATAGAATATCATGTGACTTAGGCCACGTAGTTACAAGGTTCACCCACCCGCTTGGCAGCCGATGATGCCAAGGCAGCCTGTTGCTCGTACCATGAATAACAAGCGCTGGCAACTGAGCTCCAACCTACAGCATTAACCTGCTGCGAAGACGTGCTTTGGGGCGGATAGTTGGATGGTATCCTTAGGGCTTATGGGGCGCCTTGTGCGCACATGTGTTGCCTTCGACCAGGATGGCGGAGACTTGCCTCTAAAGATAGCACTGCAGCCACCTAGCCCTGAGTATTGCAATTCTAAGCCATTTTCCAGGAGATGTTGGAGGAAACGAAAATTGTCGGAATTCTTCTAGTCGCACTAGAATGAGCAATATTTGGCTAAGAACGGCGGGGCCGATAGAAAGTAAAAGGTTCGCTTCTGCCAAGGTACCCATTAGAAAGTCTGTGCAAGCATGTTTCTTGCACAACTATTATAACTATCCAAGGTTCGTATAATACTAAAAGCGATAGATCTACTTCGGTTATCCCAGGGTAATTAATCATATTATAGCTGCCTCTACTATTGCCCTATCGAGAGCAGTAATTCTCGTTTCATAGGACTAGAATTGAATTTTAGTGCTAAAATATTGTAGGGTCAAAGTATTCTATCATATTAAGTAGACCATCTCTCCTTCTACCCCAGGGCGGTAAATGGAGTCTTAGTAAACTCCATTGAATTGTTAGTGCTGAAATATTTCAGGGTCTCAAGTATTTTGCAGCATAGGGTAGACTCCATTTAACTTTCGAGGCAGACAGTAGTCCCGCACCTTAGGATCGCTGTGCGCTGCGACTCTCTACTTCACCTTCACGGATCAACTTATAGAATCATTTTACTGGGCTCCGGCATTTTCTCGAACGAGACCGGGCCGGAGGAACAAAACCCAACAATCAATAAATTCATCACTCATCCTAAGCTCAGCCACTTCATGGATCAAGAACCATGTAAGCAGGCCTTAGATTTGATAGTAAGCACTAATCACATGGCGAGTTCTCCGAGTTGATACAGCATAGCCTTCTAGATCTGGAAGGGTCCGTGAGCGAGATACATTGTGAGAGCATGGGCGTATTGTACATTTAGCCGTCAGGCCTTCAACTAGAACTTACAAGGGAGGGCTGTTAAGAAACTATAAGAAGCAAGCCACGGGAACAGGATATGGTTTTATAATTGTGCTCTTCATCTTGTCCAAGATACCTCCAGTCGCTCTATACTCAGTCTATAATTGAAAGTACTCTAGATTCTAGATAATCAACCTCTTCCTCCGGTTACCTTTAGCAGGTAAGAATATTGACGATTCCCTAGATAACTTAGTAGCATATGAGGGCCTTAACTGACAAGATAACTCCCAGCCATGCATTTCACCTCAATGCTCGCCTCTACTATTGTTAGCCTCGGCCTCGCTAGCCTCGCTGCTGCCGATCGCCTAACCCTGGACTACAACTGCGGCCTCACTCACTGCCACCACGATACCTGGTATGAGACCGACTTCGACTCCTTCTCCGTTGACTATTATGGCGGCTGCGGGAGGCCTAATATCCCTTATATGCAGGAGCTCTGCATCGATGAGGGCAAACAGAGAGCCCACTTCCGCTTCGAGGGCCAGGGCAGGCGCTGCATGAAGCTTGAAGAACACCAGGATGGTGGTTGTGACGGCTGGAACACCTGCGCTACCAATATTTACACAGAGACTCCCTGTACCTGGAGCTGATCTATCGCGGGTCGTGAGGAGATTATTGCGAAGGGGCCTCTTCGTGTCCTGAGTGGTTTCTTTCCCATTTATTCAGAGGCCTTTTGAGTGTCATGGAGAGACCTGGCTTGGTGTCACGGTTTGGGGTGCTCCTGCCGGTCGTACCTCACTTGCCATGAGAGTGACTGCCACATCACACTGTTCGTAGCTTCACCCAATACAACCTCAGTTCAATCCTTCAATATTTCCGCACATGTGTACTCTTCACTCTACCCGACACTTCGTTATCTTCCGCTAGGAATCATCTAACCACGGATAATTTCAAACATGGATCGGGAATCGTGTCTCAGAGTTGTAATATCCTTTAATTCTCTTCCTCTACTCGTGTTTGGACCAGCGTATAGTAGAATTACTACGTACATGGCTCTTCTGAAAGTCAACAAATAATAAATTTTAAATAAGCTAGTATGTTATCGGAGGTTAACGTGAGATCTGCTAATGTCGGTATCAGCCTTTTCGAACGCATAGGACTAGATAACCCTCATGTTGTATAACTTGATGCGCTCAATGATATATTTAAATTTACGGTAGTTTTATTCATAGACCCTAGATCTAACTTATGTCTGAAATTAAATCTAGTCTATTTCCTAAACTAAACTATTTCTTTTAACCCCTAAATGTGTTAACACTAGTAATTAATTAAGTCCACTAAGACTCTATTTACTACCCTAGGGCAGAGACAGGAAGACTCAGAATCTTGTTTTCGTTAGCGACACACACTCGATACTAGGCTAAACGAGGCACTAATAACGTCTCGATCCTCGCAGAGTGCTCGCTGGCGGTTATAAGGACGATTGAAACGTGTAGTAAGGCTAGGCGTATGGCTGACAGAGTTCCTAGGCCAGTTTCTACCTATTTGGCCAGCCTCGCGCTCAGCAAGCAATCTGACGCAGTTGACATAGCCACATAAGAATTGGTACCAACTCGAGCGAGATATCAAGCACAACATGGCGTCCAAGATCCTTCGCAAGGGCGACTTCGCACCCATGTCGCCGGAGCGCGTGAAGTACTTCGAAAGTGAGTAGTGACTGGCGCACTTATGAAAGGTAGACTGACAAGTTAAACAAGCAATCCGCAAGATACGAGTTCCTCGTTACCTCTTCCGCGCATTCACCCCCGCGAGCGGAGGTGGTCAATACTGTGTGATCAATAACGAGATCGAGATTGTGCCTCATGGGTTGATGAACGGTAAGAAGCTGGACTTCTACGGTAAATTTCACTTGAAAGTGCGGTGCCGTAAGTCGCCTTGCCGATCGTTAAACATGGTTCATTCCATTCGTCGAAACATCGAAACATAATCTAAGCTTGTTGCAGGCGTCCGGACCAAAGATCTATGGTTTTGGCACGAGCAAACTACAGGGCGTTAGTACAGTCCGTCCGGGGTGACAAATTTTCGAGAGAACTAAGTATGCACTGACCTTTGTTTTGTGCACCAGTTTCCAGATGATGATCGGGACGATGAAGATGGGTATACCAACGTACGACGCCACGAAGTCGGCGGCGCTCCAGTTTCCCTTCAAGAACACAGGAAAGCCAGTAATCAACGTGATGATCGTAGCGCCGATGAATCCATACCACGCCGTGAACGGCTGGAAGGGACTCTTCCACGGCAAGCTATCACGACTCACTCTCTGGGCCTTCATCGCATCGTGGAAGCGGATGTAGCAGAAACACAAAGTTGCCCATGCGATCAATCCGGCAACGGTACTCAAGTTCATCAGCCAGCTGAAAGCCTGCGAGGCGCCGCCACTACCAAGACTCAAGTACGCAAGGGGTCCGAAGAGCCAGGAGGCGATGACTGCCACATACGGAACACCATTGTTCCATGTGCGCCCGAAGAACTGCGGCAGCTGGCGATCCGTGGTCATGGCTACGATCATGCGAGATCCAACCCAACAATACGAGTTTCCTGCGGACCAGGCTGAGATGAGAATGCAGGCATTGACGATGGAAGGAAGAGCGCCAATGCCAGCTTCCTTGATTGCGATAACCCAAGGTGATGAGTTGGCGTTTCCGGAGCCAGAGACTAGGTCGGGGTTTGTAGGGTCGACAATCAGTCCGATGAGCAGAGCACCCAAGATGTAGAAGAGTGCGATTCGGTATGTAACGTTGGTAGCGGATCTGGGGATGACCTTGTGTGGATTCATGCTTTCGGCTGCCGTGATGACCACAACTTCAACGCCGATGAAAGAGAAAGATGCGTTTACGAAAGCAGCCAGAAAGCCTAGGAAATGACCTGTGGATCCGGTGATGCCGTTGTAATCGACCCAAGCTCCAGGAGAGTGCCAATACTGGAACCCTATGGTTTCGCCATTGGGCGCGCCGCCAGATGTGATGACGATGGAAACGATAATCAGACCCAGGAAGCAAGCGACTTTAATGGCACCTGCTATGACCTCGGACTCACCGAACCAGCGCACGCTCATCAAGTTGATTGCAAGGATCAGGACGAGACTGATTGTGATGACCACGGCAGGGGTTAAACCGGTCCAGTACCCGACAAGTATGGCTGATGCTGAAGCCTCGGCTGCGATGGATATGGTATAGCAATATCCATAACTAATGGCCAGGGAGAAGCCGACAGCTGGGTCGATGAAGCGAGTCGCGAAGTGAGGGAATGAGCCAGCTGTAGGTATCTAGTTCCAGTGAGTCACGTCCGACAGTTGGAGCTTCCGAGCTACTTACCACGGTAGCCAGCTCAGCAACGCTCTGCATGACACACCACAAGACACTTCCAACGATGATGTATGCAAGCAAAAGACCTGCTGGTCCAGCGTTCGCATATGCCGAGCCTGTTCCAATGAAGAGACCTGTTCCAATGCCAGAACAAAGGCCGATCATAGTAACATGGTAGTTCTGCAGACGGCGTTGCGTGGCACCATGACCACCAACGTTGAGTTGCGCCTCGAGGATAGGCTTGTTGTCCGGAGCATACTGGTCGGGTTGGACCGCATATTCGATGTCTTGGTCGTACTTCGACATCGTGCTCCGCGGATGAAAGTGGTAAACGTGGAGAAGTGGAGGCGCGGGTGATGGTAACACTTTCCCAGCTACACAAAGCGCCCTTTATTGAAAACATGCAAAAAAACTTCCGTGAATCGGAGAAGTTTTTTCATCACCAACAAGAGCACGTCATTTCCAGAACGCGAGCCTGGACCACCAAGCGGATTCGATGTACGTACTACATGTTCTGCAAGGCTGAGAGATCTCGGGTGAGATACGAGGGTATAGTGGTGGATCCTAGCATTCCTACGGGTTCTCTTGGCACATACAGGTTCTCGAGATGCATCGTGATAATAAGCGACAATTTCGACTTGCTAACGATGCGACGTTTGACAGGTGTTCGCAGGTGGCGGTACTATCTCGGTCGTGCTCGTATTTTTCGGCACCAACAAAGACGGATTTTAGTGCTAAAAGGGTATTGCGCTAACTTGATTTGCTCTACGCTGTCGTTCGAGTGGATTTCGCTTGCGTAAAACTGCGGTCGATGAGCATGTAGACTTTTGGCTCTCGCGCGTGGCTTGATGATACGGTAGGTACATTGGACTCTACATCGACCTGTTTCTGATCTTGACCACACAACTGAGATGGGGTCGTCGCTGCTAGCTGTTTACGGCTTCCCAGTCGTCGACTGCACGGTGAAGCACGCTCGTTGATGCATCCTTTTCCACAAAGAGGGGAGATACAAGCATGGTGGTGCATCGACAACAGCGATAATAGCAGAACACGGTCACATGGGCCATGTTCGCTGCTGATCGATATCGAAGGATTGACAGTTCAAGAAAGTCCGAACGACTTGGACAGCTTTCTCCTCGCCCACCAAGGCCACATTGCCGAGAGATCAGCCTGCAGTGCGCCTTTTGTCCGTACACAACAGTATACGAAAGAAAAGAACTGAAGCGTGGATGACCCAAACATAGGCTGTCATACCACTTAGGATTCCGGACTTGTCCATCTTTCCACAGCTGCCTTCAATTCTCAAGCAAAAACAGGCCGACCAATGCAGTCGTTCATTCCGGCCTCCCAGCACCTATCTCTATCATTCTGCAGTGCGCTCGCCGTCAGCGCGACAATAGGAAGTGCACGTGTCTGGTCATCAAACATCTTGGCATCGTTGCGTATTCTGCGCGTCGCTTCGTAGCCATCGACGACTGGGCATCATGCAGTCCATGAACACCATGGCTGGGCGAGGGTTACCAGAGGTCTTGCTGAGATAGTCGCATGCTTCTTGCCCGTCGCACGCCAGGGCTACCTTGTGACCAAACTTCTTCGCGAAGAGCGAGTTGACTTTGCGGTTGATGGCATTATCGTCGACAATGAGAATCAAGAGCTTGGATCCAGTAGCTGAGGGCTTAGAATTTGGAGTTGAGGACTTAGGGTTTGTGGTTTCAGAGCCCTTGGTGCTTAGACTCTGTGCCTGTGATCTATCCTGCGTATCAGGGGGAGATGCGATATCCTCCTCCTAAAGTTCCTCTTTCTTTGGGCGATGAACCACATGCACTGATGGTCGTCGAGTATCCTGTACCGGTCTGTGAAGATTAAAAGGTATGCTGAAGATTCCAGTGGTGCCTTCGCCCAGTGTGAAGCTCAACGCTATTTCCCCGCCCATGAGCCTGGTGAGATCACGGCAGATTTTAAGGCCTAGTCCGGTGTCTCCATAGATTCTGGCCATGGAAGTATCCGCCTGACTAAAAGGCTTGAACAGCTTGTCGATGGCATCTTTACTGATGCCATTACTATTTTTTACGGGTCGATACTCGCCGGACTAGGAGCCTGCGCTGTCGGTCTTTCGCTAGCAGAGCTGGCTTCGATGTAATATCAGCCTTTCTCAACTGTGCTATCTATGGTACTTTGAAATTTTGACATCAAGCAGAGACCCGACTGTGGGTGCGCGATATTGCTGGTCGGCAAATCTCGCGCCGTTTGCTCCTCGATTTTGGGGCTCGCTGCAAGGTATGTCTTGCTTTCAGAGGGATTCACAAAAATCAGCTGAACTTTCGATAGGTTGGATCACCGTTGCTACCTGGTGTTTCGCCTGCGGTGTAGTAATTGCAATCAGCTCAAGTACCGTAACAACAGAGAAGATAAGTATAACAACAAACGTACGCTTATTCTACCTCCAACAGCAGTACTCCTCCAGAACCGTTGCCAATTGCTACATAATAGTTGTGCATCGCAGTACAGCTCGGTTGGTAGTCAGCAGGTATCCAAATCATATCTTCTGCATTTACCGTCAACCACCTCTCAGCGACAAAGATAGTTTTTGCAGGCGCCTGAGGTGAAGAAGCAGATGCAGATAAGGCTGGTCGTGGAAGCAACAATGTCCCACAGTTTGTAAGCAGGCGTGACCCATCCCCAGAGAAGGCCATACTGCCAACCCATCCTACACGCTCGAACGTGTGCAGCGACTGTCCCGTCTTCGCATCCCACACCCGCACCGTCTTGTCCACTGAAGCCGATGCAAGTCGATCACCTTCTGCCGAGAAGGCCACGCTCCAGACATAGTCTGTATGGCCCTCGAGCGCGCGCAGCGACTGTCCCGTCTTCGCGTCCCACACCCGTACTGTCTTATCCCACGAAGCCGATGCCAGTCGATCGCCATCTGGCGAGAAGGCCACACTGGTGACAATCTGCGTATGGCGCTCGAGCGTCTGCAGCGACTGTCCCATTTTCGCATCCCACACTCGCACCGTCTTATCCGACGAAGCAGATGCCAGTTGATTGCCTTTTGCCGAGAAAGCCACGCTCGTGACACCGCTTATATGGCCTTCGAGCGTGTGCAGCAGCTGCCCCGTCTTCGCATCCCACACCCGCACCATATTATCTCGCGAAGCCGATGCCAGTTGATCGCCTGCTGCCGAAAAGGCCACGCTGGTGACAATCTGCGTATGGCCCTGGAGCGTGTGCAGCAGCTGCCCCGTCTTCGCATCCCACACCCGCACCGTCTTGTCCACTGAAGCCGATGCCAGTCGATCGCCTTCTGCCGAGAAGGCCACGCTGTTGACTTTTTCCGTATGGCCCTCGAGCGTCTGCAGTAGAGGCCCCCAGTCTTCCTCCAGTCCCCGCTTCACGTGCACTCCCTCTGGCATCTCCTGCCTAAACTGACACCGGACAATGCTCTGTTCTGGCGCAAACACCAACGCGCCGTAGTACACTTGCAGCGGCGCTTCCTGGATCCCAGATCCGCTCCACATCGCGAACCGTAGCGCATCGTGCACGATGTTCGACACCGTCATACTTTCTGCTACCTTGTGCGAGAGTTAGTAATAGTGTGGTTGTGTGGCTGATGTTTAACCTACACATACTGATGTCTGCAGCAGCTGCAGCGCAAGTATGGCTTCTGGCATCTTTTGCAGCAGGCTCATTGCCTCTAGCCAGTGCAGCAAGTGCTTCTGAAAGAAGCTGTGCACTTTGCCGCCGTCCACCAAGAGGCTGCTGCAAGGATGTCCGCCCGCCTGCAGATGCTTGACCCAGTACTCACATGCGTACGCGATCTGCGGCAGGCAGCTATCCCAGACTCGGCTTGTCGCCTCCAGTGTTCGCACCCCAGGCTTCTGCAAGCCGCACATGTCTCTCCGCAGCGCGCTATCCATCTCGTCTAGCAGGCGCTCAGTCAGCCGTCCCTGCTCGTCTGCTGGTGTGCTATCAAACACCTGCCGGCCGTTGCCCACAGTGAAGTAGTCTTTGGCAGATAAGTGAATGAACGACACAACGCCTTCACGAACAGTCAGGAACGAGCCACAGCGGCTGACAAGGTCGACGACTGCTTGTACGTCGTGGAACTGATCCCTGGGAAGACCTGCAGCGACGGCGAGCTCTTCACGCTGCAGCGGCCGGATAGCGAGAGTGATTGAACGAAGAATGGCCCTGCAATACGCCACGGTCCTTGCGTCCTGCGCTAAGACTTGCCCCATCATCCGATCATATAACGGGTCGAGTCCTGGCGGCAGTGCCTGCAACACCTCTCGCGTGCGGTAGAGCGGCACCCGTTCCAGCTCTTTGCACACCAGCGACACCCACAAAAAAGTGCCTTCAGCCTTGTCACAGAGCTGCTGCTGCACCTCTGCTTGTAATCTAGTATCATACCCAAGCACAGCTGCCAGTCGCCGCACTTTGTAGTCAACAAACGCTGCCACTGCTCGCGACACATGGGTCGCCCTCACCTCGAGGCTCACCTTGATGCCGAGCGAGTCCGGCTGCAGATATCGCTCAATCTCGGGTATATTGCGGCTCGTCACGAGCCGCTTGACCCGCAACCGTTGCCCAAGGCTGGTGTCTGTGATGACGTGCAGAAGCTCAGGCAGTCCAGTCGTGCACTCGTCGAGCGCATCGACAAGCAGGTACGTCGGCGACAGAGCAGCGTCGTTGAGCATGTTCGACAGTATCTCCCTCAGCGCATACACAGCGTTTGGCCCTTCGAACAGTTGCCTACCCACCGTCTCAAAACGCTTCTGCATGTGGCGCACTAAGTCCTTTCTCTGTTCAATAAGCAGGTAGAGGAGCCCTCGCAGGACCGACACCGCGTTGTTGAGCTCTGGCCGCGTGCTCTGGCAGAAGAAGTAGGTCAGTAGACGCTGCCTCGGTGCGCTCTTGACCTCCTGCTTCGACTTGAGCTTTAGCTTCACGAGCATCTTCGACATTGTCCCCGACGATGGCCTAGCTCTATTCTCCTTGCGACAACTCAGCGATCAGACCCATCGTCATCATTGTCTTGCCTTTGCCCGGGTCGCTCTTGATCCACAACAGCCGCGACTCGTCCTGCGTCCTCCATTGCTGGAAGCTGGCGTCGTCCAGTATCCATGCGTAGCAGTCTCGGAGCAGCCGGTCCTTGTCACCTTCAATGCGCGCCCGGTCCTCGCGCGGATCCGTCACTCGCAGGTCGTGCAGGCACTGGTGGAGTGATGGTTCGCCAGCCTCGCGAGGCCTTCCCGGGAAGTGCACGTCGCCATAGACGTTGCCATAGATGTTGGTCGAGTCACCGTCCGCTCGGTTTCCGGTATACGTCGTGTTATCTCTGGCTGGGTGTGGCATTGGTGCGACCCGCGCGCCGTTGCGTCTAGCTAGCGCAGACACTTGCTAGGATGTTCGCAGACCAAGATCACGCATGGATCCAGCCGTCCTCTGTGCGACTGCCTTACAGGGCTTCAGATGGAGGACTTCAGCTGCCGGACGAAGCGCTTGTCGCCCGCTGTTGGGGTCAGGAGAATCTTCGCTCGGGAAGGCTGCTGAGGCGCGGGCGCCCGCATCGCGCTTGGAGTTAAGGCTCCAGCTGCCGGTAGATATTACGGTAGGGGTTCCTTCGGATGCGATTGATCACTCGCTTTGCGGCACGCCGCTCGAACATCAAGCATCGACAACAACTTACTACGTCATCCCTAGAGCATACTCTGTTGGACAATCGCAACCTTGCAGTATGGATCAGGAGAGGCGAAGAGAATAGATGATGTTCGCGCGGCCATTTTCACAAGCTTTACTGAGTCGATCGTGTCAGCAAACCCGTCGAACACGCTGGAACTTGGCTTTACTCGAAAAACACAGGATGGATCGATTCTCTATTGTGTTTGCATGTTTTGTTCGGGTTGCAAGAGGAAACGAGGGGGTGGCCATGAGGGCCGACCATGTGGAAGGTGCAAGGAACATTATGAAGGCAATTGAAAGAACAAGACGACTGGTTCTGCATCGGGCGGCAGTCTACTTTGGCCAATAATATCTTACAATGTTCATAAAACCGTCGTCCACGACCAGCATTTCGAATGCGTTGCACGCATGCTTTGGCCGTGACCGTTCGCAAGACGCGATATGATGCTCGACCCTTGGGTATACACCTTTGTAAGCGTCTTTACCCATCCAACAGTCGAGATGACCGTAACCCTGGACAACTACTCGTTCATAGTTGCCATGCGGAAAGGTTTGTTTGAACATATCGACACTCTTCTTTGTGGCGTTTGGCTGCCACAACGGTGACAGGTCGCCGAGTTGCACATTTCGTTGTTGCGTCTAACTGGGTAAAACCGCAACAGTTGGTCAAGGAGGTAATGGATCCAAGGAGCTGATCGCGACGAACGACAGAAGAACCAATCGCCAGCGAGTACCTAGTACGTAACGATCAAGACAAGCTAACCCAAGTTTCGTAATGCAGAACTTACCCTGTAAGCCTTGATGAGAGACTGATGTCTAGCTTTGAAGTCGTTATCTTTGCTGTAGATCAAGTGGGTAAACACTTGGCTACATGTCATTCCACTAAACCAACTGGCTTCAATGTCGCCATGAAATAGTGCAGTGGCTGTCGCGATACTGCCTAGACAATTGAGAATTGCATATACCCTCTTGTTCTTTTCTTGCTCCCGCACGTACTGCAGGGCTGCTTTGACATCAAGCCGGGCATCGAAAACCGTCCATCCATCCTTTGCTTCGTCGCCGATACCAAAGCGAAGGATTAGCACATAGCAACGATAGCCTTGCGATGTGATGTAGTCGATTGTGTTCGTGGGTATCGTTGGAAGGGAGGAGACTTGACCGTCCACAGAGGCGCCAGGTATGAGGACAATGGGAGTCTTCTTCGAGGCACTTTGTGATGAAGGCTCCCACTTCTTGATGCACATTCACACTCCGTCGGCGGACCGAACCCAGGTCTCGAATGGGCAGGATTCCTTGCTATCGCCGGGCTTGGCATCTGCCAGATCATAGTACTGTAGAGGCCGGAAAGGGCTGAGAATGTATGGAATTACGTTGCGGGCGAAGAAGGACAGGAAACATGCCTTGCTATGGATGCGTCGTAACGCACTTACTTCGCGATTGCAACGCATGGACAGAAGCTCGGTGACGAAGTTTTGTAGTGATAGCCGTAGGACGCCTTTAGCTGTTACAGTGCCGTCTTCCCGTGATATTGTTGAGTACAATGTAGTTGTCGCCGCCCACGTCTTCGACGTCGAGAAAGCTAAATTTGAGTCGATCAACTTGTACCCGTGAAAAACGTAAGCCTTGCCATCTATGCTGAAGAGCTTCAAATTGTAGACTAGATTCACAGCGTCCGATGCCTCGGCATCAACAGTGAAGAAGTCCACTGAACCATGAGCGATACAACTAGCAGTTTATGGTTGAGTGCATATTACACTGTCCTACAATCTCGCGCACGTCGTGTGGCAGGATCGAAGTGATATACATCACTAATGCTACAGTCACCTTCCTTTAATCTGGGCGCGCATCGGCACGAGCCACCTCACCAACATTTCCATTACAACTTTGAGTAGTTGCAGCATCACCAATAATAGACTAAATCAAATGGTTTATGGCTCATTTTACTCGTAAAAGCCTAGTATTTTGTTTGGTAACCATCTGCCTTAATAACAGCATTGATGCGGTCCTGCATGCTGTGAATGAGGCGACGGATCAGTGTATCAGGTGTAAGAACCGTACCAACCGTTTCTTCCTCATACTACTCACACGATTGCTATCCGACTCCTAACCGATCCCTACCCTACTACCTACCGGTATCCCCCGAGCTACATCGAGCTGTTAGATATATAAGCAGGGCAGTGTACATAGTTATGGTAGATAGTTTTTGAGTATCCTTTCGTACAAGACCTATAGGAATAGAGGTTTACTCCTAGTTCTATCTATCCCAGTGCTCCCATACACCTTGTAGCGGATTCGAACCCATATAGGAGTCCTCTCTTACCTGTGTCGTTACAAGTGTATCAGGTATGGTCAACCACACTGCTTTCAAAGCCTCACAGAATGCCTCCCAATCCTCCTGAGACTTGTAACGACGCAGGCCAGCAGGGAAGATATCCGGAATAAGTGTGAGTCCGCTACGAGGCATATGGGAGTGCTGGGACGTTGAGAACACTAGGATTGAATTCCCTACACCTATAGGTCTTGTACGAAAGGATACAGAAAAACTACTCTATCTAACAACTGTGTTGAACTGCTTAAGTATACCGTTAGGAGGACAATCGGACCCGGAGCGGTAGACTAGCTTATCGTGCATGCAGGTGCCAACAGGGGCTCAGATAGTACAGCAGCGCGATGCCTGCCGACATGTATGCAGATAAGGAACGACTCGGAACCGTACCGGTGGTCATTTGGTTGCGGTCGTTACAAGACTCTCCTATGATATCGAATTTGGGGTAAGCAAGGTGCATGGCCCTTTTAAGTGCCCACCAGAGGTGTTCAATGGGGTTGAGGTCTGGTGAGTATGGTGGGTGATTGATCATCCATATGCCATGACGCTCCAGGTAATCCTTGGTCTTTTTTGCAGTATGAACCCGGGCATTATCCTGCATAAACTGCTCCCCTGGCTTGTAATAGGGTAAGAGACCTTCATCTAATGCTTTAAGATAGGACCAGGCGGTATATCCTTGTCCTTTGGAGGTATAATCCCTTTCCATGATCACCAGAGGAGACCTTCCAACCCGACCCCCCAAAGTAACCCAGACTGAAGCCCAAACCATCTGTTGTTTACCACGATTAGTTGTCACTTCTGTGACTTTATTGTGGTCCCACTTCTCCTCTGGAAGCCTGAACACCCACTCAGCATTGGCTCCTGAACCTCTTTGGACTGAACACTCATCACTGAACCTGACAACCTTCCGTTTCCAGTTGAAGCCTGTGACCTCCCTGGCATGTTTAAGACGCCATTGAGCAACAGCAGTAGTAATCTTTGGTCGACGTTTTGCCCTGAAGTTCCGGAGTCCATCTTTGGCCAGAGTTCGGCGAATAGTGGTGGTGGAAACAGAGGGTCCCTGGTCAGAGGTGAGAAGCCAACCAAGTGCCTTCTGTATTTCCCTGTACTCAATTTTTGGACAATTTTGAACCAGGCGATGGAGATAACGTCTTTCTCGACGGGATATACGTGGAGGTTGACCAGGCCGAGGCTTAGATTGGTTGTTGCCAGTCATGTTGTACCGCTGGATTGTCTTCTGGATTGTGCGACGTGAACAGCTGAATTCTTCTGCCAGTTCCTTGGTAGTACAGCCTGCCTCTGCCTTGGAGACAATACTATCCCTTTGGCGAACAGACAATTCACCACCTGGGACGCGATCTCCTGAAATTTCAGCTCCAAAAGCCCTCATTGTGGTTGTGCAGTAGCGGGTTGAAGTTGTGATGTTGGTCATTGCATTTGTGGTGGTTGGGGTTCGGCCCGTGCGCCGCGAACAGATTAATGCCTTAGTACAGTAGCTCGAAGCTGTAAGGCTGACTCCGGGCTCACCTTCCGTGTTGCACACGACAGGCTGATGCTTCTGACATGAGCAAGGCGGAAAGCGCAATCGTCTCAAAGGTTTTCACCGATGCACGATCAAGACATCTTGGCGGAGGTTGTGGGATTGCCTGGATTTGGGGCCAACGCCCTTGATTAGGGTTGACTGCCTCGCCTCCATCCGCAGCGTTGTGCGCTTTCGCACGACGACATTGTCGGCGAATGCATGCATTAGCTCGATCATTGCATCACGGTGCATATTGATATGTGTGCTTCCTCTGATCATTCTTGATATTTGCGATTCGTTTCTCTGCCTGAAATTGCTGCGCACAGCCACTGTACACTTACAATTCGCCGACCTCGAAAGTCCAGCATCTCCTGCTTCTCCAGACCAAAGGTCGCATTACTCTTGCATAGATTTTTTCGAATGTTCGAAATTGCATTCACTTCCTTTGCCATCACCGCAAAGAGATCCTCAATCGATCTTACACGCTTGTTCTCGAGGACAGCCACACGCATACACCGCCTACAGTTTTGCCACACCAGCCGTCCGCGTCAACCCTGGTCCATTCTGACATATGTGCACGAGTTTCGACTGATGCAAACTTGTCTACCAGGTTTGGGGAAGACAAGAAACACAATCCTTAGCTAAACGTTCACGCGCTCAGCAAAGCCCACTCACTGCCCACGACCCGTGACTGCCTCAAGCCCGCCACCCCCGCACATGTCAATGTTCAGTGTTCTCGACATTTACCCAACCAAGGCTCCAAAGCCCATGCATTACACTCAATGAGCCCCAATCATCGAGGACGACAATCGAGTGCGCGATTCCGCAACCCTCATCAAGCGTTACGGTCAAGATGGCCGGAGGAATCTCAACTATCGTTCAGATAACTGCAGCATCGTGGAAGGTGGTCGATCGGACTATACTGTTCATCAGAGAGATGCGCGTCATTGACAAGTCGGGGTGGAAAGGCTTGTCCAGACATTGCATCGACTCCGAGGAGCCATTGCCCTCGTAGGGAAGACTTGCGATCCAGCTGGAGGCGAGGCATCGAACGAGGCTCTTGTCTTCATACGCGACACCCGATACCTTCAGGGCTCTTTTGGATGAAGCATTAGACTTGGTACATGAATTAGCTGCTCAAGACTCAAACCATCCTTAGGGGAAGTTTAAACTGTTGATCCGGTCAGACTGGTGGAAACCAGATATTGACGGCTATGCCAAAAAGATTGAACTGTTGGTCGGCGATCTCAGCACTGGTATACACTGCTAGACTCTGTATGTATACCCCAAGTGCTTCCATGTCGCCTTGCTGACGTACCCACAGTGATATAATACAGGCTCAGGATAAAATCGCCGATGATATATGCAAAGTAAGAATCATCCTGCAGACTTCAGAACAGGACTGACGCATATAGTATAGAAATCCTTCCCGACTCTGGTACGTACTACAACGTATCTTGCGGGAAGACTATATCTAGAGCACCATGGATCCTATGGTCTCGATGGACATATGGCACACAATCCAGATGCAGCTTTGCCGGCGTCTGCCTCCACCCCTGTCTTACCTCCCAAGACCAATAACGCTAGTGACAATAACCAGAAGCCTTCTGGAGATACACAAGACGATGTGCAAGCTCAGTTTCATTTCCAGATAGCGAAGTGCATGTGCGACCCGGACAAAGTTACCAAAATTTGGGCCATCCTCAACAGACATGAAGATGGCTCGATACTGGCAAAGCTAGTGGACAAGGATGGTCGAAAGCCACTACATCTCGCCGCTGAAAAGGATGATGAGGAACTAGGACGTGTTCTGGTCTGTTTCGGTGTAGACGTTAATGTAGAAGACCGCGAGCCAGCCTCGGTCCTAAACTTTGTTGTCGCAAATAATCACGGCAACTTCGTCAGATTTCCTGTGAGTGAAGGAGTTGACGAAATCAAGGTCGCTGAGAAGAATTTGACAAGATTCAAAGAGGTGTAGGAGGTCGCAAAGCTCACAAACCGAAAGTCATTAGAACCCCAAAGAGAACTCAAAGCTTGACAGGCACACTCAGGCTGCGCATAACGGCACAAATACGAGCTGAAAGTGTAGTATGAGCATACAACTCCAGAGAACTTCAAGGATCTTGTCGCGAAATATGGTTGGTGTTTATGTTTTGCACAACTGCAACAGCCGTGATGCCGCGATGACGTCAAAATTCCCAACGTCATGAACAGTAATTCCAACTCAACATATACAACAAAGATAAAAACCGCTGTTCACAGCTTCAGCGCATCCAACGGCATACCAGTTCACACAAGCAACATGCAATCGGTACTAGGAAAAGTCATCGGCCCGAAGGAGATCCACCCCGAGAACCTCAATGGACGCGTCGCAGTCGTGACAGGTGGCGCACTCGGTATTGGGTGTGTACTGCCCTACTCCTGACCACATCCGAACTAACAATGTGATAGATATGAAGTCAGCCGCGCGCTCGCCCTTGCCGGCGTGAAAGTTATCATGGTGAACCGCAAAGAAGAGCAAGGAACCGACGCCATCGAGACCATCAAGAAAGAGAAGGCAGATGCACAAGTTGAGTGGAAGCATTGCGACATGGGCAACCTGAACGAAGTGAAGAGCGCATTCACCGAGATCCGGAACTCACTAGACCGCCTCGACTTCTTGGTCCTCTCGGCGGGTATCAACACCAACCAGTACGGCACAGATCACGACGGAATCGATCGCCATTTTGGTGTCAACTGGCTCGGTCACTTCTACGTGTGCAATCAGCTGTGGCCTTTGCTCCGCAGGACAGGAAAGTTAGGCGAGAAGCCTGCTCCGAGAGTGGTGTTTGAGGCGAGTGAGATGCATCGCGGTGCGCCGCCGAACGTGCACTTTGGCAGTCTGGAGGAGCTGAACAACCCTGATATTGGACCCACACAACTCTACGGACGCACCAAGCTGGCTATGATCCTGGGTGCCAAGTACGGGCTGAGAGACCATGTCATCAAGCCTAACAGTGACAACATCTACGCCTTGAGTGTGCACCCTGGTGCGGTAAGTCAAAAGAACTCACAGTGGCTCACGATACGGAAGCTAATTGGTGATTCCAGGTCAATACAGCAATGCAGCAGCAGTGGAAAGACGCTTACCCTGGCATCACCGGCGTCATTCTCACCAATGCCATGCTCTTTGCCGGTCGTTCACCAGAGCAGGGTTCCTACAGTGCGCTGTGGGCACTGACCGACCCATCCATCGAAGAGAAAGACCTCAACGGTTACTACTTCGCAGACCCTGGGCAGCCAGGAAAAGAGACTGCGCAGGCGAGTGACCCAGCACTTGGCGCTGCGCTGTGGGATCTGAGTACGCGACTTGTAAAGGAGAAGGTTGGTGAGGACGCTTTGCTGGACTGGAACGCGGAGGGGAAGCAGAACTAAGTGAATGAAAGCAAGCACACTTTGTTAGTAACAGACGTTTAGATGAGATACCTCTAATGATCAAATGATGACCTAACCTCTTCTCGTGTCTCATCTTCACTGTGAAAAGCACGGGCCACCGCAAAACTCACGACTGGATAGCTCATGATTCGATCGTGCAATCCATGCTTGACGATTTGCTCCCTGATAGTGCCATCCTTGCCTTGCCAGTCCATCTCTCAACCTCCAGCGCCAAACGGGATCCTTTCTTTGTGTTTCCTCTTTTCCGGGTCTTCGAAAGTAATTGACGAATCGGCATCCAGCCTTCCGTTCACGCCATGCCAGAACAAAATATCTGAGTGCACCGTTGGGATGTCTTAGTCATCTTCGGCGTGTATCAACGTGATGCCGTACTTGCGTTTACGGTCGTCAAGCTTGATCGAATCCAGGTATTGTACAAGCTCAGCCCGTCTCTCCTGCGACGGCCACTTGCTGATGGTGAAGTGGTTCAAGAGTGGAAGCAACTTGCGTCGTCCCTGGAGCGCGATCAGTCTGTGGGAGTCGGCAGCCTTGTGTTGTGCTCGGGATGTGTGTTCGAACTCCACTTGAGCCAACGGGTGGAGGTGAGAGAGCTGCGACTGGGTCGATAATGGGGTTGCCTAGGTGCTAGTAGCACCCTCGGAAAGAGGGTTCCTTGTAGAAGGCCAAACCTCAAATGAGAGCACACAGTCAGGCACAAGCATGAATCCCTCCAAACGCAAAAACAAGGCCAGAACGAACTAACTCTGAGAAGAAAACGTGTATTCAAGATCCCCCACCTCCCACCATGGGCACACAAGCCTCAGTTGCCCACCTCAACAAGAATGAAAAATGATATAATGCAATCCAAGCTGTCCAACCCGTCCGTTATGATATCCCGACAGAAAGCCTTGCTTAGGGCTTAACGCACGCAACCATAAGCTTCTCGTAGTCCCCTCGTGTCTCACCCTCAATCCTCTTGACAAGGTCCTTACCATACTTCTTCCTGTACTCGTTGCTGACCGCGTTCATGAAGTTGCGGTCCCAGTGGCATCTGACCACGCGCTGTACGAGCAGCTGGTCCTTGGTTCCCATACCCGCCATGCTCTCCTCCAATCTCACCGCCTCAGCAAGCGCACGGTTCTGTGCACGCGCGAGCAACAAGAGGAGTGCGTCCTCCATGTGCCCGGAGAATGCACTCTTCAAGACGGTGTGGAGGTCCTTGCGGAAGCGCTGCTGGTAGGATTGTGCGATGGCGCGCAGTTGCGCATCGTTCTTGGCGGTAAGGATCTGGCAGACCTGCGCGGCGTTCTTACTAACCATGTTACCAATACCAGTTTGCAGGTCTGTAACAGCCTGTTCGATCTCCTGGGGGATGACGGGTGCCGAGTCCTCCGCGCGCCGGGCGGCGGTGATCATCATGTACATCTGCTCCGTCGCCGCGCTGAGGTCGCCGCGCAGATCGTTTTCGAGGGGTTTCTTAAAGAGGCGCTGGTATTCTTGCTTGATGGCATTGATGTCGGCGTTGCTGCGGTTGATGAGGATGTCGTCGAGGATGGCTTCTTTGGTGCCCATGCCTTTCATGGCGTTGAAGAGGTTGTAAGCGTCAGCGGTTAAAGGGCCGCGGGCGATTTCCACAAGGCCCTCTTTGAAGTAGCTGCTCGTCTCTTTCTCGAGATCGCTGACCATGCTTCTCATCAGTCTCTGATCGTATTGTGTGCGGATGGTGTTGATCTGAATAGGGTCTTTCTTTGATAGTGTTGCAATGAGTGCCTTCTCGTCGGTTCCGAAGCCCTTCATGGCCTTGCGAATAGCCTCGACATCCCGTATAACATCGATGTTAGCGGTCTGCTGAGGCCCGTACCCAAGCGAAGGCTGGTTTGGAGGTCCAAACTGTTGCTGCTGGGGTGGAGGTTGATACTGGCCTGGTGGCGGCGCACCATACTGTTGCTGTTGCGGGGGAGCTCCATACTGTCCTTGCGGTGGTGCTCCATACTGCCCATGTGGAGGCGGTGCGCCATACTGTCCCGGTGGAGGTGCGCCGTATTGGCCTGGCGGTGGTGCACCGTACTGACCCTGCGGAGGCGGCGGCTGACCCCACTGCTGCTGCTGCTGAGGTGGAGCTCCATACTGGCCGCCTTGAGGTGGTCCGCCATACTGGTTAGGTGGTGGCGCACCGTATTGTCCAGGTGGAGGTTGGCCCCATTGCTGCTGTGGTGGAGGGGCGCCGTACTGACCTTGCTGTGGATACTGTTGGTTATGCATTGGAGGTTGCCCGTAGCCTTGGGGAGGTCCTTGTTGATACTGTGGCTGCTGGCCGTAGGGTTCTGGCAAGTATTAATACAGGTTTCTCTCTGACTGCCAAGTATGGCACGGTCGATCTGTACATAGGAGTAGATGCACAGCCCGCGGCGTCATGACTTACGGCCTTGATAGGGTGGTTGCCCGTAGCCTCCCGGTGGTTGGTTGTATGCCATAGGTTCGTACTGCAAGTGCTCTAGTCGGACTTGGTAAAAGGCGTACTCCGGAGTAAGCGCTACGGAGAGATTACGGTGCTGAAAGTTCGAGAGAAGGTGCAAGCGGGAGATCAGTCAAAGAAATATGTGGTCCTTGAAGCGGCCTCGGGTAAGCTTATTTGGTAGAGGAGGTTGGCAGAACCAAAGTTGATGAGGGGCTGAGTCGAATGTTTTGCGCCTCTTTACTCAGCCCCGCGATGGTGGGGTGAAAACATGACGACGAAGCCATGAACAGCCAATGCTGGGCAGCCATTGGGTGGTATTTCTTGGCTGGGCTGAGCGGTCCTTCCCTTATGATTCGACGAAGTCCATGGTTCGCAGGTCAGGCGCGCACCCGCTAGCACCTGCCATGTGCTGCAATCACCTTTTAGGCAGCCATAGCTTCACTAGCGCGTAAGGCTGTGCGCTACAAAGTGGGGCAGCACCTGCCGGTTACGATGCAATCATCAGTCAACAAACACTGAATTGTGAAGATATGCGCGCCACAGAACTGTTGGTGGTAACATCTGGTGAGGCGAGGTACGATTGTGATCTTCACTTGATAATAGCTTCTGGTATAGGGTGGACATGGGCTGTGGCGCAGCTACTCTACGGAATAGTGCACCCTGAAGGAAGTGCAAGACACTCATCAGTCAACAATCGATAAATTTGAAGCCTCAGGGGTAATCACGCCACTACTATGAGCGTCGTGTGTCAACAGAACAGAGTCTGTGGCATCGTGATGTAGCGATTAGCTCGTTGTCACCTGGCTGCTCTAAGATTCGTCGATTAGAATATAGGCTTCGCATACTTCACCACTCCACGGTACATGTTGACTGCGGGTTGTGGCGAAGCAACTTCAGGGACTAGACTTCCATTATGGAGCAGTTGTGATGCAACCATCAATCACCAACTCGAAGCCTGGAGGTATGCATCACCATCACAATTGATTGTCCAACAAAGCCCACTTGGTAAGACCGCAATCGCAATACATTGATTCAGCCTCAAACGCTCCACGAAGCTGCAATATACGGGGCAAACTTGGCGTTGCCTATACTTGGTATTGTGACTCCAGTAGAGAACAATGCCATGAGACGGACATCAAAACCCAAATGCTAGGCATCTGGTACAGCGGCAATATACTCCTCTATCAAAAACCTTCTCCCCTACCCCGTCCCAGGCGTGTTGCCATCATCAGTACAGAAGCACCGAGCCCTGGAAATACGCGCCACAATCACAATGTTACTTCCCACAGTACAACTTTGGGCGGAGCAACACAAGTGTCCCCAGGGGCTTTTCAGGGATTACATGGGCCAGCAGAGAACTTCAGGTCATACGTACAAGCTCCCTGGTGGCTGGAAAACAAGTACACTTGAGGGTTCCAAGTAACGTAATGGCGAATTTATGTATGTCATAAGGAGACAGTATATGTATGATGCTCTCAGGGGCGAGATGTATGTTTCGCGCGTATACTTTGATATAACAATTACAACAGTAAGCTATGAAATGGGTATCGGAACCTAAACGCCAGGCGACCAGCGCCGATATGCTCTCCTCCTGCCGCTCCTCCGCCTCTCATCACTCTCGCACTCTTCCCATCTTTCACCTCTTAATCTTTCCTCACGTGGCCCTCCTTGCGTTCCAGTCTCAGCGTCAACGCCTCTCACTCCCTCCAACCTTCTTAACCAAACTCATCAGACTGCCCCCCAACGTCGGCCTCCGCTCCAAATTCTGATTCTTCTGATACTTGCTCACTTCCGCCTTGTCCCAATCGCCGTAGCCCTTCGGCGGCTCAGGCCCATTTCCATTCCCAGAATTCCACCTTTCATCACAAATCCCATGCCCATTCTGTGAGTGCCGCGCGTAGTAGTCCGGACCGGTATGGTCATGATGCGAGTGTGCAGATTCGTAGGACTGGCGGGGGTCGTAGCCGTACTGTGAGGAGGATGAGCGGCGGCGGTGATGTTGATAGGTGGGCGAGCTTGACATCACAGCCTGCTGCTGTTGAGGCGAGTATTGATAATTTTCTGGAATGGGTTGCTGCTGTGGGATAGGCTGGAGATGCTGTGCTGGGTAGGAATTCGAGTATGGGCTTGAGGGTGGTGGGTAGGAAGGTGATGTGCCGTAGCCGTATGCGTAGTCTGACGAGCGTCTTCGGTTCGATGCTGGAATTGCTATTGGGTTTGAGGCAGGTGATGGTTGTTGATATGGCGCAGTCGGCGGAGGAGGGAAGTAGCTTGACTGCTGCTGCGGATATGTCGCTAAGCCTGGGGTAGTGGGGTATGGCGGGTTGGAGTGTGAGCGTGTTCGTTGCTGCTGTGGCTGAGGCTGGTAACCTGGATGCAGTTGCCCCAAATGGGCTGCGCCGTAGGATGACATTGTGTTGAAGTCTTCGGGATGGAAGAGGCGGTAGACTAGAAGGAGATCCGTTTTGACGGCTTGAGCAATCGGATTTCTGGTGATGTATGCTAACCCTCAGTCTTGGCTAAGGAGCCGGATCCTGTTTTCGAGGGCGATGTCGTATGCGACTGGTCCCGATGTGAATCGACTTGCAGATTGCGCTCCCTAACCGAGATGTTGTGAACCGTTTCAGAACAAGTAAGTGTCAATCTGCTTAGGATGCAATCCATCCCGCAGCGTCTCGGCGCTGGTACATATACATCTTCACTCTCGCAACAGAGCCTCATCACGAGGATATGCTTGCTCAGCCCTGCTAGGCTAACTCGTAACTACACCGGCGAACCATGCATTCAGCCCAATCGCAGAGCATCGCAAGACGAGTCTGCCGCACAGTGACCGAGCTGACCGATGCGTCGTTAAAGCCCCTCTCGCCGGTCCACGCTGTAAGGCGGGAAGGAGGGCGGAGGGCAAGGAACAAGGGTCGATGACATCAGTTGCTGGGCGGTTCACCGTAAGCGAGCGCTAGGTGCCTGACTAGCGCGCATTAGGTGGTGTGGAGGGCTTTTGATCTCGTTGGTGGACATGATGGGTTGCGGGATGTCGATCTTTCAGCTTGCAAAACACAAACACGCCGCCTGCGTGCGGGGTGAGGCTTGAACTTGGGATGGCCATGCTGCAGCCGGTGAGTATCCCACTCGAAGTGGTGGAGAAGTGCAGTTGATAGGCAATGGAGATGGAGAGAGTGTTGTGAGGTGTGGGTGTGAAGATGAGTGTATTAGATGTCTCATGAACGCTATGCCTCGCTCGCTGTACTCCGCATAATCTATGGTTGTACAATGTAAAACGCACATTCGAACGCCAGACACGCCTGCTGATGCCGTGTACGCCGAAGAAGATAAAGCCGTCTCGAACTCGAACTTCAGCGCTTGAAGTGTTTGTTCGGAGCGTGCAGTAAGAATGGACCCCTGTGTGCCGTCCGCGGCTTTTGATGTCCTGCTTGTTGCCCGACAAGTCGAGAGCTGAACTGTGTAATTCCCTCTTCCTGAGCCTGACTTTGCTTGACGTGGTCACGAAGATGCCAGTGCCTAAAGACTGTACTCCTTGTGATCCACGCCCACCTGGTTCGTGCAGCGTCGGGGATGTGCATGACGGAAGTGCATCGCACACCACGACATCCGAGCGTAGAAGGAACCGGTCACCGATGCGTCACGGCTCGCTCAGTTGTAGGTCTCGCCGATGTGGCGCTCGTTCTCAGGCTTCCAGGTACCTGTAACATGTCAGTTTCCAGATCGCAAAGATGCTTTGAATTGTGCGACGCAAGAGCCCTCAGACCGGGCAACTGGCTACGCAGTCACACAGCTGCAGCGTTGTACGGCGTCACGAATGCAGGTACGATGCATGACAAGGAAGAGTTCAATGCTTACCTTCGAAGGCGTGCTTCACAAACGCCATGGGATCGTCGTCCTCACCAGCGCCCATGGTTTTGATGCCAGGGCTGAAGCTAGTGATAGGCAGCACGATGACATCGCCGATTTTCTTGGGCGCCTTCATGCCAGTGAAGTGCTCCCAGGTGATGTTGCCCTTGCTAGAGCTCATGTCGAAGTAGTCGGGGTCGTTGAAGAAGCCGAAGATGGAGTCTGTCCAGCGCGCAGGGCCTGTGAACTCGATTATGCCCTTGTGATCCTTGGTGAGCTTGCCCTCGGCCTTGCGCTTGAGCGTCTCATGGGTGATGTTCGCAACGACTTCGACAAGGATGGGGTGGCCGGGCTTCGCTTGCATGGTCCACTGGCAGAACTGGATGCGGCGAGAGTACCACTCAGCCCAGTCTGGGCGGTCTGGGTCGGCTTCGATGCCAAGGACCATGCCGTAGGTGTTCGAGGGGACGTCTGAGGGGATCCAATCGGCGGCGCTCTTCAGGGCTGAGGTGTCGATGTCGGAGTAGATTCCGCCGCGAGCGAGCAGGATCAGGTAGCGGAAGAAGTCGGCCTTCAGCACGGGGAGGGGGAGCGCGTTGTAGGCCTCGAGGACCTCAGGGACAGACGCGTACAGATGCCTAATGAGGTGCACGGCGACGTTATCGGTGATGACCTCGTGGACGAAGTTGGGGTGGTGGATGGACCAGCTGGCCTCTGCCTCGCGGAAGGATTCGCTGAACTCGCCCTGCGCAGGTGTGTACTTCCATGTCTGCCATATGTAGGCGGGGAACTTGGAGTCGACGTCGTAGGGGAACTGGTACTCGAGCTGCTGCTTGAGCGGGCGCGTCTTCAACTCGTCGAGGCTGATCTGCTCCTTGGCCTTCTTCACTGCTGTGTCCGGGCTGCTGTTGAAGACCTTGTCTGTCTTCTCGGCCGCCTTCTTGGCCTCCTCAGCCTTCGCGGCTGCTTCTTTCGGGTTGACCCACGGGCTGGGCTTGGGCAGGTCGTGGGCGTTCTTGAAGGTCGGCGACTTGTTGCTCGTGTGATGCGACTTGAACAGGAAGAAGAGTGTCAGGCAGGCCAGCGAAAGCACGAGGGCCTTCTTGAAGGTGAGCATCGTGGGCGGGGCGCGGGCCTCGAGGGCAGCGCAGGGGAGATAGGAGCGCGGGGGTGTAAGGGATCGGTCGGCGACAGCGGCGGGCTTAGTGATGCAGGAGTGCGCGTGGGACACAGCAGAGGACTCGCAGGGAAGGGGGTATGGGTACGGGAGCGCCTGTCTTTGCTCTTTCGCTGTGTCGTAGCCGGCTGGGGAAAGCTTGGCCTTATCAGTCGACGCTTCTCGATCACCCCGGATAGTCCAAAGCTGCCTTCCAGCGATTGCGAATTGGCTGTGGAAATTGGCAACAGGCACGCACTCTGAGGGGCTCGAGGGCGGCGGAAGGAAATAAAGAGACGCGCTGCTGGCAAGACAAAGCGCAGGCTTTCGGCGGTTTTGTTGGGCATAAGGTGGTCGGGTCTTTTCTTCCAGGGCAGCTCTTAGCAGGGGTTGTTTCACACGCCCGGGGCGCGCTAGGTGCAACGCTGAGCAACGCCGATCGTAGCGTGCCTCTCTGGCCCTGCACTGTTCGGCCTTGCTCTGCTGACAACCCCCATGCGACTGGCCGCCAGCAGAGGGAGTGGATTGTCCGGCGCTGCAATTCGCCGTCCCCTTCGTGCCTGCAGCCCACTCAATTCACGACGACAATGCGTAGAGATTGCGTGTAGATACGGCCGCTGTCAGGCCTCAGCTAATCATGGCAGGATTTTGCTCGCATACGAGGTTGGCTATCGCGAGTCCGGCTAGCAGCTGAAGCGGCAAAGCGGCCGCCACGCGTTCACCTCTATCAATCCCCGGCACTGCTGCACAGGCGAACGCCACTGATCTGACGCGGCCGTTGGCAAAGTCTCCCGTGGACGAGACTCTCACCACCGTCGCAGCGATAATGCTTGTCGTCCCTGCTGCAAGGCACAGCATCCTCGACAAAAGCTTCACTCTTTTCCCTGTCGTTGCACTTGGCCTCCCCTTGATGGCTGTTCGCAGCAGGCCAAGCGAATTGCGCGGCAACGGGATGGGCTGAAACTTAGCACTCCCGGCTCATGTCGCCCTCTTTAGCACCATCTCTGCATCTTTCTTCCGGTCCTCTCCAGCCTATGAAATCAGTCGACACACCAAGTTCATGCAGCCACAGATGCATCACTATATAAAAAGCTGCAGCTACCTCCAAAAGCTGACGTCTGCTGGCAGTCGAAAGGACAGATGTCATCAGGAACCATCGCTCATGCAGCCACGAAACTCGCACACGGCACTCTGACTGGTGGACATCAATCACGCGTTATCTTGTACAATCGCACAGCTGCCGCCTCGGACCTGTTGCGAGGTTGGCAGTTTCAGCCATCTGTGGAGACGTCATGGACGCAGACCAGCCCCAGGAACGCGTGATTTTGGATGCTGTTCTGGAAACGAGATGGAGCCGCTGCTTCCGCTCCAGACCGGCTGTTCTCCACAAAAACTCCACAACTATGGGATGAGCATTTGGCGACCATCATTTCGACAAATGCATTGTCTCTTTAAAAAGGATACGTCTTCAAATGTAAAAGGATGAAAGGATGAAAGGCTTCGAAAGACACATCCATTTGTATCGGGTTGATCCTTCCGCATCGAACCTCGTATCTACTCTTGTCTCCTCCCCTTTCTGGCCTCCGGACCGTCGATGGATCCCCACAGATAACAACAGTGTTGGTGCAATTGAAGCTTCCGCTTGCATCACGACAAGACTTCTTCCTCTATCCCAAGTAGAGTTCGAGTCTTGAAGTCGTTCTATGTGGAGACCCCACGATGCACTCCTTGTATCGTTCAAGTCCGTGTTCATGCAACTGCCTCATCCCATGTTCTCACATTACAGCGTAGCTTCAACCTCTTAAGAGATGGACGTTAAAGCTTGCGCAGACACGGTACTCTAACTCAGCTGCAAAGCCCTTGCAGACGTTGGACTGTCAGCGCTTTAATCACCTCACGTTGGTGAGAGAACGTCAAAGCTACTCAGCTAGAAGCAGACGCGCTGTACAGAACTTGTAGAGCTTCGCCTCTTGAAACGATAGCATCGAGCACGAGCGTGGGTCTGTCGTACATGCTAACATCTCAATCTTCTGTCTGTCTCTCGAAAGCTTATACCCAGGCGTCTGCACAGCTTGGAGGACGTTGGAGCAATACCGGTAGCTCAGACAGTAACACTCCACGGAAGCTTCCAACTTCCTGACCAATGGTGTGACCGAGCAAGCAATGGGTAACGTTTCCCATTTAGCGGGTAAATCGACGATTCGCCAGAACCTGCCGGATCAGGCAAGTTGCCAGTGGGTCGAAGGCCTCACTTTCCCTCATGACCTATCCTCGAACCATGTCGACCTCTTACTTCTGTGAAGTGATGGCGACACGCTTTACTGGCACATTAAGATCCCGGGCGTGACTGCCTTGTCGCGACACTGAGTTGGAGCAGGGAGGCGCCAGCGCCTGCAGTGGAAGGAGGCAAAGTGCAGCGAACAACACAGCCTCACTTGCAGCCCACCTCGCTCGTGTTTCTCAGCCTGGCAACGCAACATCTGCCTTCTGCTTCTTACCTCACTCAAATCCTATGTCGCTTTCAATCTTTCAGTATACATGGAAACTCTTGTGACCGTCGGTCTTGCTGGCATTGTCGTTCAATTCGCGTTATGCCTGGGAACGTTGGTGAAAGAGGCCAAATCCATCCGGAAGACTGGAAGCTCCGAAGAGATTCCTGAGTTCAAACGCTCAACGCAACAAGTTATCGACCAGTCGGCTGCGCTCTAGACACGCTCGGAAGCCTCCACGACAGATTTGGCTGAAGAAGATCAGATTCGTAGCCGCACGCGGTATGCAGTAGGTTTTAATGTAACACGAGTAGAAACTCCTGGATCTAGCCAGTGTGTGTGAAGAGAAGGGAAGGCAATTTCTCGCTTACTTGGAAACGCTGCTGCCTGTCACTCATTAGATATCCGAGCTTTCAAAGCGGCTATCAAAGTCACCCATATATGGAATAAGATAGAAACTTTCATTGATGCACTGCACAGGCTGCAAAACTCACTTACTCTGGCAACCGTCCTCGCGTGTCGACAGAGTGCGAAGGGCAATCATGCCGAGGTGCTCCCGCACCTGAAAGAACTACAAAGCTGTCTATAAGCCCAAGACTCGAAGTACACCACCATCGGGACCACCATTCGATTGCTTTCAGGTTCCCTACAAAGTCAAAGCGAGGCAAATCACGAAGCCATCAAATCCGAGACTAGAAAATGCTTAGAGGCGATCGGGCTTATTAAAAGCGACCTGAAACAGCCAAGGTCAGCGAACGTACAGTTAGGGGGGGGGGGGGTTGTGAAGGTGAAATTCGCAGATGGCTTGACTTCCGTCAGATCGCGTGGAGATATGATGGTGTCGAGAAAGCCTACAGAAACACATACAAATGGATCTTTGAACCTTCCTAAGGTGTCACACGCCGGGACGACTTTTCGGCGTACCTGCGAAGTAGGAATGTCAAAGTGTTGAAGGGTTTAGATGTCGATTGATCTCCTTTCTTGAGCTATGGCAAGAATCGATCGAGACTATATAGTAGAAGGCAATAGCAGTGAAAGGTGGGAAGCAAACTGAACTAACCAAATGAGCTGGGCAGTCACTGCAGCGGGCCGCTAGCAAACAGATGGCAATCGGTGGATACCTTCACTCCTTCCGACACAAAGGGCCATATATCATCAACGGAAAAGCTGGAAGTGGCAAATCAACGCTTATGAAGTTCGTCCTTCAGCACAAAAGAACCGCAGCAGCTTTAAGGGAGTGGGCCGAGCCCGGCAGCGAGGTCCTCGTCATCCACGTCTTCTTCTGAAATTCCGGTACTCCGTTACAGAAAGCTCATGCAGGAATGCTCAGGGCTCTGTTGCACACCATCCTCGGCAAACATCCTGAACCCATACCTGCCGTGCTACCCAGACTCTACCATGGACAAGACTCCTCATTTGCCGTCTCCGAGCCCGAATATATTGAATTGAAGTGGGCGTTCAGCGTCCTATCGAGAAAGCGCACTTCTTGAACCTGGCGATCTTCATCGATGGTGTGGTTAAAGTTCGAGGGCGATCACAGTGATATGTCACTGTTCCTACGGTCTTTAGCTTCGGAAAACGTCAAGCTGTTAGTTTCCAGTCGCCCTATCAAGGCTTGCCTTGACGTCTTCGGAGGTTGGCCTTCTCTACGCTTGCAAGCTCTCACAAGAAGCAACATGGAAGTGTTCTTACATGGATTTCTCTCCTCTCACAACGAAATGGTCGCACTCCTACAAGCCTTTCCGGACCAGGCTCCGGATCTTGAAGCTACAATACAGGAAAAGGCTGAAGGTGTATTCCTATGGGTTGTACTTGTTGTGCGGCTGCTTCTCAACGGCCTACGCAATGGAGATACCCCTGTAGAGCTACAGAAGACGGTCCAGTCCCTGCCATCGGACTTGAGAACTCTTTACATGCAATTGTTCAGAAGTATGAAGCACGAGTACCAGACCCAGGCAGCCAAAGTCTTCCAGTTAGTCTGTGCATGGAGCAACACCTCTCAGCAACACTCGGTCCTCGCGCTAGTCCTGTCCCATGCTATCGATCATCCTTCGACTGCATTCATCACACCAAAAGAACCCCTCACAGGGAAGTCGTTTGAGTTGAAGGTGGCATGTATTGCAAAACGAATCAGGGGTCATTGCAATGGACTGCTCGAGGTTTATGACAAAGATAACAACAGCGAGTTCTTACTGTTGCTCGGAGTGCATTGCCATGATTCTCTCCTTGCACATTCACATCGACTCCCATAGCGATTAGTTCCCTTAACCGTCTCCAATTGACCATGCAAGAAGGCTGCATATAGTGGGTTCGTATAGAAGATATCCAAACAATACTGGGAGGCGCCATGCTCTTGCCGTGTCCTTGATGTGGTTTGATGGTCTTTGAGGACTTCCGGGAATCCGAAAGTATCATAACGTACTCCCATAAAATTATCATGTGTTTCTAAAGGGCGCTAGTCTGGTAAAACCAGTTCAGCATAAGCTTTCAGCAACCTTTTAACGGCATCCCAGCTCTTATTGTCATAAAGTACACGTAGCAACTTCTCGACTTGTGGTACTAACGGAACATAGAGTTGATGGCCTCTGATAGCTCAACGCTGCTCGATTTGTCGATGCAGCAGGTGTCTACCCAGAAGTACTCCAGACTGTCGCGCTTTGCTTGTTGTTCACAGAACAGAATCTTTCTATTTGCCAGTACCGTTCGCTATGTCCTGGTAGTTGACTTCCTCATTGTCTGGACCCCAAGCACGTGAAAGAATGGCGAATGGCGGAAGGCTGTTGTTCAGAAACTCGCTGAGGTGGAGGGTGCCATTATAGCGAAGCTGTAAGAGCCGCATTGCCTGCAAGCATGTCCAGCAATGAGCCGGGAAATCAGTTGTGGTTCATGGGATGGTGTAAGGGAGGAGAAGGAAACGAGAGGTCGCAGCAAATGAAAGATGGCCATTGTGGCGGAGTATAGTGGCGCAGGCTAATGCAGCTAGGCTTGAGCGGAATCGCGGTGTGTTCTCAGCCGTACAGCAAGGCTACCAAGGAGCAAACTCGACACTTCAGCCTGGTCAACATGAAGATCAGAGGACCTATAGTTTAGACGTGGTTAGGATATTCTGAAAATAAGATAGAGTTGATGTGTCGTGGTTATACGGCACGATGCTATGTGGGTAGGAGAAGTTGTCGACTCCAACAGGCCGGTTATGATGCTACAGACTCAAGGAGATGTCCGCTCTCAGGTCCCGTGAACTTGTGCCTCCCAGCCGTGAGCCAAAAGATAGCGCTCAGCAACATGATCAGCCCTGTCGCTGCCGAAGTATAGTTCATATTCTCGCTGTCCACCGGTGTGGCGCTTGGGAAGTTCGAGATGATGCACATAAAAGCCAGGAACAGAAAGCCGATGATATTCAACACAATGCCGTATCGGCCGAGCGAGTACGTTCCTTCGAGTCTTGTCTTCTTACCGGAGAAGTGTGCGATAATGCGTGCAAGCAGTGGCATGGCGTAGGAGAGGTCTATCGGTCTTAGTCAAAGCATCTTTTGTAGGGATGAATACGGCGCTTACAGAAACCTTGAGTGGCAATGGCAACAATGGTGTTGAAGCCAGTCACTGTTCCAAAATAGATCGAGTTGAATGCAATCTGCACTACGCCGGTGAGGAGGACAGCGTACACCGGAACACGTCTGGTGGAAACCTTGCTGAGCACATCAGAGAAGGGGAGGCCCTGGTCACGCGCAAAGGCATACACCGATCGCGAGCCTTCGGCCATGAGCGAGTTTGAGGCAACCAGGCAGATGACTGAAATCATGGACGACAAAGTCGACGCTCCTGCGACACTCCCAGTGGAGTTGAATATGATCTCGATGACGGGAACGCCTGTTGCAGTGGTCGCGGTAGCGTCGAGGTCGCCGATACAGAAGCTCAAGGCGATGAGCCAGATGAAGCCTGTGATGAAACCCATGTAGACGGCCATGACGATCGCGCGAGGTGCCTGCTTGCGAGCGTTCTTTATCTCTTCCGTCATGTGGGCTGGCGCATCGTAGCAGCACATGCCGTAAGCGCCTGCTGGTGGTCAGTATGCATCACCCATTGACTGGTTGTCGACTTACTCTGAAGAAGACCGAGGACAACGGCGTACGATGACTTCCAGCCCGTGAAGTTCTGGAAATCACCGAAGACGAACTCTGGGGACTGTTTGTGGTCGTTGGTCGCCAGTATGGTCGCTAGGCAGACAACGAAGGACAGCATATTCCAGGCGAGGATAGCTTTCGAAAGCTTGTTCAGGATATGAGGAAAGAATATGTTCGATCCCATAGCGATGAAAGTGACCAGGTAGGCTATCAAGACAGTATGCCAGCGTTCGATCGTGAACCCATAGTTGAGCTGCGCGGTTCCGAGAACAAAGTTCGTTGCAATGAAGTTGTTGGTGGCGCCCATGGCTAGGACTCCGATGAGCATGAACCATCCACAGATATAGCTGAAGCCTCTTGCCCAGCTTGTTGGTGCGAGAATTGCTACCCAGCTGTACTGTCCACCGGCGAGCGGGTACCTGTATAGGTGGTCAGCGCAGGTGGACCTTTTCAGACCTTACACACATACGCACTACACATCTCAGCCATTGAGTATGCGACAGACAATGTGAAGAGGCAGACCGCCAGCCAACCCCAGATCATGACTGGTGGCCCACCAGTCTCGACGCCAATGATGAGCACGCCACTCAGTGCAGTCCAAGAAGTGACGATACTGAAGGAGAAGCCAACCATGCCAACCAGACCAAAGCTACGCTTCAGCTCTGAATTTTGTTAGTGGTAGATGTCAGGTAGCCTTGAATTGCTTACCCTGGGTATATCCCAGCTGCGCGAGTACGGCATCATCTTCGTCGAAGACTTCCACCTTCTTCTCAGGGTCCGAGGTCGGACTTGTAGACATGTTGACTAGCTGATTGGCAATGCTAGAATGAGACGTGCAATCCGAAGAACTTGTCAAAATCCTGAATACCAGCAAGTGACCTTCGCTGAAGTATATATATCTCCGATGTCCATCTATCTCACTGCTGTCATCGCAACGGTCATGCATAGTAGAGTTTCCACTGCGTCACTTCATGTTGATAACAGCCGCCTTCACTTTGTCCGACATGTTGCCTTACCCACGTTTGTAGTGCTTCTTATCAAAACCAATTGTAGACGGTGATTGGCCGAGATAGGAACTCTACTCGGTAGTTGTGCAGTGGGGTGGTACCCCGGTCTCCCGGCAGATATTTCCGGCGCATCGATTACATGGCTGCATGTTGCCGTGTGGTGGTAAGTCCGAGGATACTCGTAAAGCAGCCCTGGATGGGGTTTCGCGATGTGTTGTGAGATGGTATTGTTGACAAGGAGAGAAGAGTGATGAAAAGGGCATGAGAGCAGGAATGGTCCTTCCGATGGGCCGTTAGCCCCACCAAGCACCCCGCTGAACCCTGAGTTCACGGCTCCATCCGAGCAGCACACAACATGACAAACGCAATTACTGTGCGATGCTCTTCAGATCTGGGTACATGAGTCTAGTACGATTGTAGAAAGTTCTGTGCACATCGTGCATACATACTTTCACGCACCAGGACTTGCCTTCTTACCGCCGGCTTTCCTGGCTACCAAGCACGCCTCTATCAGCATTCGAGGGTAATAACAATCAACTATTGATGACGCCATATACCAAGCAGGTCGCACAAACTCTGCAATCGATCATGTAGGTAGAATTTTTTGATGTCGTCCCCAACATCATCGACTCATTCAAGCCGGCGAACTGCAAGCACATGCATCCTACCTCTCCTCGAGGCACTAATCACAGTGGCTGAGTGTAACCTAGAAAAGATTCGTCCTCTACAATCTCTACAATTCTTTCCATCCTGTCACTAGTCAAACCATATCGTCCCAACTACACTTTCATCTTACACTATCCACAATACTATGCCACCACACACCCAAATCCCCTCCACGCAATCCTACCCCTGGCCCCACGATTCAACTCTCTCCCCCTCAGCAACCGCCCTCCTAATAATCGACATGAAACACAACTTCCTCTCCCCCACCGACTACCTAGCCACCCTCAGCGCAGCGGCCTCAACCGCAAACTCCACATCCCCAACATCCCGCTTCACTCCCCTCCTCCCAATCCCTACCTCCCTCCTCTCCACCTTCCGCCACGCACACTCCCCAATCCTCCACACGCGCGAAGGCCACCCTCCCCTCTGCACCATCTCCACACGGGAACTGCACCGCTCAAAAATCTCTGGTGCCCAAATCGGCACCCAGGGCCCACGGGACGCTTCCTGCTGAAGGGTTTAGATGTTGATTGATCCCAAGAGCTATTGGCGGGAATTGATCAAGATAATATAGTAGAAGGGAATAGCAGTGAAGGAGTGGGGAGGCAAACCGAGCTAACCGAATGAACTGGACAATCAGTGCAGCAGACCGCTAGCAAACAGATGGCAATCGGTGGATATCTTCACTCCCTCCGACACTTCCTCATCCGCAGGGAGAAAGGTCATGATATTGTCCCTGAACTAGCGCCGTTGCCGGATGAAGCAGTAATTGATAAGCCGGGACGAGGCGCGTTCACGAATACAGAGCTTGATGCGGTGTTAAGGGCGAAAGGGGTGATGAATTTGGTAGTTTGTGGGGTTACGACGGATGCGTGAGTAGTACAGTTAGGGAGGCGAGTGATCAGGGGTACAATGTCTTGGGTGTGAAAGACGGTGTGGGGAGCATGAATGAGGAGTTGAAGAGGTGGAGTTTGGAGTCAATCAAGGTAGGAGGGGTGTTTGGGGTGACAGCTGACAGTAAGGCTGTGGTTGAAGCGGTCGAAAGCTGGGTCAGCGCCAGAGCCCACGAAGAACAAAGCCCAGTCGAGGACAGTGTACGGCTGGCAACGTTGCTGTGAGACAGCTGTCAGCGCAAGGGCTTGAGTGAGGAGGACATCACGAGCAGAACTGGGGAGTGTGTGATATGTGTTGCATTGACTATAGCCAGCCAGCAAGAGACTCAAGTCTCATCATTGAAGCATCCAGACCCATACACAAAGAACGCCGAAGACCGATGGCCGTGACCAAATCATATCCATGAACAAAGTGTTGTGACCGTGTGAATCGCCAGCAACCTCAGCGAAGTCGAAGGCGCAGCACGCGTCATACCGAGAAGAGAAGGCGCTTAACCACCGAAACCGTAGAGGGTACGGCCCTGGCGCTTGAGAGCGTAGACGACATCGAGGGAGGTGACAGTCTTGCGCTTGGCGTGCTCAGTGTAAGTGACGGCATCGCGGATGACACTCTCGAGGAAGGTCTTCAGAACACCACGGGTCTCTTCGTAGATCACTGCGGCGATGTTAGTACTGCTTCGACACGACAATAAGGTAAAGGCAGCTTACTAGCAGAAATACGCTTTACACCACCACGACGTGCGAGACGACGGATAGCGGGCTTGGTGATACCCTGGATGTTGTCACGCAAGATCTTGCGGTGGCGCTTGGCTCCGCCCTTGCCGAGGCCCTTGCCACCCTTGCCGCCTGGAGAGGAACATTAGCATATTGGATCTTGAGGACAGGAAAGGTGTAGCAGGGATGTCGATGTGTGGTGCAGTGCAGTGCTGTTGTTGCGATGCGCGTTGCAGAAGTGGGGTTGACGCGTTGAGGCTAAACACCATGCGCGACGCCCGTGATCCTGCAGCGGCGGCGACAGCGATGACAACAGCGATGCACTGCACGACGACGACGATAGAGAATAAGTGAAGATGTACTTACGTCCAGTCATGTTGCTAGAAGTTTAGTTGGATTGAAAGTTGGATGAGATTTGGTCGTGAACGCTGATGCGCGTTGATGCAGTAGCAGTGATTGGGGTGGAAGAATACGTTGGGGATGGCAGAAGAAGAAGAAAAGGCTGGAGATGTGGGCGGGCGCTGTATTTAACGTGCGGCGGCGAGCGTGGCTGCCTTTGCAAGATCACACGCTAAGCCGCGTTGGGGCGGTTGATTCACGCAGGCGCTGCCGCAAGAAAAAGGCGGGCTTTGCAAGAACATCAAAACGTGTGCTCAGAAGGAGCACTTTGAACAGGCGTCAGTTTTGGTGCGGCAGCTGGCAAGAGATCACTCGAGGTCGCGCACGGGCCAATTTGGAAAACCGAACACAAGACGCGACTGTCACCCCAACACGAACAGGCAATTCACACTTCATTCAACAACACGATAGTATTGGGCTGCAAACACTCAAATAATGATAAGCGAGCTCATTTCAGTCACTAATACGGATTTGGCATCTTTGATAGCTCTCAAAAGCGAGATAATCGTAATATCGATCTCTCGACGCGTGCCAGACTCTAGACGCGTCACCGCTCTATGGGATCACACAGCACAGCGACCACACGCACCTACATGGCCACGCAGTGCACGGCTATTGCAAGGCTTGCTGATCTTTGCAAGATGCTTTACTTGTGAAGCATGTTTCTTTGAAACCTCGATGTGGAAGGTGATCAGGTAAAGTGTACGCGAAATCTTAGTGGCAACGACTTCTACTCTCCTACGACCAACGGAAGGTACGGTGTATGCCTGAAGTATGACCCACGTCAGGTATGACGCCACTAGAAGAGGACGACGGAACAGTGTCTTCAAGGCTGCCCCAGGTTTCTGTAATGACATTTTTGGACTTCAACATGGTCATGAGGGTTCACGCAAAGCATAATGAAAGTGTAGGATACAAATGAAATTCATGATGCGCATGATCAACCAGAACGCCTACTTAAGACTATAGCATAGAGTATCTTCAGTTTTGAACTTGTTCGAACGCCCAGTCAAAGGTTTTCAATAGAGGGTCGCCAACATTGACATCAGGTATATAACACATGTTCTGTCGCATTTACTTCGTCTCCTCGACCACCTCCTTCTCGGGCGCATCCTGGTACACTGGCGGAGCCTCGTACGCGGGCAATTCACCATACTCCTGCTTCTCGCTGCGCTCTTCAACAATCGCCTCCTCGACATCCTCCTCAAGAGCGATCGGCTGGTAGCTCTGGCCACGGAACTTGGCAACGGTAATGGCGATGAGGCAGCCAAGAGCCATACCGATAAGGTAGGTGAGTGTACCAGCGAAAATACCGATGAGAATGGGGACGAGGATCGTGAAGAAGGCGCGGCGAAGGAACATGTGCATGCGGTGGTGGTGGCCGTGATGGTGGTGACCGTTGTGCTCCATGTGGTGAGGAGGGTGGTGGTGTCCACCGGGGCGGAACCTGTGGGGTGGCTTGCCCTCGAATGTCTCCTCTTCCATAGGGTTGTGATGGCCGTGAGGGCGCTGCATGCCGTGGGGTCGCTTGTGGCAGCCTGGTCGTCCCTTGCCTATGTGCTTCAGGTTGTCGATGCGGTCGGCCATGATGTTCTTCCACTTGCAGAGAAGTGGCCATTGCTTGCATTCCTTTTCCTGCTCGGCCAGTGTAGCTTCGATGGTCTTCTTAGCGTCGAATGAGGCGATCATGAGACGGCCGCTAGGATCCTTGAGGAGGTTGATTGTGATTGATGGTGGGTTCATGGGTGCTGATTCGATCGATGTGATTTGGAAGGTCATGGGAAGCAGCTCGACTCCTGCCTCGGACACAGTCTCAGCTGTGTTGAAGTTGAAAGTGTATCCAGTGACGCGAAGGCGCAGACCATCCTCAGATTTGGGGTTGATCTGAGTGACGTAGAAAGGCTGCGAGGCGATCGCAAAGGTCGGTGGGTAGAGCTGAACGCCAGCGACTTCGAGTGAATCTTCGCGGGGGCCAACTTCAAAGTCAAGAAGCTGTACAATGTTAGCGAGGCTTGTTCACAGCAATAAATGTTTCTCGTGGGTTGTGAGGTTCAGATAAGCTGTACATCGCGCATGCGGCAGCCTGCGGCTAGTGGGCCGCTGTCGAGAAGGGCAACTCACGAATGCATTGCCCGCATCTTTCTCCCAATTCAAAGTCTTGCCCTCCAAAGTCGCAACCGCACATCCAGGGCATTCAACAGCAACAACTCGCTTGAAGGGATTGATTGCAAGGGTTTCCAGAGCGTTATCGTCCCCGAGCTCGGCAGCCGTCATCGAAGGCGGGATGAGCACGGCATTGGCGGCCAGCGCCAGGCTTGCGAAAAGACCCAGCTTGTTCGGTGACATGATGAAAGTTGTGTACGGTAAGGAAAAGAAAAGAGAGTATGAGGTGGTAAAGGGGTTGAAGGTTCAGTTGTGAGGCTCGGAAACAAAGGAAGGCAATGCTGAGACTGCCCAGGTGGTTCGTCGATGCCGCGTCATCTTGTCACTGGGCTAGGGACGTGCGGATCTCACTCCGCCAAGTGTCGCGTCAATGTTTCATAGCGCTATCCGCGAGCGCTCGAGCTGAGAGACAGCACTTGTCCAGTCTCTGCGCGAGGTCACAGGCTCTGACCTACGGCTGCTGTTGTTGTCTCGCAATGTATCTGGCGTGCGCTATCGCCTCCTTATCGGCCGAGGCAGCAGCTCCACCACAAGCGAGATGGATGAATCCTTAGCCTGAGGCGCTCCAGCGACGACGAAACACAGTTAGTCATTAGAGCACAACGTAAGGTAGGTGACAATGACACAATTGCACACAACAGGTGAGTAAACGGACAGGCTGCGTTGTGGATGCGGATGGCGCAGCTGTGAGCGGAGCTGGTGGAACCCAACGCCAAAGCGCATTTCTTCCTACTAGTATCTGCTCATCAACCAGCCCTTCAGACACCTTGCGCCTTTTCGGACCTTCAAGCTCCATCCTATCGCGATATGGTCGATTAATTTCGAAAGTCGACAACTCGAGTGCTTCGATCATGAGCGCAATCTTCCTCTATACGCCATCCTGTCTCACACCAGGGCCAGCTCGGAGGTCACCATGCAGCAGTACCGAGAGGCTGTAAGTAGCAACGACGACCGAAGCGATCATGTCAAGACTACTCAAACCTACCTAAAGATCGAAGCATCATGTTTGCAAGCATGTGCGGACAATCTGCCATATATCTGGATCGACACTTCCTGTATCGACAAGACGTCCTCTGCGGAACTGAGCGAAGCGATCAACAGCATGTTCCGTTGGTAACGGATACCGCATATTTGTTATGTGTGTTTGAACGACGTCGAAGTAACCTCCTCGTATCAAGATCACACAGCAGGTGCTGCTCCAACTATTGACGATGCGACCCTGGGTAAAGCGGGGTGGTTTACATCTGGATGGACTTTACAAGAGCTGATCGCACCTCGACACATGAACTTCTATGACAGGAACTGGATCTGCTTTGAGACGAAAGGGACCTTGAAGTCGATGCTTGCCCGTATCACTGGCATCGACGAAGCTACCTTATTGGCGCCAATTTGCGCAAAGCTAGCGTTGCGAAGCGAATGAGCTGGGCTGCTCAACGCGTGACAACGAAAGTTGAGGACAAAGCCTATAGCTTATTTGGCATCTTTGAAGTCAACATGCCTCTGCCGTATTGCGAAGGAACAAAAGCCTTCACACGCCTACAGGACGAGATTCTCAAGGACAACGATGATCAAAGCTTGTTCGCATGGCAGCCTTGCGCAGCATCCGAGCTATCGTCTCCTCGTCTGACGCCAACCCTGCCTGCAGAAGATGGCATCTCGGTCTTTGCACCGCACCCATGATGTTTTCTTGTTTCTGCATGTGCTTCCCCTTACACATCTGAGGGAGAAGCTACCATAGTGAACGGCAAAGGCCTCAAAGTCCGACTGCCCTTGTTCAAGATAATGGGCGCTGAAAAGGGGTATGCTCCGCGTCGCTGTCTTGAACTGCGCCGGAACTCAAAGTTATGGCGATCGACCCGGAATGATTGTACAGAAGCTGACCCAAGGGCATTACATACGCCACCTCAGGACTGCTCTCGTGCGGATTGATGCAGGCAAGATTCAATGGGACGATTATCGATCGATTTACATCCGCAAAATAATATCTGCTACCATACTCACTGCAACAACATTGGATCATACGCCTACCGCTAGAAATCAATATCAGTGGCTCTTAATCATCAAAGACTATTTCACATGCGAATTCTTTTTGATTGTCCCAGCAACCAAAGCTTGTCACGTCGAAAAATACCATCTTCTTCTCAAGTCTTGTTGGATATGGGTTCGTGTCTATCGCCATCTCAGCCTGGAGCTATGTCGTGGACGCTTTTGGGATCTATTCGGCTTCAGCGACGGCTGCGACCGTTCTCTTGAAAGATTCAGGAGCTGCTTGTCTGCCCCTGGCAGGACCTGCACTTGTTGGGAGGGTTGGTTGGGGGTGGGGGCTGAGTGTGTTGGCTTTGCTGGGGTTTGTGACTGTTCCTGTCACAGTTACGTTGATGTATACTGGAGAGCGACTTAGGTCTTTGAAGTCTCATAGAAGGCTGATTGTAGACTAGAGAAGTAGATTAGCAATAATTAATCACATGATAGAGCGAGTCGTGAGAATTGTCCTGCCTGAAGTTTGCCATGGTGATTTTCGAAGGGTCAGACCTACGTCATCGTGCATTTTGAGATGGAAGGGACCATCAGGGCAAGGCCATGGTCGCCATGCACCCAGAAACACGCAGGAAATCACACCCATGAACGAGCAGAGTCCACGCTGCAAATGTCTTGAAGGGTGTAGCGAAAAATAGTGGCACGGTAACGGGTCGCCTCGCCTTACCGAGAGCACGTTGCGCACAAGGTTTGGTCAAGCCAACAACAGGAGAGCTACAGGCCTCAGGCAGATCTCGACCCCGTCAAACAAAAACTTTGGCAGGTATTAGACCTCCTGGAGAACCTTCTGGCGTCAGGCTACTGCTGGGTCGCGGCTACCGTACCTGAACGTGCCTGACTTGCATGCTGAATGCCCAGTTTGCAGCCAGTTCTGATGCAGTTCGCATAACAGGAGTTTCACGATCACATGCATCTATATTCCCACCAAATGTCGCTAATTGCACCGAGCAGGCTGCGGCAATTGTGACAGTGGCAGGCTGGAGAGACTGAGAAACTGGAGAAAAGTACCACGACGCAAGAGACGCGACAACTGCAAGCACTTCACTCTAGCTCACCGGTGGCTGGGAGGAGGCTGCAGTGTGCTTTGCGCGTGCAGGTGCTCGAGGGTGCTGCAGGAGCGGCCGCGATTGGGTGAATTGGGCTCAGGTGCTGTCGAAGGTTGTCTTAGTGGCTACGTCATCGGTTGGGCATGGATCCCGCCCGCTTGACTGCAACGACCAAGTCCAAGTCCTGCGAGACCACCCCACTCGCTACAGTCAACAGCGGGCGGACTCGCTTTCATAACGTCAGGCGTTCTCAGCCTGATTGTGCTCTTCTTATCCTGATTATTCTTCCCTTCATCCCTCCTGCATCCTGCTCGTGCCCATATCTCGCCCCTCCGCCGTGTTGTTGCTGCGGCAGATCAGCACACATCCCACCAACCTCGCTGAGCCGCCCCTCACTCATAGCCCGTCCGTGCCATGTCGCGCCGCTACCCAACCGCCGAGCTGTATGAGGAGCGCGAGCGCGACTTCTACCGCAACGGCAACCGCAGCGACCGCAACTATGAGGAGCTCGACATAGAGCTGCGCCGTGGCAGCGACCCGCGCCGCAGTGCCCCCGACTTCTTCCGCGACGACCGGCCCACTGCTGGGCCTATGGTCCTGCGTGGACGAGACCGCGACGAGGACACCTTCTCCAGAGCCCCTCCCCCACCCCGCAGTCGCCGCGGCGGCTTCGACGACGACGACGCCATCTCCGTCCGCAGTCGTCCTCCGCCCCCGCCTTCCAGCGTGAGGGAGCGGGAAACAGACGACATCACCCTACGCCGCAGCGACACTGGAGGCCGTGGACGACGCGAAGTCGAACGAGAGAAGGAAGAGCTCGATGTTACCATCAGACGCCGCGAGCAGTCCAGAGGCCCCCCGCCGCGAGAGGCCCACTTCGAGCGCGACATCCCCTTCCGCCGCGGCGATGGTGCCCACCCCCGCCCACGTGAGGTCAGCGTCGAGAGGGAAGACGTCCGCTTCCGAGGACGCGGTGACAGTATCGATATCCGCGCTTCTCGCAAGGAGTTCAGCAGCGACGGCCGTGATATCTCAGCCGAGCGCGGCTCCATCCGCTTCCAGGAGCGAGACGGCAACTTCGACGTCCGTGCCTCTCGCCGCGAGTTCAGCCGTAATAGCAGAGATCGCAGCGTAGAGCGAGACTCTTTAGTCATCCGAGGTCGTGAGCGATCCCTCCCACCACCAAGCTCCCGTGGAGAGCTGATTGCTCGTGAGCGCGAGGAGTTTGTGGTTCGTCGACCCCGTGAGCAGTCACGAGGACCACGTGAGCGCGAGGTCGTGAAAGACGAGATAGTAATTCGTCGTATGGAAGAGCGCTCGCCCTCTCCTGAGCCCCCGCCACCTCCACCACCGCCACCACCAGCGCCTGAGCCGGAGATCAGACCTCCTATCATCCAGGAGATCATTACCCATCACAGGCATATCGACCACGGTAAGCTAAGGATGATGAATCTGATATGACATGTGATACTGACGGTCTACAGGTGTCGAGAGAGCTCGCTCGCCAACACCTCCTCCACCTCCACCAGCGCCTCCTTCTCCGCCGCGCAATGAGCGCATCGAGATTGAAATCAACCGAAGAGAGTGAGTGCCTTCAAACCTACATCCCACGAACGACACTAATTAGCACCAGAACCAGGAAAGGTGGACGTACAAGTGAATTTGAGGAGCTTGACATCGAGATTGATCGCAGCCGCAGCCGCAATCATGACTTTGAGGTGAGAGCCCGCTCGCCCTCCTTCAGCCCTCCCAGACGTCGTTATACTGCCCCTGCCCCTACCGATTCCGATTTCGAGATTGAAGCCGATTACTACAATCGCAAAGCTTTGGAGCGAGCCTACCCTGGCGAGGCTTGGAACGGTGCTACCACAGATTGGACCATCATCGACGTTCCACCAGGCACCAAGCGAGTTCAATTGGACGGAATCGGTGGCGGCTCCCAGGAAGTCACTTGGCAGCGATATAACGGCGTCCGCCGTTCAAAGTTCATCAGCGCCGATGATGAGCACATCACTGACGTTCATACTCAGGGCCCCGTAAAACCCAAGAAGAAGGACATGTGGACAGAAGTCACCAAAGATTTGGTCCTCCGCGAAGCCATTGATGGCATGGGCTATAAGTGTGAAGAAACAGACGACTTCTTCTACATCATGGAGTACCTGCGCTACGTGCGTGCACCTCTCCCACTCACTCAACTCGTGGCACGCTAACAAGCAGACAGGAGGACGTTCTCCAGCTCGTCGAGATTTCTGACGACATTCGCCGCAAGCGCAAGGCTCGCATAAGGGAGATCGAGTTTGAGCGCGAGGAGATCCGCCGACCGAGCTCTGCGTACGACGATCGATATTACGAGCACGAGGTGTCATTTGACAGCCGTCGCAGTAGATACCGTTAGACACCACGGTTGCACTAGATTTCTTTGAACTCCGCGACAACACCACTTTTCGAGACCGAGACTTGAAAGCCAGCAACGGGTCTCGGACCAGCACTGGATCTGGAACAGGCGGGGTCGTCTATCTCGGCGAGCAGATCACGCAGATCTTGCACAGCCTTGGACCACCCTACGACTTGTCCAGCGCGGCTGTCTGCAAAAGTTTCAGCATGATACCAGACGACGATTTCGACGATCAAACATGATGGTCAATGATGAGGACCGCCACAGTTCACTTCGTTGCACGCACTAATGACTATGATGACTATGACTAGCATACCCGGAGCGAGCAAGAACGAGCTTACTGTTTTTGGATTTCTCTTCTTCTTCCAAGTCCACTTTTGTGGACACTTTGCGCTGTATGGTTGTGTTCGTTGGTTGGCTTTGATAGGGTTGTGGCGCGTAGGGAGGTACATAATTCTTGTGTTCTTAAATTCATCGTTTCTACAGATCGTGCATTGCGTCAAGCGAGCAAGTTGAATCGATCATGATTCAAGGATTGTTTGACAACCGTTATTTGTGTGAGGGTGCGTCTTCGACGAGGAGCCCAAATTAGCTAGCCCTAGCGAGGAACATGTAAGAAACGAAGCCCCACATGACCGACTTCTACATCACTCCCTGCATCAGTCCTGCGTCTGCAAATTATCAAACAACCCAGCATCGCGGTCGCAACCACGTTCCTACCGTACACATCGACGAGCTAGTAGCCTCGGAATGCAATATATTAATAGAACGTAACTGCCAATCGATTTGGGCGCTTAGCGATGCAATCACTCCAAGCCTGGGGTTTCACGTTATGCGACCGCGCGCCAGCTACGAGCAAGACATTGATAGAACAAATCGAAGCGCCACGGTTCTCACGGCCCCTAGCGGGAGTGCCGGCGCATTATCTCAAAGTGAAGTGAGGGATGTAGACTAAGCACCCTTGTGGTCTGGCTGCTCCCTGCGGTTGCAGCAGGCGCGAGACTTTGTGTGAAACCCAAAACACTCAGCCTGGGTTGTGGCTGTACGCAGGGACAGACAGCGTATAAAGTATGACAGGCTGCAGGCGCGCCCTGAGGGGCTGGTTTCTGTCACTCTTTTATCCTATCGATCATCTTCAGGACCTGAGCGCGAAGGTGGATTGTTGCAGTAAATGCAATAAGTGAAAGTGTAACCGCGCAGGGCAGTAAGTCAGGGGTAACCGCGCGAAGTAGTAAAATCCGTATATTGTGTTTTGTTATTGTTCTATGATTGTCCCTCACCCGGCAGTCATCAGGGTCTGTTTACATGACGTATCTGTCGTGCAGCCAGAAAGTGCTGTTGGAACAGGCAAGAGCACTGCACCAGCACACGTGGAGACATGACCTCTTCACTCCATAGACCGTCACAGAAGAGCTACATTCAAGAGACAGCTGAAGTGCTATACATTGAGGATACACCAGATTACAGCAATATATTAACTGATCAGCTCACTGAGACTGAAAATAATGAGACGAATGTGTCACGGAGTGACGATACTAGCCCTATGGACCGTACACATAAGCTTTGGTAACATCTATTGTGATACTGTAGCGGAGTTACATAACTCCGTTAAGCGAGCCTCCTGTGTTCAAAGAGCCTGTAGCTGCCCTGTTACGCAGTTCTTCAGAGCTACGCCTTGTAAAATACACGTCCACCTGTTGTAGTCCATCCACACTCTCAGGCAAATGATCGATTGCCGTAATCAGTCCATTCAGCTCTGTAGTAGCCATCCTGAATCAGGATCTATCGGCTGTCAGATTGGCTCTCGTACGGGACATTACGCTCGAGGCTCTCGGTAAAGGTAGCGGTTCGATGACGTAGCTCTGTTGACAGCAGTCAATAGCTCGTTGGCATGCAGTAGCGAATACAGCGTTTGAAGTCAACAGCCGGGCTCATAACTGTTACTGCGTGAGCAGTGTCGGTCGGAGGCTGTGATCAACGATTGTATTGCTATCTGTGTTGTTCGGTGCTCTTGTCCAGGAGCTCTCAGCTCAGAGGTAAGTGCACTTGCTGTCCAGCAGTGCCTTCTACAATAGGGTATTATGGGACTTAAGCCACGTAGTTACACCATCTCCCAGCTAGATAGCAGTTCAGCGCAGTATTCTATCGACCCGATAGTCCTACGTTATCGTTTACCGTAGCTATCAGTATACTACAGCGGTCCACGCCGCCACATAATACTCTTGGCGAAGCAACAACCTCTCCCCTTCTCAATATAAAGCTCACCACCATCCTCAAGGCTCTCGCCTTTGCAACCATCACTCCTCTTGCAGCTGCACGCAACTTCAAGACCGGCCTCGACATTTTGCGGTCGTGGTCTCCTCAACATTGGTAAGCTGTCCACTATCGCCCGCAATATGCGCCCTCAAGGGTTCATGTGACGGTTTATGGAGTAAGGAGGTCATGTGCGCCACACGTGTTGGTGCAGTGCTCTTGCCCGTTCGAACAAGCACCTTCTGCCCTTGGCTGCACGAGACATACGTCATGTAAACGGATCCTGCTGATGGCCCGGTGAGAAACAGAACACAGAACAACAACAACAGAATATACTGATATTACTGGTTTGCGCGGCTCCACCCTGACTTACTGCCCTGCGCGGTTACACCTTCATTTATTGCATCTAGTGCGACAATTCACTTCCCGGACATGCGCAACACTGACTTTCTCAAGGCGAATACAAAGACCAGGTATTACAGGGCCTCAAAGACAAAAACCAGCCCACTGACCAGAAGCATATCGACGATGCGCTGTTCTACTGCAAGGGCGGAAGCAATGGAGATGTCGAATTTCGGTCTTTTTGCGGAGAGAAGCGTTGTGTGGATGGAGGGAAATGATAAGAGTGGTTGGTGCAAGCGCACCCAGCTCTTCAGGGCATAAATTGATGAAAGCTATGAGGGATGAGAAAACAAAAAGCCTTATCGTTGAATAGTGCGATAGAAAATCTAACTGTATACGCTCGTTAAATGTCGTGTTATCACCAGTTCGATCTCGGATGGTCTTGTGGATCCGAAGGTATGTTCTGCCTTGAGACGCAGTGAAAATTCCCTCACTCATGATCGACATACGAGGTCAGAGCTGTATATCTTCAGCAACGACATCGTGTGAAGTCTACCCACTTCTGGCTCGCTTCAGATGCTCGTATGGCTGCTGCGCGATGATTGGTGGAACAACCTCGCGCTAGTTTCCTACGAGCCCCTCGGTATAAACCCTAGTATTTTAACGTACGCTAGAGTACAACATACCTCGACAATCGGCAACGTTCCAATTGCACGTACCCTTCAAGATGGTACCTACGTTCGAGAATCCTATCATCCGTGGCTTCAACCCAGACCCCACAGTTTGCGTGGTCCCATCATCCACGCCCGGCGGCAGTCCAACATACTACCTCAGCACTTCAACATTCGAATACTTCCCAGGCTGCGCCATCTATCGTTCCACTGATATCATAAACTGGACTCTGATTGGCCACGCCTTGACCCGCCCCTCACAACTCAACCTCCGCACTGTCGAACCAGGAGCTGGAAGCTGGGCCTCCACCTTGCGTTACAGGCAAGACGAAAAGCGATGGTACCTCTTCAACGGTGTATACCACCGCTACCGACCAAGCAGCGATGAGCGCATCTTCCCGCGAGGCTTCTACGTCTGGACTGATGACATCGATACAAACGGGAGCTGGAGTGACCCAGTGTACTTCGACAACCCTGGATTCGATCAAGATGTTTTCTGGGATGACGGCGGGAAGTCGTATCTCTCTACCACAGTGAGAATTGCGGATCGAGAATCGGCGAGCAAGTTGAAAGATTTCGCCATCCACATTTCTGAGATCGATCTGCCGACTGGTAGAACGTTGACGCCGCCTGTGTGTATTCGGCAGAGCAAGTATGGCGTTGCTGAGGGGAGTCATATCATGAAGAAAGATGGGTACTATTATCTGTTTGTTGCTGAGGGTGGTACAGAGGCGGGGCATCAGGAGTGGGTGTTTAGAAGTGAGAAGGGTGTCTTCGGACCGTGGGAGAGTCAGGGGAAGCCGTTGTGGTATAATGGGCCCAACGAAGATGTGCAGAGGACGGGGCATGCGGATGTCTTTGAAGACGAGCAGGGCCGCTGGTGGGGTGTATTTCTTGGTGTGAGGCCGGTTGCGAAGGAAGGGAAGTTCATCGAACCACAGCTCGGTAAGTTGCCACTGCCATGATCGGTTGGCCAAATGCTGATATTCCGCGGGTCGAGAAACGTTCCTCGTCAAAGTTGAATGGGCTGATGGCTGGCCGGTCTTTAACGATGGGAAAAACATCAGGTTCACGACTGAAGGCCGTGATGAAATCGAACAGCTCGTGCTTCAGTCAAAACCGGAAGGCATTCGGTGGCAGGCCGCCCTCGACCCAGGAAAAGATGCGCTTGAGCTTGGGTGGTACCAGAAAAACACCCCACTCAAGCCTTTCCACTCATTCACCGAGCGTCCAGGATATCTACGTCTCCATGGCGGATGTTATGGCCTTTCATCTCCGGAAGCACCGGCCCTTCTTTTGCGGAAACAGGAAAGCTATCACGAAAAGTTCTCTGCCACCCTTGAATTCAAGCCCAGCCACAAAGAGTACGAAGCAGGTATCACCGTATGGTGGAGCATGTACTCCTACGCCTCAATCGGTATCACAGCTGTGATCCACGAGAATCAACTTGTGTCTACTATTGTTTGCAGGAAGCCTACGGGAGCGGTTGGGAAGTTGGAGACGACGTATCCGGCAATAACATTTGCTTCCGATCAACAGACTTTTGATGCGTCAACAGCTGCGCAGTTGTCAGCTGCAGCTACTCCGACTACGTATACCCTGAAGCTCTCTCAAGGGTCGTCCGAATGGAACTTCTCCTTCAACACCGAAGATCTCTGCATCATGCCTCCCGTTGGCGGCGCCTTCACGGGGGTAATGTTCGGTATATACTCGTTTGGAGCGTGGGAGCCGGTGCTGGATCCGGCGGACTTCAACGATATTATGATCCAAGAGCAAGAATCTTGAGGAGAAAACTGCTGTTCAGGTACCTAAACGAAGACCGGATTCAGAGTTTTCAGGGAGAGCCCGTTGAGTACGGATCTGTACATGAATCAGCGTTTGACATATGGTATGCATTAAGGTACAGACAAAGTTTTCGCAATGCATTGTTTCAGCGCGTGTTGTCTTGTACATGTGAATGTTCGAGGTACACGGTGCGTGTGAGGCAGGCTCGGGACTGGCCTAGTGCTAAATTTAGCGTGGTCTCTTTACCTCTCGAAAGTAACTTCCTGGCGTGCACTCTGGCACCACTGTATTGCCTCAGTGTTTTTCAGCTGGCCACTTGATGTGCGGCCGTCTCTCACCATTCACTTCCACCAAGGTTACCTCAATCCACACTTCTCGAAGATGCAGCCGTCCACGTTGAAGCGGCGCACGACTCGGAGCACAATCGGCATATACGTGGAACCGCCCTTCAAAGGTAGCTGAAGACCTGTTGCTCCCTGTTAGGTGCCAATCAGATGCAGGTTAGCCACAAGCGAGACCTGGAATCGCTGTATGCAGGCATCGTCACACCATGTGGAGGCTGTGTAGAAACTTTCGCACATATTGACTTCCGGTCAGACGATGCTCAGCCTTCTCAATATACAAAACTATTGGCCCGCGTAGTTTCCCCATCAGCACAGGATTTCGTTTCATCGTTGCCTCTCATTCATGTACCAAAGTCAACGCCAATGGCAGAGATTCAAACGCTGAACATCAGCGGCGGTCTCGTGGAGATCGTAGCGCTCACTGCCCTTATAGGTGGTTCTACTGCCGAGTCACTTACAATGGGCAATTGTGGTGCTTGCGGTCTCCCCTGAGCAGCCTCGCTCTTTATTGTCAAAGCATGCATATCGGCTTGTACACCCGCATGACTGCGGGATACCGTGAGCGTTAGGACTGCTAGGTCGGATGCCGCGGTCAGCTGTAATGTAACATTCGATATAAAGGTCGGCAGCAGGGGAATGACTGGTAACGTGTTGTTTGGGACAAGCGACTATACAGTCAAACCTCAGTCTTACAAGTGATACAAGGGGACAAAAGCAGTCGCTTCCCATATAAACAGCACCTCCGGTATAGTCAGAACGATAGAACTTTCATTTCAATGCAATACAGATTAATCTCTGATTAACATAACGCCATGGGTGTGGTGGTGAAATGGAGCAAGGTATGCTAGCTGGCCCGAGAGAAACACCTCTGATGAGGTTTAGGACGAAGACTCTTTAACATCCCTACACGTCAATCGAAAAACAAGCAAGAACACTGCACCAAAACACATGGTACACATGACCTCCTTACTCCATAAACCATCACACAACCACAATGGCTCGAAAGAAAGCAGCTAGTACTACGACTGCTTCTGCTGCAGAGGCTGTTCAAGCAACTCCCTCCGCGGTCTCAACACTTCCAACGATAGTGCAGCTCCGGATCAACAGGAGCTTTCGCTACAAGAGCAGGTCATCTTTTTCGAGGACATCTTGGGGACCTCGTTTGAGACATTGGAGGATTCTTTTCGGAATGCTTCTGTTCGCTACGGCCCGTCGCAGTGTTTGCCAACGGTCCGCTGCACTGATTGTCCAGCTCATTCGGTTAGTTCAGTTTGCTTCCCCACCCTCTCACTGTTACTCCCTTCTACTATATAGTCCCGATCGATCCTTGCCATAGCTCACAAGATAGATCAATCAACTCAACCATCTTAACCCTTCCACAGCTTCAGCACATTGAAGATCGTAGACATTTTCACCATGGAAACAGGTCTCAGAATCGGTTCGACTCAAGTTGACTGAGATCTAACCAGGTGTTGTCTTGAGGTCGATATCCTATATCTCTTTCGCAGAGCAGTTGCATGATTGAGATTTGTCACAGAGTGGTTCGATACACACTTATAAGAGCCTCAACGGCCATTGTGTTGTGATTCATACTGTACAACACAATTCTGGACGCGAACAACGCATATCGCATACCCGCGACTCGCAAGTCGCAACTCGAACGTGAGGATTGTATTTACAGACGTTGTACCGGCGTAGGCTACTGTGGTACACTGATAGTTACGGTAAACGATAACATAGGACTATCGGGTTGATAAAATACTGCGCTGAGTTGATATCTAGCTAGGAGATGACGAATATATACCTGACCTGTAACACACTAGACTAGGGTAGTCTGACAGGGGTATAGTCAGCCCTTGTACGGACCAATCGATACCGCAACGAATGTGAAAATGCACTGGAACTGACTTAGATACAGACAACCGACAAAATAATGTCCCGCGATTTCTCTTTCGAGCTTTTACCCACACAAGTGGGGGCGGGCCGTCCCACGCCATCAACAACACATTCGAAACGGTGCCCTATGGATTCATGAAAGGTCAGCCGGTCCGACCATTCTACAACGTTCCAGAAAAAGATCTCCATGCGATGGCAACAGCTCACTACCATAACAAGCACACGTCTCTGCCGAACTTCAGCTCCTGGGCGGCATCTCTGCATATAGTGTTGAACTATGCTTTCTTACTCAGGGAACAGGCTTTTGTAGCGGTCATGGACATACAAGATCTTGACTACGAGGTTCACGTGTGGCATGTGCCTCATCTCATACCGAACTTCAACAATCACGAATATATTGCTTACGGTGTCAACAGTAGGAAAGGTTACGCTGGAGTATCGATTCGAGCAATCCCTGGAACGCGGCCTGTCCGCTATATGTCCAGAGTTTAGCAGTCAGTGTGTATGGTTTGGTCAACTACTTCACGCTATGATGTTTGGGCATTTCCTGATGTGCGTCAATGGATCGCTATGCTTCGGGCCATATCACAGTATTCATTTACACAGGTAGGTCCAGGAGGTAGCCATATAATGGTGTTACGTGGAGTCCCACGACGTGATTATGCACGAATGGACGTCGAGGGGAAATATTGGGAGCATGTGGTCAAAGATGAGAAGTGGGTAAGCACAATGAGCTGCGACCGTTAGTGACATGCTTGGTTGAAGATACTCGAAACACATATTGCACAACTACATCTTGTAGCTTTTCGAAGAGCTGGATAAAATTTTCAATAACAATGCCTCCCGCTCCACAAACGGAGACATCCTGGTATTATCCGCAACTACAACGCCTTATGATCTTCCCAACGCCTCAACTCATTCTCTAGTCCAATCCAACAGCAATCGCCGCCAACGCCCATTCCATGAACCCAGCATTCGTGTCCAGAATATTCTGATTGAACTCACTCAACGTCGGGTAAAAGTTCGTACTATACCCAAACTCCATCGTATACCCATAAACCTTATTCGCGCCAGGCTTTGCCCAGAACCTACTAAACGCATAATCATCACTGGCACCAGAGGTAGGATACAGACCCACCGACTGACCAGCAGTGTACGAGCGGCCACCGACGGCCTTCATGGCTGCAACCGTCTTGGCGGCGACGTTCTTGATGTTGGTGAAATCGGCGGCGGGGATGTACTCTTTGTAGACGGTGTCGCCGGTCACACCACGTTTGCCGTCAAAGGCGCTGTTGAGGAAGTTCTGGGTGGGGGTGGTGGTTTGGTCGTCGTCGTCGCCCCAGGAGTAGAGGATGTCGCCGGCGGCGGAGTGGATGTCCATGAACCAGCGGACCTGAGACGATATTAGTGGTACCAATGTGAATCTGCAAGTGTAAGGCGTACCTTGGAGAAAGTGTCGTAGATTGAGACATGGTTCTTTGTCTCCGCCTCAGATGCAGCAGCAGTGCCGTAGAAAGTCTCCGAGCTTGGTGACGTGGAAGCAGGTGACTCACTAGCATCAAAGTACTTGCGGAAGTTCCACAGGAAATCGAAGTTGCGGTTGATATCCACGCCGATGGAAGACCCGCTCGAACCGGACTTAGTATTCCTGTTCTTGCGCCATAGAGAGCCACTGGACTGGTCGTATGTGACACCATCTGGGTTGACGAGAGGGAAGAAGACGATACCGGCCGCAAGAATGCTCTTGACTTGGGTGTTGGTGTAGGTCTTCTTGCCATATGTAAGCCCAGTACCCGCTTTGTCGGCGGCGAGCAAGTCAGAAATCCAGTAGAGGAGCTGGTCAGGTCCACCCCGTTCGCGAGCATGCACACCAGCGCTGAAGTAGAGGCGATATGCTGACTTGTCTGTTCCGGCGCCGACGAATCCAGCGTAAGAAGTAGCACCGTTGAAAGTCTTGTACGGAAGTGTGACTGAGCCAACACCGTAGTTCTTAACCAGTGCATTGAATGCAGAGTTTACTTCGGCGACGTTCATGATGCTGGAGATCGTAGTGCCACTTGCCTGCGTGCCGAGACCAACAGGAGAGACTGTACCAGCCTTGAAGCGGTCGCCAGTGCCGATGGGTGCAGTGGCCGCCCTCTTGACCATCTGGCGGTGAATGGTGATCTCATCAACTGACTCGTACTCTTTCGTCAGATGCGAGATCTGGTCCTCCGTCAACAAAGCATGGAGTGTGAAGTGGCCATCGTCCGTAGAGTGAGCGACAGGTCTGCAGCCGAAGTCGTAGGTGTCATTGCGAACGATGTCCCGAAAGTGAGCAGTGGTGGGAGCCTTGAGGTGAACATGCAAGAGCTCGCCCAGAGCCACCGAGCTCTGAAGGATAAGAGCTGCACCAAGAGTGTATTTCATGTTGATCTATCTGGAACGAAAGCGAAAAGATGCGATAGACCAAACGAAACCTAGCAATAGATGTCAGACACGCCACGTCTTAAATACTTCACCGTACCAAAGTCTCCTCGCCGGTGTGTCGTTTAATTTGGATCATCTCCCCTTCTGACCCCATCAAAGCATCGGCGTACGTTGTTTCTCTCCTTCCTACCTGCCGAAAGTCCCTCGTTCGCCGCTCCTCAATGCGAGTCGGTGCAACCGTCTGACCAATCACGCGTTCCAAACATAGTGTCGCCTCCACGCTAGCCGAGCATACCTTCCCGATGCGGTCAACACCGGGAACGGGCGCTTGTAGCGATCATTTAATCTTCCTCTACCGGCGTCGCAAGGTGCATGCGTCGGTATGCTTAATCGTCCTTATCGCTCTTCGGACCTTCTTTGGACCTGCCTTGTTCTTGTTTTGGCGGGCTTGGATACGGGGGTTATATGAGCTGCGAATGCGCGTGCGATGCGTAAGGCAGGAGCGAAGACTTAGGAGCTGGCCGGACTCAGACACGTGCAATTTGCGTGAGGAAGGTGCGTGTCACGACTCTGCGACAGTGCAAGAAGGGCCGCCCACGTCATCTTCCTCGTCGGTTGCGACACGAGGGAGCGGGAACAAGGCGGGTGTACTCAAAAGTGCGACCTGTTCGAGCAAGCAAAAAACGATTGCTGAAAGCGTGGTTTGGCAACATCAAGAATAGCATTGATAGGAGATGTATATAAGACTGCGGTACGATGCGATTGGGTGCCGAAGGCTAAAATTGAAAGAAGCTCGAAGAACAATACAACAAGAAGAAAGTCAAGGTGGGATGCTTCTTCGACTTACACAGTCAAAGTGTTGCTGACCCTCAAATCCCTGCTGGAAGAACCAACATTGAACTTGTACTCACCACGCACAATCTGCCACTCCTGCTTCTCAACATTCCAAACCGACAAATCACGACGCCTAAGCTGAAAGCTAGCCTTCTCAGTCTTGCCAGGCTGGACCTTGACCTTGTGGAAACCGCGAAGCTGGCGCACAGGCTCGTCAGCAGCAGCAGGAAACTCAACGTACAGCTGCGCAACCTCAGCACCTGCGACCTTGCCGGCGTTGGTGATGTCGGTGCTGACTTCAGCAACAATGTCCCAAAGGTCCTCACGTCCACCGACGGCGAGGTCGCCGCTTGCGAACTCATTGGAGAGGAGCTGGGTCTTGGGTGCGATGTCGACCTTGTTGCCGTACTTGAAGGTGGTGTAAGACAAACCGAAACCGAATTCGTAGCGGGGAGTGGAGTTCTTCTGGTCGAAGTACTTGTAGTCGATGTAGTTGCCCTCGGAAAAGTTGATCACGGATTCCTCGCTGATTTGGGTGTTCGGGTCGTAGTCGGACTCGTTCTTGGCGATGGTGTGGATGAGCTTGCCGGAGGGGTTGACATCGCCGAACAGGACATCGTTGATGGCGTGGCCAGAGGATTGGCCAAGCGGTCCGCCGTAAAGGATGCCGGTGACGTTTTCGTGGGTGGCCCACTGGTCGAGGAGGCGGGGACCGACGGTGTTGACGACAACAATGGTGTTGTTGCAGTTGTCAGCGACGTAGTTCACAAGACTATTAGACGTTAGTGGATGAGCGTTCAACGGCAAGATGAAAACCTACTTGTCACCCTCGGCGTTAGCCAGCTCGCTCCTGTCGCCTCCTTCACCAGCGAAAGCGTTGAGGAACACAACACACGCCTCAGAGCCATCAGCAATCCCAAGAGTAGTCTCGGAGATCTCGGTACCGGAACCGTCGCTAAGCTGCATGCCTCCACCTGAGCTCTCAACGACGGTATTGTTGAGCCACCACTTCAGCATGAAGCCGTCGGACTGAGCGCGCTCGTTAAAAGCCTGGAAGGGAGTGACAAGGAAACCGGCTGAGGACATAGCTGAGCCACCGTTCTGCGACATGTGCCCGTCCATTGTTGCGTCAACTCCAGACATGACGGTGAGAGCAGTGTTGGGACCCATAAGACGCGGCGCGGCGTGGAGGCCGAAGATAGAGATGGCCTTCTTGTTCTTCAATGGGAGGGCATTGTCCGTGTTCTTGAGAAGTGCGATAGAATCAGCGGCGTACTGGCGAGCCAAGTCACCGTGCTTTCCACGCACATCAACATTGTCGGTGTATCCAACGCGATCCGGGTAGACCTCCTGGTTCTGCTTGAAGTGGCCCATCAGCTGGCGGATGACCATGTCGTCGAGACGCGCTGAAGCGAACGTGCCATTCGCGATACCGGCGACAAGAGTGGAGTTGCTCCAGTACGATGAGGAACCGTAGTCCAGTCCAGCGTTGGCAGAGTCGAAGCTGGTGTGCTGAGCGCCGGCGTCGGGATGGACGTACCCGGGGAAACCAAGCTCAACCTTCAAGTATCTGGCAAGAGTGTCTTGGTTCTCGCAACCGTAGGATCCATTGATCTTTTGCATTGAGCACATGGCACCACCGACACCACCCTTGACAGCATCATAGAACGGTGCGAGGTAGGTCTCGTGGAAAGCCTTGTCGCCGATCTCGACACTGTAGGCCCCGCTGGAGGAGGATGAAGTGGAGTTGCCATCGTCTTGACGGCGGCGCATTGAGGGTGGACCACCATCAGTCGAGTTCCCACCAGACCCGCCAGCTCCTCCGCCCATGCCACCACCCATACCGCCACCGCCGCTCGAGCCTTGACGGTTGGTTTCCTGCTCGTTGAGAACGTAGTGCTTTGCACTGGGAATGACGCCAGAAGCAGTCATACCGCTCGCAAGCCGACCAGCCATGATACCCGACATGTAGGAATCAGGACCATAGGATTCGCCACTACGGCCACCCCATGGGGAACGTCCAAGAGGCTGCACAGTCGGAGCATATGCAACGTTCATGCCCTTGCCCTTGAACTCGGCACCGAGACCCTTGCCCTGACCATAGACAGCGTCCTTATCCCAGGTCATCGACATTGCGAGTCCGGCTGGCCAAGCAGTGACGAAGTAGTAGTTGATTGGATTCGCGGACGAGTCGGAGCCCTGGATGGCAGAGTAGTTGCCTGCACCGCTGCCGGTGATGATGGAGAGCTTTTCAGTCGTTGAAAGCGATGCGACGAAGTCTGAAGCCTTGTTGAAGGCATCTTGCCAGTCACCAAGCTTGACTTTGGTGTGTTAGTAACGAAGATTTCTGAGGGGTACCATTACTCACTGGTACCGGAGCTCAAAATGGCCTCGGTGTAATTGGAAGAAATAGCAGCGTCAACGGCGCCACCAAAATAAAGCGCGGCCAGAAGCCAAATATCAGTCTTCATCATCATCTTGGATGAGTGAAGTATATGTTCAGAGAAGCGAATGTATGGTCTATCTTAGATCGAAAAGGCAAGTAGAAGCGAACGGATAGAAGTGAAGAGGTTACTATTGACGATAAACGAAACAAACGGCCGTCAATACATCCATTTTAAACATCTTGATCTCCGCGATGCCCGAAGTCGATCGTGGCAAGCTTTGTGGCTTCGTACAAGCTTCGCACAGCTGGGTGACGGTGTAGCTTACGACTACCATGACGCTCTGTGCAAATGCTTCAGCCTCGTAGTGCAAATCTCAAAATTAAGGATAGAATGTGCACGCGGCCGCCTAGGTAGTAGCATGCTAAAGCTAGCGATGCATCAAATCTGATATGCTAGTGCGGCGTGGCCGCGTATGCAGCAGGGGTAGGGCCCGAGACTGTCAACGGCCGTAGCCGAAAGCCACCAAAAACGTCAACTTGCAACAACGTGGAGATCCAGAACATAGTCTTGATTGGCCGTTGCAGTGACGATAGGAGTAGCGTTGGACGTGCGCCATAGAATGCCCCGTTACCAAACAAACAACCGGCCCATAGGGCAATCGTTGAAATCGGACCGTCCCCATGATAAGATTAGTCGTTTTGCACAGCGATGCGGCTCTGTTCGATGATGTTTTTCGATCCTGGTAGGTTACATCTGTCTGTCTGGGCCGGTCTCTGGAGTTGTTGTACAAAGTCTGGCCATACTTTGAGCTGCGCAGTCGTAGATAAGGCATCTACCGGTGCTTGCCAAAATGTATAGATCCCCCTGAATCTGGCTCGCTACTGAAGCCCTCTACCTCTCATACAGAAGCGAAGGCTTCCGAGTGGCTGTTGATTGTCTGGTTGACAGTTGTGACAGCTTGGTAGACGTCATGCAGGGCATCAACGTTGGTAATAGCTGTTGAGGAAGGAGGTTCTGGCGGGTACCAACTACCTAACATATTAGCGTTTGTTTATTTAATGAACTTCCATAGCTGAGCTGAATCGATAACTCTTACATTCAACAATAGCCGCTCACAAGCCTGTCCGCACGACTATACCATGGTGCAGATGTACTGTTTGCATAACTGTTCCAAGTTTAGGGGGGTTCGTACATTTTGACAATCATTACACAGGTCGTGTGTAGAACATGTATGGAGACACTACCAACATGCCTCCACTATGAAAACAACGACTGTCTGCTTCGAATCGCCTGTGCTAAATGTCTGAGCTGTCTCAGCCGCAAACCACATCAGACTATATAGCATACCTTTTTATGAACGTCTAAGATCTTTGCTACCTTAAAATTACTTTGGTGTCGTTGCCCTGGAGCATAAGTTACTGTGTACCTTTTTTCCCGTGCAGAACAGTGTTGCGTTGCTGCAGCGATGCTTAAAAGCCTTGAGCGCCCATAGTTTTTGTAAAGGAATACTGTGAAGTCTAAGGGACCCTGTGACAGCACGGCAAGTCACCTCTAGCCTTGTGGCGGCTGCGACGCCCATGTTCATGCAAGATCGCTATGGTGATCGGTACCTGGGCTCGTGCAAAGCAGAACCACACGACCAGATACAAGCCCTAGACAAGCCACGTCCTTACGCACTGCCGTAGACATTGATCGATATTCAGGCGGAAGCCACAGGAAGCCTTGCTGGTTACGTAGTATCCACTGGCCCTGCACAACAGTGTTGGAAGACTGCTTCTATTTCCAAGAAGGCGATAGTACAATTGAGAGGGACGACAATGGAATATCATCTATATTGGAGTGGAGGATCTTGCCATCGGACGAGAAGGTTAAGTACGAAATGTACTCAGAATAGCCTTCTAGCGTGCTGCGACACGTCCCTGTTGCCGTCTCCCACATCCGTACTTTCTCGTCGTGAGATGCCGACGCGACCAGGTGCCCGTCTGGCGAGAAGGCCACCGCCCTGACCTCATCAGAATGGCCCTCTAGCGTGCTGCGACACGTCCCTGCCGACGTCTCCCATACCCGTACTGTCTCGTCGTCAGATGCCGACGCGACCAGCTGCCCGTCTGGCGAGAAGGCCACCGCCGTGACTCAGTCAGAATGGCCCTCTAGCGTGCTGCGACAGGCGTCCCAGTCTGCTTCCCTTATAGACAGCATCTCAACCCGCTGTGGCACTTGATCCACAAAAGTCCGTCGTACCAGACTCGCCTCTGGTGCGAACACAAGTGCGGAGCAATAAATCTGCAGTGGAGCATCCGCGAGCACGGATTGGAACCGCAGCACAAATCGCTTAGTGTCGTGAAGAAAGGTTGAAACAAAGCTTGCAGATGGCTGCTTTACACGTCAGCAGACCACTAAGAGGGTGTTTTGTAAGATATTACGCTTGCAAGTGACTGAAGGCTGTCGAGCAAGTGAACACATCTGCTTGATTCTCTCATGAGACTCATAGCTTCGAGCCAATGGAGAAGGTGCTTCTGGAGAAAGATTGCGTCGTGTCTCCGTCTGTGATGTCTTGCTGACTCTGCTTGAGATGATTAATCCAGTAGCGACATGCATACTGCAGATCAGGTGACAGACTGCTAGCAACTGTCCCCTCGTCGATCTCGCTTCTTAGCACCCCAGGTCCGGAGAGGCTGCACATGTCCTGACGAAGACCGCTTAGCCCAGACATAAGCTCAAGGCAGCGAGATGCGAGCTTCATGTGCGTACTTCTCTCGTCTACTTAGAACGGGCTCTTTCTCTATTTTTGATGGTCGACGAGAAACTCGCGGAAAGATAAGTGCAGGAGTCTGATAGAAACGTCCTCACTGTCAGGAACACTATGAACAGAGTGCAAAGAGTCAAGTAGACACTTGATCTCCTCTTGTGGAATTTGAAGGAGACATGCAAGTGAGATTGTAGAGAGCGGACTCTCTAGAACAACAATACTGCCTACCACTTCTCTGAATGCGTAAAGCCACTAACAGGGAGGTAAGTCCGATCCAGCTGCGAAAAGGTCGCCTTTCGATACTGCAGAACCTTGCCTAAGTAACCCTCAGGATTGCTTCCCTTTGTGCCAATATATCGACACATGGTAGCAGCGTAGATGAACAGCGGCACAGCTAGCTCGACTAGGGCTAAAATCTGGTGTGTTGCCGGCCAATCTGCGGCCAACATGCGCTCTTTTCGTACCGCACCGAGCCCATGCTCCAGGAAAAGTTGTATATCGTGTTCGATCGTGCTCCTGGGAACTTCGTGGAGGACTAGGTCTTGTATGTGCCATTTGACATCTCCTTGAAGCCGAGGCGAATGTGGAGCTCTGGCCTGCTAGTTACCACGATCCGTAACGGTACTGGCCGGATGTCCTTCGTCCGGGCAAGCAGCTGAAGGGTCGTCCGGATGTCTTGCTCCCGCTCACACTCGTCTGACGCGTCTATCACGACAACACGCGCCGAGGCCTGCGAACAAGCCTGCCCTATCTCAAGGAGTGGCTGCAGGACTAGCTTCTCGAACTGGTCTTTTAGAGCCCTATCCGAAATGCCTGAGTCCTCGTCGAGTACCTTCCTAATCCCGGGCAGCATGCGTTGCACGTAGGTCACTAGGTCGGTAGCGATGGTAGTGAAGAAGCGTGAGGCGTTGCTGCACTCACCTTCGCCTTTCTTGAAGAAGAAGCTTGCTCCTAGCCGACCTTGGCTGGCAAATGACTGCGCAATTGTCCGCGCAATCGTAGACTTTCCTGTGCCAGCCATGCCGCTCAGCCAGAATATAGGTTTTCCATCCTTATCGTTGGCCCAGCTTGTAATGTCATGCAGCAGTGCGGTGCGGGTGTTGGGTAGGCATCGTGAGTTGTGCTCTTCGGTGTGGCAGTTGTAAGATGCCCCTTTCGCAACAGGTAGTGCGGTCAGATCTAGCTTTCGATGGAGAGTGTGGGCGTCCTGAGTCGCTAGATCTAGCTTCTGGTCAAAGTCAAGTATAAGATCCATAAGAGTTGGTCAGCCACTTTTGCTTGCACTGGAAGGAAGCGAACAAGGCACTTGCATCTGATCAACCTGGAGCGCTAGCGTGAAGGCATGCTCGTAACCTTCCATGTCAAAAACAATCTTTTCTACCTGCTTGCTGGTGAACGGCCACTTCAAAGCTCGTACTCCAAAGCGGCTCATGGCCTTGCGGTTTTTTCCGGCTCCAGCTCCTCCTTCAGCTTCTCCAGCTCTCATAAGCATTGCTTGAGCGACTTGAACAGGCCATGAGTTGTGGAGAGTTGTGCTTTGTGTGGCCCGTCTAAAAGTTTCTTGATACTTTCTAGGATACGCTTGATGCCGCTAAGCTTTTTCTCAATGCGTTCGATGTCATTTTTGCATCCTTCACGGCGATGGAGTACTGATAGCAGAGTGCGGCGATCTTGGCAGATATGTCGATTACAGCGATGACGCTGGCTATGCCCGAAAGACCTTCCATAACGCGATACCTGGCATAGAGGAGAGATGCTCCGGCAGATGCAGTATTGCGCTGTTGTAGGTCGATCCAGCAGCCAGGCCGCTCTCAGGCTGTGAGAAGTGCTGCGAACCATCATCAGCTGCACAAGGCTGGGAAGGTAGGCACAGCTAAGCGCTACAGCATCACAGGGGTGAGGTCCAAAACGCTTCGGAAATTTGTTCTCTCGAGATCCGTTCGTCTCTCAGCGTGATGATTAAGCTGGCCGGGGTAATCTTCGGCTGGGGGGCCACGTTGGAATATCTGCACATTGCGAATGCGGCTTGCTCGGACACGTTCGCAAATTGGTTGCGACAGCTCATCAAGCTTAAGCACAGAGTGTTGAGCCGTTCGGAGATCGATATTGTTTTTGCAAGGCCTCTACCGCAATGGGGCAGACATTTTGATACCGTGCAAGCTGAAGCGCTAACAGCTGGCGTGGCCATGCTGTATTTGTGAGCGAAGATGCATTGTATAAGTATGATACTGGCACGATGGCAGAGGCGATTGAGTTCTTTCACCAATGAGCGATGTCAGAGTTCAGGGAGAGAAATATACAACCGTGATTAGAGATGAAGAAGTGGAGCACTGCTGTGGAATAAGGGTTTCCGTATCGATAAGACTAGCGCGTCAATGACGCGACGCGTCGCCCAACTAATGGAAATAGCCAGCCACGGCAGCGTCTTCACCACAAACATACCCTCACACTCCTTTGACGTCTTTTTCTTTGCTTGTGGTGACAAGAAATAGAATCTCCATGGCGTCCAGACCGGAAATGCGAGAGGACGATGAGTCCGGCTTCTGCAAGTTCTTTCGCAATTTACCGCACAAGAACGAAGACACTGTCCGGATCTTCGACCGAGGCGACTATTACAGTGCCCATGGCGAAGATGCAAAGTTCATTGCGAACAGTGTGAGTGCCGCGGATACCCGACTTTCAGTGTCTGTTCTAACAATTGCAGGTCTACCGGACGACAGCTGTCCTGCGTAAGCTGGGACGGGAGCCCGGTCTCGACTCAGTCACCATGACCACGATGGTCTTCCGCAACTTCCTCCGAGACGCACTTTTCCGACTGGGCAAGCGCATTGAAATATGGCAGTCGACTGGGAAGCGAATGGACTGGAAGGTGGTGAAGCAGGCCTCGCCGGGAAACCTGCAGGACCTCGAGGATGAACTTGGAGGACACATGGAGAACTCGCCAATCATCTTGGCCGTCAAGGTTTCTGCGAGAGCTTCGGAAGCTCGCAATATTGGTGTTTGCTTTGCTGATGCCAGTGTACGCGAGCTCGGAGTGACTGAATTCCTCGACAACGACCTTTACTCGAACTTCGAATCACTCCTGATCCAGCTCGGCGTGAAGGAATGCTTGATCCAAGCAGACGGTAACAAGAAGGATGTTGAGCTCAACAAGCTGCGGACGATTGCCGACAATTGTGGATGCGCTGTGGCAGAGCGAGGTGTTGCCGACTTCGGTACAAAGGACATCGAGCAGGACCTACCTCGATTACTAAAGGACGAAGGTGCGGCAGGTACACTACCACAGACCGATCTCAAACTGGCGATGGGCGCAGCAGCTTGTCTGATCAAGTACCTTGGCGTCATGTCTGACTCGTCCAACTTCGGCCAGTACCAGCTATATCAACACGACCTCACACAGTATATGAAGCTCGATGCAGCAGCTCTGAAGGCACTGAACCTGATGCCGGGGCCGAGGGACGGAGCAAAAAACATGAGCTTGTACGGCTTGCTCAATCGCTGCAAAACACCCACCGGTAGCCGACTGCTCTCTCAATGGCTGAAGCAGCCTCTCATGAACCTGGCTGAGATCGAAAGGCGGCAGCAGCTCGTAGAAGCGTTTGTCAATGACACCGAGCTGCGGCAGACCATGCAGGAAGAGCATCTGCGATCGATACCCGACCTGTACCGTCTTGCAAAGAAGTTCCAACGGAAGGCCGCAAACTTAGAAGACGTGGTTCGTGCGTACCAAGTCATCATTCGGCTGCCTGGTTTTCTCGAGTCGTTTGATGCGGTCATGGACGAGCAGTACAAGGACCCTCTCGATGCCGAGTACACATCAAAGTTGCGGCAATACTCAGCCGCATTCGTGGGTCTGCAGGATATGGTTGAGACGACAGTCGATCTTGATGCACTCGACAATCACGAGTTCATCATCAAGCCTGAGTTCGACGAAGCTTTGCGAACGATCCGTAAGCGCCTCGATAGACTCAAGCGCGAGATGGAGTCGGAGCACATGAAGGCTGGTGATGACCTCAACCAAGATACGGAGAAGAAGCTGTTCCTCGAAAACCACAAAGTCCATGGGTGGTGCTTCAGACTAACAAGAAACGAAGCGGGTTGCATCCGACAGAAGAAGCAGTACCAGGAGATCTCGACGCAGAAGAACGGCGTCTACTTCACAACACCATCGTTGCTGGAAAAGCGTCGAGATTTTGATCAGCTATCCGAGAATTACAACCGAACACAGTCTGGACTTGTTAACGAGGTCGTCGCAGTCGCATCCTCGTACGTCCCTGTTGTTGAAAAGTTGGCAGCCGTACTCGCACACCTCGATGTCATCGTCGCTTTCGCACATGTATCGGTACACGCACCCACATCATACACACGGCCAACCATGCACCCTCGCGGTACAGGCAACACCATACTCAAGGAAGCCCGACACCCTTGCCTGGAGATGCAGGACGATATCTCCTTCATCACCAATGATGTCAGTCTAGTGCGTAACAAAAGCGAGTTCCTGATCATTACAGGCCCCAACATGGGGGGCAAATCGACCTATATCCGACAAATTGGAGTCATTGCCCTCATGGCACAGATCGGATGCTTCGTCCCAGCTTCGGAAGCAGAGCTCACTATCTTTGATTGCATACTGGCCAGGGTGGGTGCAAGTGACAGCCAGATCAAGGGCGTGTCAACCTTTATGGCAGAGATGCTAGAGACCGCAAACATTTTGAAGTCTGCCACGAAAGAGTCATTGATCATTATCGACGAGCTTGGTCGCGGTACAAGCACATACGACGGCTTCGGTCTCGCATGGGCTATCTCTGAGTACATCGTCAAGGAGATCGGCGCCTTCGCACTCTTCGCGACGCACTTCCACGAGCTTACTGCCCTCGCTGACACGTATTCGCAAGTCGAGAATCTTCACGTTGTCGCACACATTTCAGAAGGCGCTACCGAGACAGAGAGCGGAGTGCAGAAGAAGCGCGAAGTCACTTTGCTGTACAAAGTCGAGCCAGGCTTCTCAGATCAGTCGTTCGGCATCCACGTCGCCGAGCTGGTCCGCTTCCCAAAGAAGGTCATTAACATGGCTAAGCGAAAGGCAGACGAGCTTGAAGACTTTGCTGGAAAGCACGAGGAAGGCTTCGTGCAAGCAAGCAGAGAGGAGGTTGAAGAGGGCAGCAAGATGCTCAAGGAGATGCTAGCCAAATGGAAAGAGGAAGTTGAGAGCCAGGGCTTGACAAAGAAGCAGCAAATCGAGCGCATGCGCGAGCTGGTCAAAGAGAACCAGGCGCTGCAGGCAAACGGGTTCTTCAAGGGCATCCAAGCAATGTAGGATTCGTGTAACAGTGTGTTCAGCATGGCGTTTGGGGTGTACGGTCAGAGAACTCAGTGCGCTCACCTCTGGGGCGATGCAAGGGCAATCCGCGTAGCTTTAGCGATATACCAGCAATTCGATTGATTCCACACCAGCCAACCTGTGTTGGTTACACTGAACCCAAGCTCTTGTAACTGAATCTTTGCATTACCAGAGGAGCTACTGCTTCTCTCGTCTTCCATAGTCTCAGACTCATATAGGACGCTAAATCAATCAATCAATCAATCAATCAATCATCGGAGCTGGTGTCCAAGCAGCCAATGATGCGCTGTGGCACAGCCGGGCGCCAACCCCGCCATGCTTCCGCATCCCACCTGCCGAGCTCCGCGCCTCTGCTATCTACTCCCACGCCGGCCTCGACTGCTCCTCGTTCCCTCCTGGCCTTCTCCTCTCACACATTCGCAAACATGGCACCCTCACAATCCCTAGTTGTAAGTTCATCCGGCGATATGGAGGGAGCTTAAGCTGACACAGCTTAGAACAAGCTCAAGGTGCAGCTCAAGCTGTCGATCTCGCGGTTACGCATGGTGCAGCAGAAGGACACAGCGAAAGCGAAACAGCAAAGACGCGAAATGGCGCAGCTTCTCGAGGTGCGTATAGCTCGCTACAACTTCCATACTTCGTCCCCGACATTAGGCATCCATTCGGGGCCGCATCATCACGCGGCGCACTGCCGCAGTTCACACGGCAACAACAGCTAACAGGTCACTCAGATTGGCAAGCTCCAATCCGCACGGATACGCGTCGAAAACATCATCCGCAGCGACATAACCACCGAACTGCACGAGATGCTCGAACTCTACTGCGAACTCCTCCTCGCGCGCTCCCAACTCCTCGACCAGCCCACTCCCTCACACTCTTCCACGCCCATTCCGCTCGACCCTGCGCTCGAAGAAGCAGTACGAAGCATAATATACGCCGCGCCGCGCACAGAGATTAAAGAACTGCACCAAGTACGGGCATATCTCGTCGAGAAGTTCGGGAAAGAGGTAGCGGTCGCGGCGATGGAGGGCGAAGGCGTAGCAGAGCGCGTTGCAAAGAAGCTGGAGGCCAAGACGCCCAGCGAGGAGCTGGTGGATGCATACTTGGGCGAGATCGCACGATTCTACGGTGTCCCATTCGGCGCACCAAAGACATCGTCAGACGACGACGATGACGAGCCGAGCGGTGGTGTAGCTGAAGAAGCAGACACAGAGGTTCCATTAGCAGCTGACGGGAAGAAGGACGACGAGAGGGAAGCACTAGTAAAGGCGACGCCACCGAGGACGGTAGGGCCGCAGAGTCCGCTGAGGGTCGTGCCGCCAAGCCCAAGTACGGATAATGTTGCGCCGAAGCTGAAGCTGCCTGGTGCGGCGGCGGCGAAGGTGCAGAAGGCGGCGGAAAAGAAGACACCGGTGAAGAAGGACAATGGGCCTGGAGGGAAGATACCAGATGTGGACGAGCTGTCGAGGCGGTTCGCTGAGCTGAAGCGGTGAGCTGTGCTAATATGAACGCTTTCAATCCGTTTGGTGTTGAGAGTAGTGAAGCGTCAATAAGTCTTATTACCTTTTAGACGTCTACATGATGCCTGATGCAAGGATTGTATTAACAGCCACGCAGCGATGATGACGTTTTGTTCAGAAACCCGGCTTAATTTCAATATCGTTAGCTGGCTCTTTAGTTGCTAGAAATTACCTTTACAATGTACGAGCTCGCGACTTCTGTGACTGTGACAGGGATCTGCGACATAGTGGGGCGTTCGCACGTGGAGAAAGCATACGTCATCCCCCGCGCCTGCTTCTAGATCTCTCACAGCAACACAGCCTCAGCAATTGTATACAAAACCACGACGCCTTCCAAGACTTGGAACATCTCCGAGGCTCCAATCATCCACTCAAAGCCAACAGCCTTAAAAATGGCCTCCAACCAGAATCCGTGGCAGGACGAGTACAGCAGCTCAACACCTCAAGGCAGCGGCGGCTACCAAAGCCCACCATCCTCCCAAGCCCACGGCGTATCAAACCACAACTCCCATTCAGCCTACCAAGACCAAACCTCGCACGCCCAATACACTCCGCCAGACCACCCACCACCCGGCCACAACCTCGGACAAGGCCACTCTGGTACCCACAACGACGCAGACCCCTGGGTGCAATACCAATCACCTGACTTCAACCCAAACCCCCAACAACCCCCCAACAACCCACCTAACCCCTCGCCTAACCATCAGTTTCGTGTCCCGCCTCTAAACTCCGAGACGCAGAATTACCAAGGCCTGAACGACAACAACTACGAAGTCCCCCCTGGCCTACCACCGCGACGGACCGGGACCGATCTCGCGCTCCCACAAGGCCAGGATCGCAGTCATCAGATTGAAGTCATGCAGAGCTATGAGGCGAGGGGACGCAAGGATGAACATGATCAGAATGTGGAGATTCTGCAGCGCGAGTTTCCGAAACTGGATGGGAGTCTGATTGCGGCGATTTATGGGGATAGTCAGAGTTTGAGTGCGACAAGGGAGATGCTTGGGGAGTTGGATAGGGAGTGAGCGTTTGTTTGGGGAGATCGGGCGGGGTCAGGTTGTTGAGGAATGACTTGCTGTGATTTGCCTTTACCTTGGCGAGCGTTTTATGCGTGAGTAAGAGTAAGAGAAGACATGCGTTTGCTGTCCCCAAGAATATATTGTAGTCTACTGTTTGTGTCTGTTGCCTCACACCTACTCGACATTCTTTTCGAACGTGAGGCTATCGGCAACCTTCCTCCTCGCACCGAGAGGAGCTTGCTCCAGGACTTCTCCACGGCCACAAACCCGACCTCTAGGCGTGCAGAAAGTGTCTTAGCAAAGGCTGCCGCACGAGGGTGAAAACAGCGATTCATCGTACTAGCAGCAGGAAGCCCTCAGCCCACATCCTCACACATTACGCGGCCCTGGCTAACGCAGCTCACCGCCATGTCCGTGAGTAGAGTCCGTTTAGCGAGGTCTTGAGGAGGGCCGAAAGAGTAGCCACGAAGTCTACAACCTCGATGATACTCCGAAGCTCTGGTCCGCATTCAGCGCCAAGATGATGACACAGGGAAAGGAGCGACGCCGGCGATGACCATGCCTCACAATTTACCATAGTAAAGAATAGAGGCAAGGGCCTGCAGCAAGGCGGAAGAGAGGCCAATGTCAACTAGAAGAGTGAGAAGAAGGGGAGCAAGGTAGTGGTTACCGCAGGTGATCTGCGGATTGAAGTGGAGGCGGGCTCACAGGAGAAGAAGACGAGGCATCGGTGGTGAAGCGGTCGGCTGCGCAGTTACACTTGTCGCCCTTGGTGTCGCTCCTCCTTCATTCTCTTTCGCCCACTTCCACGTGTCGCCACCAACACCTTGACTTGGCCTTACCAACACTGGCGCAGCGATAGATGAGGCCAGCGAGCACAAGCAGGAGTGGAGCAGCGAAGATGTAACTGATCTTAAAGCGCAAGAAGACAACGACGAAGCCTAAGCTGTCCGAATAGCAGGTCCCCTCCTACCTCTCCAACCAGGCGCGCGCGTCGCATATAAAACTCCGCTGACCATGCCCACTATCCACCAAGTAAAGGTCGGAGATTTGGAATACGCAATCAAACGGTACAAAACTCCGAAGATGAAGAGAGCGAGAACCTCTAGGTTGGAACAAATGATGAGGAAGAGGCAGACTCACATGGAGTATCGCCGTTGAGAATAATGAAGGAGGCTTGGACAATGGACCCATGCCATTAGCATCTCCCTCAGGGGCTTTCGCCGATGCTGGTGCGGCAATAGATGACGCCAATGAGTACCAGCATGAGGAGAGCAGCGCCAATGGAGACGACGAAGAAAAGTTCGATGACGAAGAGGATAACGATGCGGATGTGAAAGACCTCCAGAGTATGGAGGCATAAAGATTGGCGAGCGGTTGCAACAGAATGCACCGAAACGTCATCCGGAATGGCTCTTCTCAAAGCCACCTTCCACAAGTGGCAGAGAGCACTGCAAGACAAGAATGGCGATTGGACCGAAATGGTCAGGCCGGGATCATTGTAGACATTAAGGATTTGAGAACACGAAGGTCACGATCGTTATCCGCGCACCTGATGGTCTCACGACGGACGTCCCTGGACGAAAGCCGGTCCCACTGGCGAGATCAAGAGCTCGTCAAGGTGATCAAGCGAGCAGGTGGGGTAAGGCAAAGCGCACCCGAGGCCTCCAAGGCAGGAACAGCCTGCCGGATGAAAATATGTACGGTGCGGAGGAGCTCTTAGGAACCAAGAAAAAAGAACACTACGCATTCAAGAGTCGACTACTGTCCCACTTGTTCACGATATTTCAACGATAGGAAAACCAGCGGAGCGAAAACGAAGCAGAAGACAGGATAGCAACATGGCCGGCAGCAAAACAAGGGAAAAGGTAGGAAAAGACCAAGATGGACCAAAAGAGTAGGAAGAACGGTGAAGAGGTGAAGGCTACTGTGGCTGAGAGGCAGATCGAAGTTGAAGCAGGAGTACAAGACAGGAAAAAGAAGCACCAGGGTCGCAGTAAGAATGCAGTAGCTCGGTGAACTCAAACGAACAAAGACAAGCGTCAAGCGAAATTGGCCAAGTCAAATGCCTCCAGAGCCCAAGAATAGGCTGTCTCTTGCGAGCCAGAGGCTGACGCTCTACCGCGAACGAAGAAGAAGCTTCAGGGACGTGGCCAGGCAAAGGACACTGAACGCAATGCAAGGAGGTATTCAGAGGCGTCGACGAGGGCTGGTGGTGCCAGGGCCGAGCAAGACCACAGTGAGGAAGATGAGACTGCTGGCAAGAAAGGCCCCGTGAGAGGCATCCATGCGAAATCTGGACAGATCCGTCGAGCGAGACAAATGACAACTTGTCAGAGTTCAGTGAAGAACTGTACGCAAAGGGAAGAATTTGAAGATTGTACTGGAGTTGTATTGGGTGAAGCTACGAACAGTATATATAGGTGAGTAACTGTAAACAACGCTAGTGTGACATGGCAGTCACTCTCATGGAGGTGAGGTACAACAGGCAGGAGTACCCCAAACCGTGACACAACTCGACCTCATCTTCGAGGACGTGCGCGAAAATATGGATTCGGACAAACGCGAGCGCGCCTAGCTCTAGCAGCAGCTCAGCAATGGAAGAAGACCAGCAGCGCGATATGATGCTGTACGACGTTCGTGCACAGAGGTCCTCATACCTTCGGGCTTGAATCCCAAGGCTGAAGGTAACCAGCGAACTGTAGTTGCTTTCCAGGTGAAATTATACAATTTGTAGATTCTTGTAGACTTTCCTTGGTTAGGCAAGCTTATTTGAATGCCTCCTAAAGACCTGAGGTATCGCACGTGCAGAACCAACCTTCTCTGCAATGCGCCAGCGTGGCTGGCGTGGAGCATCGAGCAAAGACAGCAAAAAGCAAGGACCTTGCACGCGTGGCTAACAACCGCACGCGAGGCGCATGGGTGTACCGACCACTAGTGCGCTAGCGCGCGCACAGACTCCGCCATTCACCAAACCCGCTGAACAAAAAGGCGGAATATCTTGATAACCTGTGGTTATCAAGTCGATTGAGACCATTTCGAAACAAAAAGAGAAGCCCGACGTGGGGCTCGAACCCACAACCTTGAGATTAAGAGTCTCACGCGCTACCGATTGTGCCAGCCGGGCTTGTTGATGCTGGATCGATGGAATAATTATTAAATTGAAAAAACTTATAGTCTGCGAATTTTTTTGAATGTATCCAAACCTCGCTCGTTGCGGTTTCTGTCTCACAGAATGCTCAACTTTACATTTGCTAGGATGCAATCGAAGGCTGAAAAGTTCTCGTGGGTGGGGTCGAGCGGAGAGAGCCGGCGAATTGCTGTTGGCTCGGCCACCACTCTGCATGCAGCCTTTGATCGTACGTTACGCGGGATTGCGAGTCTCGTAGGGGCGCTGCTGTACTATTCTGAGAGGCCATACTGATGATCACAGATGAACAATAAAACTGTTGTGAAGGTTGGTGGCTCTCGAACTCACGGCGACATGTGAAGTCACGGCTTAGTAAACTACGACACTAGCGTGCTTGCCCATCAACGAATTATAGCCTCCATCACTCCTTTATTCCATGAATTTCGTGTTGTCGCCCCCCCCCCCCACGTCGCGAAAGCTGCGAAAAGCGATGATATCTTCAGTCTGACGTGTAATCCGGTCGTCCCTAAGCTGAAGCGCTGGTGGCGCTCAATAAGCACAGTATGCTAGACATCAGGCAGTAACTGCAGCCTTGTTCGTTCCCCACAGTTCACTTCCAGACACCAAGACAATCAGTCTCAAGATGTGCATCGCTTTGGTGATATCAGTAACATTCACTCCCCGCTCTGCTCATAAGGCTGGCGATGTACGATCGACCTCGGACAGGACGCGCAACGTTCTTTCGAACTCCAGCCAGAGCTCACAAGCAACGGAGTATGCGCATGCCAAGTCTAGCGCGAATTATGGGCTCATATGCTGTACGCTCTGCAAGGCTGCGCCCCAAAGCTGTGTGCTCTGGTCACTTCCCTCCAAGCGACTCCAAGCTTCCGGCTCACTGGATTGGTGTGCTCCACACTATATCACGTAGGGAGTTGTCAACCATGACTGCACATCCCTCTCTCTGCAGTTTTGATGCCCTCTGTACGAGCTTTCTATTCTTTAATGCTCGTATATTTATAGCTTCGCAGCACCGCACACTGCACCTGAACTCTTTCGATAAATTACTTGGCAGAGTCAAAGGATTCGGACAGGGAACCATGAGCCAGGGCTGCAGCCAGATTATCCACGCTTATTCTTTCGCGTTCACAGAGTAAGAAAGCAACTCTAATCATGTGCTGCAAAGAGCGTTCACTAGCTCATTCCAGGCTAGCTTTTGCATTATGCCAAGTAGCTTCTCAAAGGAATCGAGATGCAGCATGAGCCTTCTGCCTGGTAATCCAAGGTCGAACACAGTAAGTGATGGGGTGGTGACGGCGTGCTCTGCTGCATAGTGCATGTTGTACCACGATACCAATCAACAATGCGCTTCAAGTAGCGTATGATCTGTGGACTGATAGCGACTGATGTATGTGGCGTCTCCCCTTGCTTTCCTTTTGCTTTTCCCAACTACTACCTCAAACTTCTTCTTCCCTATATTTCTGCATCGAAAGCATTATGGACCATTCACACTAGGAAGATCCTGTTATCTTCTGATTGTTCCGATGCTCGCGTTTACAGTCGCCATCATTGCTATGGTCTTCATTCAAAGAATCGATCCAAATGACTGTCCGCAACCCAACCTATGCCCTTACATCGACACGCCAGGTCCATCTAACAGTTCGGATTATTACGTCGACGTCTTTGTCGGACGCCTAGTGTTCGTTGCATCCTTGTCATCAACAGTCAGTTTCGCTCTAGTTGCTTGTCTGATGACAATGTACGGATGCGTTGTCGCTAGAGAGTTGCTACATACTTTGACGCACTGCAGCACTCAAAGCACGCAACCCATTCCTTACCAGACTGGTACACTTATTCGACTACTCAATGCCGAGATTGTTTACCTATGGGACTTGATGTCTCGCTATCGTCGACAGACTTCCGGATCGGACAAAGAGCGTTTGCCAAAGAAACAGGCTGTGGACCCACGAATCCTTCGCTTTTGTGGCATCGTGTTTTTGTTCAGTCTGTCATCGGCGTTATACGACTACTCCGAGAAAGCAACAGCGATCATCTTCTGAGCAGAAGATTGGCCACCGTGGCACTTCCGAGACGATGATCCTGACAGTCCCTGGTACCGTAGCAAGTATATCTGGAGCGCTGCCCTGAATTGTGAACTTGAGCTTTCAATCACAGCAACTAATGCCAGTTTTGTAGCGCAGACTGTACACAAACTCTGCACTTATATCTTCAATTACACAGCTGCGCAAGGAATCTCATATGTCAATGTGCGTCCTCCAGATGTAGACTCGGGTCTAGACTGGAGTAGTACGTCTTATGGGGTGTCCACACAATGCGTGGCTATACCGCGGAGTAGCTGTAAAATCGACTCGCCTGTACCTGACCAGGCGATCTTTGACTGCACTGCCGCACATTTGCCTTTGGGCAATATCACGGTTCGGTTCGGCAAATATATACTCTCGCAACTCTAGGCTGCGTTGTTACGATTCTTGCTCTTAAAGCAACTTCTCCAAAGGTTCACCAGGTTCAAACTTGGCTAAGTACAGCTGGACTTGCCGCACAATTGTTCGACACGCAACATGCACGACGCAAAACCAAGGACGATAAGAAACTGTTTTTAAGGAATTTGAAAGAACGACAACTGAGCAACGAAAGCAGAGCGGGGGTCAAGTGTACATTATCTGGAGGCGCAGAGTTCATTGTACACGATGGACTCGGTAAGTCGAAGTCGCTGAATGAAGAAGAGACGCTTGCACTGCGTCAATCGCACACAATTTGGGGACAGAAAGAGGTTGCAATTGCATTCGTTACCCTATACTACATCTTACACCGGCGGAGGCATCGATCTGGGCAGATCCACATGTACGTCAAGTTGACAAGTACCTTCAATCACAGTTCAGGGATTTCTGCGCTTGGATTAAATGAGACGTTCAATTTAAACTTGTGTTATCATGGCGAGCGTTTATTGCAGCTTCACAAGACTCAAAAATAGTCTTGGGACCATATTCAGTTTTTGGAGAGTCGCGTAGAAGTGCCCGTTGATGCAGCACGTGCCGGACGAGAGGTTGGACCATGATGAAAAGACGATGGTTTGAGACATTATTCAGCTGTACCCGTTGCCGTTCTCGTCAGAAATAAACTATGATTTTTTATCCTTATGACGCGAAACTGCCATGAACACCTTATCGGATACTTGATCCAGCAGTAAGACGCTCGCAGCATCACTACATCATGACTACACGTGTGAGTGCACCTGGAGCTACAATAGCGGATGGTGTCAGTATTTTACGCTTGAGTTGCCTACCTCGACCCATAGTATTGTGAGGGACTATATTACGAATGCAGATTCCTCGAGGATACTTGGCCCAGTGGCTAGACACTCGCAAGAATACGGCGCTTTCTTCGATCCGTGCTGGAGGTGACACCGACCGCTAGGCGATACTCTCTTTAGAGAAATACGCATTGCGGGACACCTGTGTTCGAACCACAGAGTATCTATCCTTTCTGCTTCCAAATACATCACTGAGGCAGCATGCCTTCTGCCAGATTGTTCAATCTGAGAATGCGGCTCAAATCAAAAAGCAACCATATAGCAAGCAGCTTTCTAGTACACTATGTGTCACGGTTTGGGGCGCTCCTGCCTGTTGTACCTCACCTCCATGAGAGTGACTGCCATGTCGCACTAGCGTTGTTTACAGCTACTCACCTATATACTGTTCGTAGCTTCACTCAATACAACCTTAGTACAATCTTCAACTTCTTCCTTTGCGTACAGTTCTTCACTGAACTCTGACACTATGTGTGTGAATACTGCTATTGTGATCATGAAGCCTTGGCCCTGCATGTCCATGCTCAATGGTGGGAAAGCTCTCTGGTCCTAATCATTGCACTTATCCACAAATACTGCCTGATTAGCTACACCAAGGCTGTGAGAGAGGCGCGTAACAATGTGTTGGCGCAGTTTTGGAAGCATACAGGGTGTCGTAGCAGCAACTAACAACATACAATACTTCAACTAGGGCTACCATGGACCCTACAAAATAAGCTGTAGCAAGTCAATGACAGTTGAGTGCTATGGGGGTGGTAACAATGAGCTAGGCAAATGGTCATAAGCTATACATGTTTGGAAAATCCTGGTAAGGTCCTACATGAACGATTTTTGTCCACCTAAGCGGAGCCTGGGTCATAACAGATCTGACATGCCGAACTCGGGAAATAGAAGTGCCACAGCCATACGGTTGGGTTGTGAGGTTTTGGTAGTGGGAGTAGGCAAACAAGCCTCGTGTCCTTACTACGCCAATCGCACTGCGAGCCTCGAAAACCCGGCTGCGACCACCCAATCAGCTATGGGGTGGTCTTGGGAATGGGCACAGGACAGCTAACGGGATTAGACGTAGCGTGATGAAGAGGACATTGGATTGGCGATAGAACTGCACCGCGAGCAGCAGATGTGCCTGCCGAGTAATTGTGTGGCGGCGTGGGCCGCTGTGGTATACTGATAGCTACGGTAAACAATAACGTAGGACTATCGGGTCAATGGAAGACTGCGCTGAGTTGCTATTTAGCTAGGAGATGACGATATATACTGGCCCTGTAATGTGCTAGTCTATGACAGTCTAAGCAAGGGCAATCGGATTTCGTAAGGACCGACTGACACCGCAACAAATTGCTTCCTATCCTTTAAGAGCATAAACACCCTTCGTATGAGCCTCTGGGATATCCTACATCTGATTGTGACAACTGTTCAGGTCCAATATTATCTCTCATCATGGTCGTGCGTTGCCTCACTCCCAATGTGGCATCATTAGTCATACTTCCTATCGTTGCAGCAAGCCGACCCGACTCCAACAGTGATGTGTTAGACAGCATCTCGACTATTGTACGGATCCTAGCCTTGCTTGCAGCTATACTGCAATACAAGAATACCGGCGCATGCGTTCTCAACGAGGACCGAATCCTTATAACAACGCCAGGATAGGCCTGGTCAGCCCAAGGTACGTGAATGATTTTCAACAATGACGTTTTCTAATTGCGCATAGCCAGCGTATTGGCGACATTTCTAGCGCGCTCAATGTCTTACTGATCGTCTGATCATCCGAAGAACAACGTCTTTTGCCCCTTCTCCCCACTGCCCTGGCCACCTCTTCCAGCACCTTTCCCCACACTACTTCCCGGCGGTCTGCCTCTGCCTCTACTCGGTTTCGATGTGCCTCGCTCCCTCGGTACTGGCGGAGGATTGCGCTCCTCATGTCGCATCTCCTTCGACAAGTCGAGTGCAAAGTGGTAGTCGACGTGTTCGGCTTCTTCGGCTTTGGGTAGATGGATGTTACAACGTGAACAGAAAAATGTATCGAGAGTCTGCTGAACTTGGGCTGGAGAATTCGATTGGGGTGCTGGTGTGACCGGTAAATCGTCATGATGGGGTTGTTGATGTGAAGGTGGGGAGTTCGAAGGTGGTCGTGGTTGCGCCGAAGGTGGTGTATTCGACACATATACGTCTTCTTCCGTGTCATGGCGATCCAGCGTCGGCATTATCGGCCGTGTGGCTTCGTCGCTACGGATATCAAAAGCGTCTTCGTCGTGTTCATCAACATCATCTTCCGTTTCGTCTCTTGTGGACTCGCTGTGTACCTTCCTCAACACGGCTCTTGCGGCATCAAATTCCTTTTTCGTGTCGTCTCTCGGTCCAAAGAAGTTTGCGATGTTGCCTTTTGTTCGTCGTCTCTTTGCTGGCGGTTCACTGCCGCTCGAATGTCGGTCTGATGACATCATCGCTTTTACCTGATCACCGCGAATAAGGAAGCCACCAATGCCTGCATTGTTCTTGGGTCCATCCTCGAAACCGCCCACACTTAACGACAAGTTTGCGCAAGGCCATGCTCGGCCGTCCACAACCACCTGCGCAAGCAGGTTCTTCGCAAGATCAAAGAGGATAGCTTCTGACAGGGGTTTGCCCTGCGGTATCTGCGCTGATCGACTTCGTGTTTGCGCACCTTGTCGGTGATGCAGGATGATTGTCTTTGGCCTTCTCTTGTTCTCCAGCACGCCCTCTTCCACACATCTTGAAAAGATGTCTGCAACAAAGATGCGTATCCACCTGACACCCTGTTCGAAGGAGTTGATGGACGGCCTGAAGGACTTTGCTGATAGCATGCTCTTGATCTGTGTACGTGTGTTTACTTCACTATTGTCTTCCCCCCTGATAATTGAGTAAAGCCAGCTTCCTGTGTCGTCACCAAGCTTCTTCAGTTGGTCCAACGATTGCTCCCTCAGATCCTTGACCTTGTCTGTGCCAAACATCGCAACGACTTCGTCGCCCAGCTTCCCTCCCAGCATCCTGATTTTTGTGAACTTCATGACTGAGAGGAAGTGCTTGACAGCTCGATTGCGGATGACAGTCTGCTGATTTGGCTTCTTGTACCCAGATCCCAGCTTCGCAAGCATCTTGTTGCGTGCAACGCCACCAGAGCACGTGTACTGAAGTGTATCTTTGATATGTTTCCGCACATCACGCACAATCTCTGATGCAATGACCATGCACACGTCGTCCCAATCAGGGTCCTTGTCTTCCCCATCTACCTCGCCAGTCTCGACAAGCGCATCTGCAGCCCAGTCCAGCACGGTGGTCGGTACTTTCGGCAGCGGTTCTGTGGGGTCGTCGTACGGTGCCGGACCTCTCAGCTCAGGGTATCTCTCCAGCAGTATGGTGTGCACCTGAGCGCTCAGATCCATGAACACCTCATCAATACTGGCTTTCTCCACGCGCTGCTCCTTCTCAGGTAGCGCATCCTTGATGTGTTTCAAGATTTTCCTGCTTTCCATACGGTATGGGTCCAAGCTGACTTTATGTGTTGCCATGTTGGTGAACGAGTCCTCGTGGTATGCCCATTTCTCATCTCCCTCTTTCCAAGTCGCCACATGCTGCATGATGAGCTCCGGACATTGTTTCAGCGCTTCGGTTGACGTCACGTGTCGATTCAGGCCGAACGCGCGTGCCGGGTAGTTGATTGCTATGAGACCCTGCCATTGCTGGACAGCGAGAGGTTTTGCAGGGTCGATACCCAAGCGCACGGTTTCACACTGCGCGTAGAAAGCATCGAGATCGACGTGGGCGATTACGCGGAGAGGTGTTTGAGTGCTGTACGACTTCAGCTGGTGAAGTTGCTTGTAAGTGAACTTCGACTTGGGTATTCGGCGCGGAGACGTGATCGAAAGCGGGGACGAGGCGAGAAATGGCGCCGGCGAGGACATTCTGTGGTCGTTTAGGGCATATTGGGTATCTTTCGTGATCGTCTCGGTTTTGTGCTATCCTCGTAACATGAATGCGCTGAGCATCGTAGTTGCTGTCGTGGTAGTTGCTAGGGTTGGCAGGCGCGAGGCGCGTCTTCCCGCGTTCACGTGCGCGTCATTCACGATCGAATCAGATCGCGCTTACCACTTTAGGAACGCCACCAGATCTGTCGTCTCACTGAAAAGCCTCAGCTGTCTACTACAGCTACGTAAAGTGGGTAGCGATATCTCGCACACCATAGTTATGCATTGCGTTAAAGACGATTGATGATAACGTGCGCTCAAACGCAGCAGTTCTCATCTGGCAAAAGATCGATGTCGTCTTGCTAAGAGACCAACTACTTTTCTTCGCTATTCTAATTGTTACTACCTGCAGGACATCACGTTGTCTATCTGTATACCGCTACATACAACTCACCGATTCAAATTTGTCAGCTTTCATACGACCACAATGTCCTTCCTCAACACGCTCCTTAAACCGAAAGGTCTTACTACCTCTCACCGGCAACGTCCTAGCGATTGGGTCTGCAACATACTACCTACAATTGATGATCACCTACAACCTCGAAGAATAAGAAGCACGTCTGGACTAAATTGAAGGGATACTACGAGAGCACATTGGGCTGATCGAGGACGCGCTCGAAAGAATTGAGAAGAAGCCCAGCCAAAACCACCAAGAGAAGTTGTATAGCTAAATGGCACAAGACGAGAAGAAGGGTAATGAGGAGAAGAAGTAGAACCGACATGTGTTTCATGGCGAAACTAGGATCGACTTCTGTGGCCTCATTCATGCGCTAGAATGCCAAGGAACGTGTTCTTTGAGGTTAAGTGCAAGCATACAAACATACGACATTGGACAGACATGCTGAGTCCGTCGCTTCGCGGTAGCCACGATCAACATCTGGTGGAACACACCATAACGACGAATGTACAAGGTAAATTGAACAACCCGCTTGAGGATCAACATGCTTGACGGGAGTTTACTGCTGTGAAATTGCTGGAGTGATGTAAGCCAACCAGCTTGTGTTGCTTCGAGCAGCGCAAGCTCACTACAGCAATGCTTGGTCACCACAAGATTTTATGGCGCATCTTCACTCAGTTTGACTCCCTTTAATCCTGAGAATCGCCTCCCTGGCTTTCATGTCTGCGTTTTACCTCCTCGTCTCTGGTCCTCCCACTATACAATCCTTCTTCAGTGTTCTCTTGTATCGTCTCGTCATGCCTGTCTTCATTTGCGGTCGCTGGCTCCTTCTGGCTCCAAGGTCTTCTATTGAGACTCAGACGTTCAGCGCCCGCTCGTAACTTGAGTGCCAACACGTTGATGAGATGCGAAACAACCACAGTCATGGCGCACAGCACAGCAATAGCCATCCATACAGCAGCCAATGACAGACTCGGCAGCCAGAGCTGTCGTTCGCATCGTACATCTTTGCCACCCCATCGTATCAACACTGCATTCCACACAGCGACGAGAATTGCAGAACTTGCGTTGATGAAAGGAACGACGTTTAGGAGCAATAATGTGGTCAGACTCGGCTGCGCGGGCTGTATTACTGTTTGACAGACTTCTGGAAGGGAGGCTTTCGTTGTGATGTCGAGGATGCGGATGTAAAAAGCGGTGGCAATTGGTATGAAAAATGGTGTCGCGACGATGGGCGTCCGGGTGTCGGTGCGAAGAGGGTAGGTGATGTATTTTCATTTGTGTTGTACGCCGTCTCGCCCAGTCTGGTCTGGTGCACTTGCTTCGAAACTTCTAGTTGTTGGTTTTCTTTACCGTCACGGAGAGGTGCCTTTGGTGTTTCTTTTGAGTCTGTTTTGGGTCGCACTCTGAGGTCGCAGTCCTTCCAGCTCACAGGGGTGGGGTTGAAATAAGTGTTCAGGGCAAATATCAGTATGGTGATGATGGCGGTGCACCAGACAGTTCGAGCGATTGGTGAGGTGCTCCTGAGATGCGAATATTGCGCGCGACATTAGTGATCGAAAGACTCCATCTCGAATAACGAAAAACGAAGTTTGTGAAGTTGACGGGATATATGGTTATTGCACATATGATGTGCCTGATAAAATCAGGTTGTACGGATCCTACGGTACGCCTGATCAGGCTATGTCTTGTATACTTTCTTCCAGCGTTTGGCTGAGGTGCAGATGACTGAGTGGTTCGAGTCGGTGTCGCTCAGGTTCTGCTTTTGTTGTTGGTCTTATCATGATCAGCAGGACGGGCCGTTGACTCTAACAGCATGGAGTCGTCGCCTGGTACTCGAATTTCGGTGACGAGATTGGAACGACGTGACGTTCGTGTTACTACTGACTATGATGGAGATGCGGTCAGTAGGCTGCGGTCAACAGTCGACCTATACATATCAACAAATTGTCCGGCCATTGGAGAGAATGTAACAAGAACTTGAAACCGCACAAGACGATCGAATGCCTTCTTCAGAGATCATACCGAGCGCCCATGCACCGAGATATGCTTGACCTGGAGAGACACCGCGTAACTTTGATAGGCCTCGTAGCTGCGCCCAACCCGAGAACTCCGGCTGCCCAAGATGTGTGCGAAGGTCCTCTTATATTCAGCCTGGTCGACTGGTAGCTTTAAGTGCTGTGTCGCAAGCATCGCAACGTCGTCGTACAACAACGAAGAGAAATGGTGTGTGCTGCACGCACCGTTGATGACGTTTCCGGTTCGATTATGATTTGATCGTAAATCTCGAGCTCCACATATGATGCTGCTCTTGATTAAAGGAGTGAAGGCGTACACAACTCAAAGATTGGTTCTCTAAATAGATCGAAGACGAAGTGCGACCATGAATGTTAGCGTGCTGCAAGCAGTAACAGCCTAGAGAATCTGTTGTTGCACAGTGAATATGTCTCACGCACAGCAGCTGCGTGTAATGTATCCTTTAGTGTATGCCAAAAGGTCTCTTGCAGGCTCTGTGTCACGATCCCACGTGCTGTCGTCTTTGGTGCCTGAGAAGAAGAGTTTCGTTGCGTGATGTAGCCCACATCGACAGAGCGGAACCTGACTAATAAGGGCCAGCCACGACATGGAGCATGAGAAGTGGACACCCAGAATCTGCGGCAGATGGGAGCGATCCTATAGGCAATGATTCTGGAGAATTCTGCAGCGGCTGTTCGGTTCGAGGATGTAGCATGCACCGATGAGTGCAATTGCAGCCTATTGCGACTGTCTCTTGTATAAAGCTGCCCTCTGCTTCCAGGGTCCAGGAGTGATGCAAAAATGCCCAAGAATGCTCCTTCGCATGTCTTCCCATCGTCCAAGCTTGATTGAAGGGGTTTTCGCATTTGGAACAGCGTCTTGAGAATCGCGAGTCGGTGAGCAGTGTCTGACATAAGGACGCCCGGACCTGGCTCATTGGGCCTGGCAAATCCGCAAGGCTCGAACACACACAACGTCACAGTCATTGTAGAAACAGACAAAGGCAATCCCAGCACGCCGCTCATGGTGGTTGAGATGATGATGCAAGGTTTCAGGCACTGGTGAGGAAGTATTTGCAACAGGCCAAGCCGCCACTAGCCACTTCCGTTCTTCACAGAAGGCAGTCATGGCTGTTGATTTCGACTGAACCTCTTACTTTGGATCAACTGATGCACAGTATGGTGTTATTGAAACTCACAAGCAACTGTTTACTGCATAAGAGAGCCCATTGTAACGTGTTGTCATCACGGGAGGCTTGCAGCCGAGTTTTGGTGGGCACCAGCACAGGTTGGTGCCCAACGCGCCACTGCAGTAGCCTGTCTCCACAGTTCCCGCCCACCTGAGCTGCCGCAAAAGCGGTGGTACCCAAATCGCGCGAAGCCAGCTCGAGCTGTCTTTTGAATGGGTACCTGAGGCCGCTGGCGCGCTGACTTGTCAAAATAAGTAGATCGGGCGCCTCCGGAAAGCCGCAGTGTTTTCTGCTCCTTTCTCCCTCTCTGAACGCTGCTTCATCGCCATTGCAGATCGACTCCAACGCCGGCTGCTTCACGTTGCTGTAAGACACCACTGTCACAGCTCTCGCGCCTGTCGTCTGCTTGCTGCCCGACCGACTGACGTGCAGCCGCCCGCCGCTGTCGCCTACCGTCTCGTCCAATCGTGACCCCGCCATCGCTGCAACCGGCCTCCCAAGACCCCGCTGACTTCCATTACGTCGCAAAGAGCCGCACAATACCAGCGATTCAGAGCAGCTTTTTCCAGTTACTCACAATCTGAGGAGTAATCTGATCTTGTATACCAGCTAGCTCTCCGTCGTGGTCACGACAGCTGCATTTGTACCCCACTAGGAAGCTGCAACCTCTGTAGGCCACCCTGCTCCACGGTCTCCCAAAACGGGTTGCCACAGCCACGCATCACGCCCCCATCAGAACCAACCTCTATCACAGGCCAACTCGCTTGTGTCGGTATATTGGTCTTACCCCCGCCTTCTCCTACCTCTGGCGCCTGGAATAACCTTCTGGACACCACCCCACGGAACAACAGGAACTCTGCCATTGCCATCCGAGCTGACAAGTCTTTGGTCCTGTTGGCCCCTCTTTGTCCTCTTTGAGCTTGGTCCGTTTCGACACTGACATCAGTGTCATCTTCTCTTTCATCTCCATCACCTCTCACAACTCTTAGCCCACCATGTCGCGAGCAAACCAGTGGTTTGTCCTAGGCGATGGCATTGCAAGAGAGGTCATTACGGCCGACATCCAGCGCTACTTGGGCCCTGATGCGCTTGTTAGGCCTGGCACAGGAACCGGTGAATACCAGGTTGGACTCACTGTACGCTGTCAATTTGCAGCTTTCAACTAACGAGCACATAGGGCCAACCGGGCTACTGGATCACCGCATACCGAACCCTCACATCGGTAAGTTCGACAGGACGAATACACTAATCGTAGGACCAGGCTGACAAACTGTTTATAGCAAATGATTCAAGATCTGAAGATGGACTCGCAGCGTTGGCAGCAAGAGCGGCAACCAGGCGAGGGACGCGGAGGTAGTCACAGTCCTTATCTTCGTGATACCAAGGTATCAAGAGGCCCTGACGCAGTTCTAGCTTATCAAGATTCACGTACCCACGCTGCGCGCCAGCACTGGGGTCCCTCAAAGCCGGTTGAGCACCCCTCAGCGGACCCTTACGACCGTCAGCCTGCACCCAGGGCAACCTCGGGATACGCAACGTCATCGGCATATGCACCGAGCGAAGGACATTACACCACTGCTCCAGCTGGCTATGGAAGCGCACAACCAGGATACCAGGCTGCACCATCCTCGGCTGCCCCAAGGACACAGCCAACGGACCCGTACTCCGGCTACTCCCAACGTGAACCAGGATACCAGACTCAGCCTTATGGTTCCTACTCAACGCAGTCACCAACAGATGCCTATGGTCGACCGACGGCAGCCACCGCCGCATACGCAACCCCAAGGTATTTTGGTTATACCGACGAAAACTTTTTGGTCTATCGCTAAGCCCCAGTAGTGCCACTCCTGCTCCAGGTTACTACATCGCATCAGATGGTCGTCGTAAGTACTGATAGCTGTGTGAGTGCTTGCCATCGCAATACTAACAGTAGGTCCTCAGAATACCCATTATCGCAGCAGCCACAACCATCTTCCCGCAGTTCGCAACCTGGATACCGGAAACACTAAGCCGGTGCTCACCTTTGATAACTGCGCAGCACCTGGATGCAGCCTTCCTATGATTGCCAGGCATCAACCACTGTTCCTCCGTCATTTTCTGTGCCCGGAGATACCCTTCTGTTTTCCGGAGTTCACCCGGGTTTGAATGTTTTACTACTATAATGGACCGTCTTCATACCCACAAGGAGCCGTCAGGAGTTTATCGATTTCATCCGAAAAGGTTCCGGATAAATGCATGAATTCATGAGCAGTGCATCAACCATCATGGAAATGTCATAATGCAGCCAACCGAAAGTTAATGAATTATGGCCGTTCACCAACACCTTCTGGAGATACCCTTGCGGAGTGCTACCCTCCAGGATCCCGATGTCCACCTTTCGGATCTTTTCATCATCTGGCCAGATGGGTGTAGGCTTGTCTTTCAAGGGTCTGGATCTACTCAACGAGCTCTCTTGCATGTCGCGAGGCTCTGCGAACAGCACAGGCTCTCAAGAATCAGCCTTAGCTCTTGTCCTGTAACGTTGCCTTTCGGTGATCTCAACCTGAGTTGTTTCTGCATGACTGCATCAAGCTCCTGGAGTATTCACATCTTTTTCGAGTGTATTTACCCTTCATAGGGATTTTCTACACCAAAGCGGTATATGTCCGGGTGGTTCTCTGCTTTCCAATGCATGGCATGCAAGGATTTGGGAGACTCATGCGGTGACTAGGTTGTCGATGCCTTTCTCACGTTTGGCCTTTCACATGTGCTGGAAACATATATTCGGACCTTCACACAATATACGATCAAAAATTGCCAGCTCTGTTCAGCTAATATGATTCTACCATCTCACTCGACGTCTAGTAATTTTCCGTGTGGCACTCTTCCGGTTTACTCACAGTTTGCTCAGTACCAGCTACTTGTCTCACGTATGCCCCACGTAACTGACTCGCTAACCCACTCGGAGCCATTGATGATAGCCGCGCGCCCAACTTCAATTCTTTAGATACTACCTCGGCGTACCACGGCACAATCACTGCGCTGCTCCTGGATTTAATAAAGTTCTACTACAAATCACCATCGTGTTCACTCATGGTCGAGACTGTAGGGCAACTGTTCAGTATCACTCCCACTTGCGCCCAACATGCACAACATATGCCGGACTTGTCGCTCTCCGTTGATCGACACGGACAGCATCAGCCCACGCTCTGAAGATCTGCACGCTCACTATTGTTTAGTATACCCATCAACTGCCGGAACCCGACATTTACGCGAAGGAAGGTGTCGGATACAAGGCGCCTGAGTGCAGCCGTTGCGTGCAAATGCGAACTCCTGCGATCATCTTCGTTACACTTCGAGCATCCAACACGTGACTAAGCAATTCACTTTCTTAGCAATAGCACGTCAAGACTGTCTTCTATCTAGTCACAGTGCGTGCGCAAATAGAATTTATATGGTGACGACGATGGGCAGCGATGCAGCAGTGAGCAGGTCCAGACTCTTCCATCCTCGGCACGGGCCTTTTGTAGCCGCCGAAATACCTGCCCTTTCATCAAGTGACGAGACTACGAACGACTTTATACAGCGATCCTCAGGTCGACTCGACAGGTCCAGATCAGGCTGGTCATCAACACAAGAGCCAAGAAAATCAATGAAGCGCATTTGATCTTATCTTATCACAGACAGAGATCAATGCCTTTTGCACTTACCTGAAGCAGCTTGCGCAACAACACCAACGGAATCGCAGTACTACGTCACCTATCGTGGACTTATCTGAACCTCCGTTACATCTGCAGGACAGAACCTCGGTCCAGCTTTCCTCAATCAGCATCATCGCCGGGCTGTACCTTTCCCCTTCGCACAGCTTTCCACCGAACCCCACAAAATCTAACCCTGAACAGCCGGCACTCGACCCTGAACGATGCCTGCACCCCGCGATCTATCCATACTAAGCCACTGCAACGTCTTTCAAGGTTCAGTCACGATAAACATCTGCCGGCTTCGGATCAATTGACAAGCATCGTTTTAATTAAGATGGAGCGCACCGCCGCGCCGCTGCAATTGCGTGTGCGATCCCTCAATTCATCACAATGGTTGCATTCTCAAGGTTCTGCGCTGCGCTGACGCTGCTCGGACATGGCGTTACAGCAAGTCGAGCGCTCACGAAGCGCAATGATACCGAAAGCTACTCAACGAATTTGCTGCACGAGTCAATGGACTGGCTGGACATGTTCTACGACAATGAGCGAGGGTACCTGTTCAGTCTCGATTCGGCAACCTTGGTACACGAGACAAGATCAAGCGCATGGTATGCAGCGGGCTTGTTGGCGAGGAACGAGGCAGATGATGCCGAACAAGCTGTGCGCATCGTGACCAACATTATTGGAGGACAATTCAAGGATGAGAGTCAGCAATGGTAAGTGCTTTCAAACGCTAGAAGCAGGTCGATCACGCTGCAGCTTTTTCAATTAATACGTTCCAAAACGAAGATGTTGCAGCAGCTGATTGTTCCAGGTTTGGCGACTATGAAAAGTACCCCGAAGAGCCTACCGTAGGAACCGAGCAGTACGAGGCAAATATTTACAACTCGTGGGATCCAAACTGGCGCGGTTTCGTAGGCACAACATTCGCTCTCATGCTCGAAGAGTTCCCGCACCTCATACCGCAGGAAACACAGGACTACATGCTTGAGAGCTTGTTCAATAACACTATTGGAGACAGCTACCGCGTTGGTGGTGTCGACACCGACAACTTGTATCCAGCGTACAGCAATCCTTCTATCATGCGCGCATTTGTGTCTGGCTGGGTCGGCCGACGAGCCAACGATTCGAACATGACCACCGCAGGCGAGTTATACGCACAGGAAGTCATTGATCTTTTCAAACGAGACAACACTCTGTCAGAGTTTAACTCCGGCACCTATGCCGGCATTTCACTGTTTGCACTCACGCTTTGGGCGAAGTACCTGCCACAAGATAGCGTGATGGGTCAGTACGGCGGCGAGATGATCAAGTACACATGGACGTCACTGGGCGAATTGTACAACGCCAATCTGAAAAACGTTGCTGGACCCTGGGATCGCAGCTACGGATACGACATGAACAAATACCTCAGCATCCTCGCACTGCAGATGTGGACACTGGTCGGCAAAGACAGTGCACCCATGAACGCAAAGGTACGTTGATCACTTCAACCCCTCCGAAAAGATACGAACTGACTAGCCTCAAGCCATACGCCATGGGTCACAAGAACGATTTCGCCATCTCCCCACTCATCGCTATCCTCGCACCTTTCCACAACACGCTCATATCTAATAGCACTCTATCCGCGCTCACCGCCTTCCCCGGAACCCACAGCGTCAATACCTCCGCTTTTTCCCCTCCTTTCGACACCTACCCACGCAAAATCACCGCATGGATCAGCGATAACCTTACTATCGGCGCTGAGAGCTTCTCAGAGAACATCATCGGCGGCCCGGCAAAGAACCCAAGCTCTTTCAACCCAGCTGTCGTACAGTGGAGCAGAAAGGATGGCAGTGTCGGCTGGCTGAGTTTGTATGCGCAAGTGTATGCTCTGGATGCTGAAACTGGGGAGAACTACCTCAGTCTCTCATACCCACAAGGCAACTTCAGCAACGGCTTCTCATTCTTGGTTGGAACGAACAGCTGGACTGGGAGGCGCGACGTTGCTTCTTGGGCTGATGTTGAAGGCATCAGTGTCAATGTGACTGGTACGGTTGATCAGAACTACACCGTCACGTTCAATGGTGCGAATGGTGGAGCTGGAGATCCGATCAACGAGTTCGAGTTTTGGAACTTCACTTACCTGATGCCGCGGGGAAGTATGGAGGTGCCAAGGGTGAGGCTGGAGTTCGAACTAGAATAGTAAAAGAGGCACATTGGTAGGAACTATTACACTCATCATCAGATTAGGGTGGTGAAACGCCCGCCATCTTCTTTTTCGGACTGACTGAATATTAGTCTTCCCAGTTCGAACAAGTAGCCACAATCCAGCCCGTGATTGATCATGATCACGTTGTACCCGACCGGTCGGCTGAACTACTTGTACTCCGTAGTCAGCAAACTAGGCTAATGGGCTCTCACGGTCTCAGTCGCTTGTACTACAGCCATCCCTTGGTCATTCAGCTGGGCATCAGGGCCGCAGACATGGGCTATTGCAGAAACAACCTTACAAGCAAGCCAAAAACCTGACCTAAGTCAGGTTTGATCAACTCGACTCTCGCTATAGAAATTTGAACATGGTACCAAAGTCCCAGACCAGCTTGAGATACCTGTATAGCAGTGTGAAATAGAAAGATTGACTCGTGCTGTTTCCCATCTTAGGGACTTTTCCAGGCCGACAGAACGGATAAAGAAGTCGAACAAAGTCAGGATGATTGACCGACTGGCTTGTAGCGCAGCATAGGGATCGAAATTCGCTTTTGAAAAGCAGTATATATGATGCCGAAAGACTGTATACGGGATAGATGGCCCAATATATTCCTACGCTTCAGTACTTCCCTCCCATGTGTAACGAAGCGTGTTCGGCTTCCAAATGTGGCGGAGATCCTTGTCGGTCCAGCTCCTCCGGTCAAGGCTCGTTTCGATCTGCAACGCTCTCGAGCGAGAAAAAAATAACTTGAATGGAAGTGTGCCACCAATATGGAAAATTCAGACCGCGGAGAATACCGCTGTCTTGTTATAGGAACGAAACGACGTCGCTGTATGCATGCAAGCCTCACTCACCATCTGCAAGTCGGGCTCGGTCGGTGAGGTGTGGCTACACAACATGAAGGTGCGGCTGGCTTCTTAACAACGGCTTCAAACGAATACCCAAGAAGGTAATGGAGTACAAGAGCGCGACCTGGGCGTCCAACAGAGGCACTAATCACATGATTTGTTTTCCGCCAGGGTCAATATCCGGTTGAATAGGATTGTGGGGCACTGTAAGCGGGTAGGCGTGATTAGTCGTTGAGCTGATACCTCACGCACATCAACGTTGTCAGTCTGCATAGTGGAGGCTGATGGCGCACAGACGCTCAGGCACTGATGAGGGTTGTATGATTCTCGCACCTTGCCTCGTGAATGAACATGAGAACGGTTCAACAAACGGCAACGCGTTACTCCAAGCTCATCGTTGATATCAATTTCCTTCGAACATCACAGCTTTGTACCTGTGACAACAATTCTTTGCAAGATCGGTCTCCAGCTGAAGTGGCCGTTGAATCTGCCAACTCCTCAAGCGCAACCGACGGAACTAGCACCGTCCTTACCGGGATATCAGTACTCGTAGGCATCCTGGTCTTGCTAGTAGCACACCTGCAATTACGTAAATACCGCGGAAGGCTTGCTGAATGTCAGATGTACCATCACCTTGACGTGTTCGAACTCGAAGCTCAAAAGTCTGATGTACGCATGAACTCCTTCTACACTCCAAGAAGGCTGCAACTGGCCTAGGAGTAGATGATGCACTATCGCCTTGACCGTTCGTTTTCAAGTTGACACAGAGCGCGTACTGAAAGTGAAGATATTAACGGTGGACACGTTGCGAGTCCTTGTTGTGCGAAGACTGAACAATAGTGCCATGCGGGCGCTGGGCCTGGATGCCGATACGTCAAGGGAAAGCTCTGTTGAGACCCGAAGAGATGTGAATGCAGTAAAGCAGACATTGGAGACGCGGGAAGTAGGACAACGATTGTACCTACAACGATTGATGGATGGAAAAGATACTCGAAAAATGAATGATTCACGACCAGCGACCCAAGTATTACATCTAGATATCGGAATGTCTCCAAATTGTATATGGTGTCCGCGAGGCTGCTCATTGACAAGATATTGACAACAAACAAGGTCACAGGGTCGAAAGCTGCAGTGAACAATCAGCAGCCGTTTTAGAAGCCACAGAACCTGGGGGGGACGAGCCTGGGTATGCATGACAATTCTGCATACAAATGGCGTCCGCCGATAGGTGGAGCGCTAACAACCTACACAGCTAGCGTTCGTCTAGTGCGCCCGGCTGCATGTCTGTCCTTCATCTTGCAGCGATGATACGGACGAAATATAAAATCGCCTCCAAAAGTCGCAGCTCTTGTGTATCTCAACCTGTCAATCATCGTCGAAGCATTTCAATCTTGAATTTTTGACTTCATCGCCTACCACCTTTCGTTCAGGGCTACAGCCTTACAAATCGTAATTGGACCTACCATAACAGCATCATACGATGGACCATTTCGACACCGTCACCACCATGCTCGCAGGGCTATCGTCAGTAGTTGGCGTTCTCGCACTACTTGTGGCATATCTGCAATTGCGACATCATCGGCGACGACGTGGGTACGAGGTGTTCGAAATGGAGGCTTGAAGCGCACTTGTATGGATTCAACCTTCCGTCAACTAGGTTCTTGTATCTGGCGTGATGTTAGCAACACCGCGAGCAAAATGTTCGTGCTAGGGGCATGTGACTTTAGACTCGACTGGTGGACTATTGTATGGAAAACGACCGGGTAGGTAAAGGGGAGGAAATTGTGACGGGGCATCTATCGAGGCCTAAGTACATGAAATGCAAGGGGTATCGTTGGAATTGTGAAGTCGGGGGTATTAGGCAAGATGAGGAGAGTGAAGTAGCCGAAGCTAGGAAAAAAAGAGATTTGAACGCCGCCCATGCAAACACTGCTTGCATGTCCAGCAGGTGTCCGTCACTGATCCAGACGATCATCTCTCTGAAGTGTCCTTGAAACGCAGCACTTTCTTTGCTTGTGTGCGCTCCTTGTTGGCTCATTGTAGAGGGGTGATCGTTCCTTCTCATGATGCAGTCGTCGCGTGTACTCAGAACAACGGCGTAGGTCCAAGTCCAATCAATCCTTCGAAAGCGCTAACAGTACTAGTGATGACCTCAACAGCTTTAGCCGGCAAAGGACTGTCAGCACTCAGCAAGTTGATAGGCAGCATACCTAGCAGTACCCGCCCATTGCCGTAGGGTCCATAGCCATTGTGAACATTGCCGTATCCTTCTCCAAGGCCGACACCGTTGGCGTGCTCCCAGTCATGGAGCTGGCTCCAAATATGCCAGCAGTAGAGGACCATGAGGAAGTGGAGCAAGTAGTGGGCGGAAGCGGTAAGAAGTCCTTTTCCTTGCGCCACAGGGACGGCACCAGGGGTTGTGGGTGTGAAAGGGGGTGTTGTCGGCTTGGATGTTGTCAACTTCAGTGTTGTAGACTCGAGTGCTGGGGAGATGGACGTTGTGGTTGTGGATGCTGCGCATTGTAATTTCGCTGACTCTCCTATCGGTTCGTCCTCAAGTGGCCATGTTGCTGAGAGTTCGTCCAGGTTGGTAGTGCCAGAAGGCTCGGGAAGCTTGGCAAAGGCATCAATTGGGCTGCGTCTCCGTAGGCTCGAAGTTGCAATCTCAGGATCGGCGCCTAGGTTTTTGTGCCTGGAACTATTCAAGCTGGGACAAGGCGAGCCATATTGCCACCACAAGCTGTCGATGAAGTCTGCGCTCTTGCCCTCCGGCTTCGTGCCCTTGCGATTAGCTTTCGAATCCATCCGGTCAGATTTATCACAAGCCTGATGTGCATGAGGATCGGTGACGGAACCGCTGCTTGGATCCGGGTCAAGACTGACAAACGCATGTTTGAAAATGTTGGAAGTGAGTGTCTCCGTTTCAGGTGCCGCAAGAAGTGCCATGGTCGCAGGCTGAACCGGAGCATAGTTCAACGTCTCGCCGGCGTGCAAAGAAAGCTTCTGCGGTTCAGGTATAGTGGTTGATGCCGAAATAGCAGGCCCAGCAGGAGCATAGTCGAGAGCTGTCTGGACGTTGGAGATTAAGAGCGGCGCAATGCTGGGTTGAGACGGGGAGACAGATTCTACTGTAAGGTCGGACAGCGACAAGGTAGGAGCAGGTAACTCGGATGGTGAGATGGTAGGCTCAAACGGTGCATAGTCCAGAGCTTCGTTGATATCAGAAAAAGCGAGCGGTGCAGTTGCGGGCTCGATGGGCGAGATGCACAGAACTGTCTCCTCGAACAGAGACAATGTAGTAGCCACAGGCTTAGATGGTGCAAGATCTGCTACCGTGTCATTGTAGACGGACAACGTCGGTGCAGTGGGCTGGGCAGGCTGGATGCTCGAAACGCTGCTGACTGGGGAGCATTCCATAAAGGAGGCTGGGCGTCGCGGTGTAGTGGAGACAGCATCACTGACAGACACTGTCAATTTAGGCGCGGTCATGTCGTGGGGAGCAATGCTGATGATGTCACGCACAGCGGATAGCTCGAGACAGACTGAGTTCGTCGCAGACTCTTCGAAATCAGAAAGACCGCCGATGGACTGGTCATCATCGAGATCGAGCTCCTCGGCTAGTGATTTGTGGCTGGCAATGCTGATGTTGCGGTATGTAATCGGCCGTGGGATGTTCTCTTTGACTGGGTTGTGCGCCTGCCCTTCCTCGAGCCTGTTCTTAAGGATCTCGTTCTCTCGTTCAAGCTTTGCGATCCGTTCGTCCTTGACGGCCACGACGCGCGCGTGCTCCGTGCTTCCCTCGAGGTAGGTATCGACGTCGCCCTGAAGACGCGTGATTTGCTCGCTCGTTCCATCGGCGACGAGCTCCGTCTCAGCCACGAACGATTCTAGCGCATTGCGAGCTTCAGCTTCGCCCTCCTCCCTTTCCTTCAACGCCAGCAGTGTCTTGGTAAGACGCACTTCGAAGTCGTCGCGGTCGCGGGCCAGGGCTTTGCGCTCGGCCTCTTTCGCTGCAAGATCGGCGAGAAGGTGGTCGTTGATTTCGCTGAGGTGAGCGACGGTGTCCTTTTGGTGCGCGAGGGCTTTGTCGAGTTTCGCGTTGTCGTTGCGGGCCGTTTTGAGATCTGTTTTGGCTTCGGAAGCCTCTTCTTTCATCTGCTGGAGTTCTGTTGTAGCGTCATCAAGGCGGTCTCTGACCCGCTGCAGCTCGGCTTGCTGTTCGGCGATCGTTGTGTTTGCATCTTCAGTCGCGGCCTGGAGGCGGTTGTCGAAGTCGTTGTGGAGGCTGTTGAGAAGGTCCTTGTGGTTCTGGAGATCGATGTCGAGGTTCGCGTTGCGGTTGCGGACCGTCTCGAGCTCCTCCTCAGTCTCACCAGCCTCTTCCTTCAGCTGCTGAAGTCCTGCTTTGGCTTCTTCGAGCCGATCTTGAACGTCCTGCAGCTCCTTCTCTAGCTTCTCGTTCACTGTATTGGCTTCTTCGGACGCAGCGTGGAATCGTGCTTCGAACTCGTCCTTGAGCTCCTGCAGGACGCGCTCACTGTCGCCGCGGTTGGTGCTGGTGTCACCGAGGCTCTCTGACGCGTTGTCTGGGAGACCCTTGCATGTCTCAAGCTCGACCTGCAGCTTCCCGATCTCCTGCTTCGACTCGCTCAACAGCTTCTCTGCCTTGTCTTGACTTGACACCGAAGCTTGCGACATGTTGGAAGTGTTGCGGACAGCATCGAGCGCCTCGCGGGCGACTCTTTCAGCGATTTGAGCGCGCTTCGTCTCTCTTTGAGAGTCCTGCACTTGATTCTTGGCAGCCGCTAGCGTCTGCGCTACGCCATTTGCGTCTTCGAGATCCTGCACCTTGGGCTGCAACACCACGACATGCTGCTTCAACCGGGCCAGCTCTGCCCGCAGACTGGCATCGGAGGAGCGTAGCTGAGGGACATTGGGTCCAGTGAAGGCGAATGGGTTCGGTTCGGGCATGCCGGCGAAGGAATGGAGGATATTGACGGGCCGGCCGCGGTGGTGACGGAACAAAGGGTTTGTGTCAATAAAGGGGTTTGTACAGAGAGGTGCGTCGATGAAAAGGCGAGAGTCAAAAGTAAAATTCGAGTATGTGATGATGAGGCCGAGTCGCTGGGTGATTGGTAGTGTCCAGCAGGCGGCGCGCCGCTATTGTTGAGCAAGCAGAGCTCACATCGACGTGAAGGCCAGTGTTCTCAATCGCTGAACACCACCTTCTTCCCCTGGAACGGGTTCTTCCTTTGTGCCCTGCTCCTACCAGCCTCCGGCTTCCCCCGTCTCCCTCAGCCACTTCTCCGGATTTTCAATCGCCCTTGGACACCCAGCTTGCTCAGGCGCATGCCGCTCAGTGCTCACGCTGCCCAAGTGTACCTCACCGTTCTGTCCGGCTGGCAGACAGACAACGTTCAGCTCCGCAGTCATGTTGCACAGGCTCTGGAACACCTCAGAACCATCGACAATCTAAGCTGGCTTCGAACACTGGCATGGCTGTTATGTGTAACTGGCTGTCTCGCTACCGAAGAGCAAGAAGCATGATTTCGCGACGTAGCCAATGCATCAGGCGGGCTCGACATGCACAATCGAAGAGGTTATCAAACTTGACTATGCCTTTACGACATCTCAATAGCCCCACCAACGCCCTTAATGATATCTGCCGCTCTCTCCGCCACAGCATACACAGTCGTCATTATGTGGCTCGCCGGCAGAATCGGGAACACACTCGCGTCCACAACCCTCAATCCCTCAATTCCATACACCTTCAACTCCCCATCCACAACACCACCCTCGTCCCTCTTGCCGATCTTACAGCTTCCAGCAGGATGCCACAGTGTACTCGCGCTGTTCTTGATGTACTGATCGATATCGGCATCACTGGTCACATTCGCACCGGGCACGACTTCAAAGGGGTTGAGCTCAGCAATAGAAGGTTGGGCAACGAGGCGGCGGGCGAAGCGCACAGCTTCACGAAGCAGAACCGTGTCAAGTGGATTGCGCAAGAATCCGGCGTCGGCGATGGGCGCGTCGAATATGCTGCTCGAGGGCGCTTTGACGCTGCCGCGCGAGTACGGGTGCTGTAGGCCGAGGAACAAAACACCGTCTGCCCAGATGACTTCGAGGAAGGCGGAGTCGTTGGCTAAAAGTTTGGAATTGAGGGAGTGGTAGGAGGCTGCGTAGCCAGCGGCGACTTCGGTTGGGGCGTCAGATGGTAGGGAGAGTGAGGCGTTAGATGCGAGGGCTGCGGCGTGGATGGAGGCGCTCGTGTTGGTGTAGATTGAGAGTGGGAGGAAGAGGAGGAAGTCGCCCGATGGAGAGGTTAGAGGACCACGTTTCTCAGTGTCGTATTGTGCGCGGGCTTCGGCGGCGAATGTGGCATTTGAAGTCAGTTCGCTAGCCAGTGTGATGGTGGTATTGACTTGGTGCTTTGTCAGCTTGATTTGCGCTGTTGGGGCTGCATCACGTACCGGAGTTGGCCACCATCACATAGACATGATCGTGCAGACTCTGACCAACTGCTGGCAAATCCACAACCGTGGGAATATCGATGCTCGAGAGAAGCGCAGGATCACCAATGCCGGATACTTGCAACAGCTGGGGCGTATGCAGAGATCCAGCGGCTACGACAACTTCTCGCTTTGCCTTCACAGACTGGATCGTTGCGTTCGATGAAGTAGCAAACTGTACACGAAATGTCAGTTAAACATGTTTCGTTGAGCGAATGGCGTTCTTGCCTCAACACCGGTAGCCTTGAGCGTGCTGTTAGCGCATGTCAAGATCCGAGTCGCCTGATGATCAGCAATGAGGTGAAAGTTCTCTCTCGTTGCAGCAGTGTCGTAGTAAGCTTCATCCGCAGACGAGCGCCTGTAATCGATAGGGTCCATGTTATGAGGTGTGAAGTAACCACCAATTGCATTTCCGTTAGCTTGGTCCTTGGGAATCGGGATGTTGAGGCTGCTGGTTGCTTCGACCAGATTTTCTGTTTGTCGTTAGCTTGGCGAACTCATGTTGGAGGAAAGAAAACGCCATCTTGCACTTACTTGTCGTAGGCCAAATGTACGGAGAGTAAGTCGAGTGCATGTAGCCGTCATAACCATGGGCATCATCATCCCACGTGATGTTGTATTCCTCCCGAATTTCGTCTACGGGCGGGGAGAAGATCTCATTCTGCACTTGTAAGTCATCAAAGCAAGCACGTCCCCTGTAAATAGACTGACCTTTTTGAAGTATGGCAGCAAGCTCTCCCAGTCCCATCGTTCGTTGCCGAGCGTCTCCCAGCCATCGTAGTCTGACTTCGAGCCGCGATCAAACACCATGCGGTTCAGCTTCGTAGAGCCACCAACAATCTTGCCCTGAGAGATCGAAATGTTGCGGCCGCCCAGGTACTCACTTGCAGCATAAGTCGTGTTCCAGTCATACTTCGTGCTGACGGCTCCGCCTGCTAGACCAGGGATGGTGACGAACTCTTCGTTCTGGTCGCTGTAGGTCTGTCAGTATCGCGCATGGATAATGCCGGTGTGATGTACAATTGGCCAGCTTCGATGACAAGAACAGTCGTGCCTGATAGGTGTCAGTGAGTGCTGAGATACGGATGACCATGCTATGACTTACTGGGCTGTTCAGACAGACGATTCGCGACGGTCAAACCAGATGCACCTCCTCCGACAATCACATAGTCGTACTCTTCAAGGAGCTCATCTGCTCGAGACACCAGTCGGCCATTGAAAAGAGGGTGAGCGAGAACGCTGGATGTAGACAGTGCAAGTGTCCACGACACCAGGCTACACTTGGCCATCAATAACATGTAGAAAGAGAGACGAAAGACAAAGGATTGTAGGAAGGCTGCAGTCTTTAGCCGCAATGTTCAGCTGTATATGTATTACCGTCGTGCATATCGCACGTGTTTATATAGTCCAGCATCACGTTCCGCCGTAATGCGCCCGCTGCAGGGTGGCTTGCATATGCCGTGTTGGTGGTTACATCTTGCATCTAAGCGAAAGCGTCCACATCGTACCTTACAAGGCCGTTGTGTCGCCAGTATCTTGCTCATAGTACCTTCGTATTTGGTGTTCTTCAGGAACCGTAATAGCGCCGATCATGCGTTCGTAGTGTTTACAACTGCCGATGATCGTTGCTAATAGATTAATCCTGGGGCTGTGCAGCGGGAGCGCGGATCTAAACCCCCGAGCAATACCGAAGCGTGGAAAACAAGGCTGTGACGTAGGATTCCGAAACAAAAGCAGGAATGGAATTGGGGAGAGTACCCGAGGCTGTCGGTTCTATTGTCACGTGTAGTTGGCGGCTAAATGCAGCATCATGTTGACCGTTCAATGTTCGGTGTTTTCAGTTCTGTTGTTCCGCATCTGCGACCTCGTCCGAGCAGGTCCGACCGTGACTGTCCGGGAGTGAGTCAAAGACTCAATGTGATCGGCCTTTTCGATTGTGTCATACCATCTCAATGGGTGTCGTGATTTGCAGAAAGCTCGTGGACAACGTTGTTTCCTTCGAGTTCAGGGACCGGCGCTTGAGAACCAGCAACCTCTTGACTAGCCTTAGGAGCTGGAAGCTCAGTCTTCTCTTTCGCAGGAACCTCTACCCAAGGCTTTGCGTTTCCATCCAGCTCAGCCTTTTCGATCTGTCCTTGTTCTTGCCGAATTTGCTCTGTGCGGAAGAAGCCCCATCGCTTCTTCCAAGCAACGATGAAGCCAATTGCGATGAGGACGAGGACAGCAACCCCAACGCCTATTCCAGCAGATGCTCCGGTCGACAGAGTACTGGATCTCTGAGCAGTAGAGTCAAGATTGCCATCTGAAGAGCCTGGATTTGAGCTCGTGGTGTTCGATGTGGAGTTGTTCAGAGCAGGAATTGCTATGATGCGGGTCGAGCCACCCTCTGGGTACGCTTGGCTGAGATTGAAAGTGGCACGCTCGTAGTCAACAACGATGTAGGTTTCTTGCAGGAACGCTCGACCAAGCACATACTGTGATGGGTTTGAGGCACGCTTCAAGGGAAAGTAGCGAGACGAGGTTCCATTTCCGAAAGGATTGGAAGCCGTTAGATCGAAAGCGGCGTAAGGCAACGAGTAGCTGACAGTTCTAGTAGCGCCTTCACGAACTGTGAAGTTGACCGTCTCGTTTGATGACTGTAATGAACTGTGTTTGGCATCATCCAGGAGGTAAAGCTCCGCAGTTTTGTTCCAAACCAGCCCAAATGTTGTTTCAAAGACCGCACAAGCCTCTATGGGTAACCATATCTGGGGCAATGTGGAGTCGATATAAAAAGTGGCTCCCGCCTTCCACACTGCTTGAGATCCTGAAAAGGAAATCGAGTCTACTGACACAAACAGCGTGTTGTTCATGGAGCTTGGCATCTGAATCGATATCATTGTGCTGGGATCAAACCGCGAGGCGTCGTATCCACCCAGTATCAGACTACCATATGAGTCCCCTTGAGCTGGTGAGCTGGTGTGCAAATTCCTCTGGAACAGGATAAAGGCTTACGTGACACAGATCCTGCAGTATAACTGAATGAGAGACTTGGAATTGCTTTTGCCTCTTGACGCAAGCTCGTGAGTAGGGAGGGTACTGTAAAACCCGAAACCCCCACCTCACCAGCGGACAGCCCAAATATACCTGTCGTAAAGCTAGGTAGGGAAGTTAAGATAACGAAAATGTCGGAGGGAACATCTCGGGCTGAGTTACCGAGGTATACAGCATCTTTTCCCCACAAGGCTCCGAGCGTGGCATTCCCAATGGCCATGGTCTTGGAGATAAAGTCGGGAAGGGGTAGACTATATATGCCAGTATCTTGCCAAGTGCTGGAACTATTGCGGTCGAACGTCGTTCGTCCAGGGCATGAGTTTAACTTGCACAGTTCTGTCTCAACTGGCAGGATAAACGCAGGTGAATTCAGTCCAGGGATGCCTTGAAATGCTTGAAAAGGCTTGCCAACACCCAGATTGAAGGTTGACCAAGGCCCGTCTAGACCGTTCCTGATCTCAAGTCAGCATGCAAATGGAAATACCAACCCAGACATAACATACCACTCACCGCTCGGCGCGACAACGATTGGTACATCCGCAACTGTTTGTGCATGGACCCACGCGACAAAGATCGTAGTCAGCGCAATCTTACGGTTCCGACAAGCCATTTCAAAGGAAGACAAGTCGTGACTGAGTTGACACGAGGTCGACCGCGGGATTCGCACTTCATATCATTTTCGCAAGGCCGTTCGCTCCTTCTATAATGGCAATTACCCAGGGTCATACAGCATGTAAGCTGCAGGTACCCAATGACAAGCTTTCCCAAATATATCATACATGCGGCCCCCAACTTGAAGGGTTTCATCTCGAACGGGACACCTAACCTTGTCGGCTCAAAGGAAAACAATAAGGTCCGCGGAAAGTTGTGAACCTGTGTCATACCCGAGACCATTCCTGTGGCCACTCTGAGCGACTGTAGAACATCAATGCCGTAGCTCGTAAGCTCAGTAAGGCCAGCGCTGTGCCGCACTCGTAGATAAGCCATCTGGTTGTTCAATGAGATTTCTGCGATTACCTGTATGCGTAATGCGCAGGAGCTTAGATGCACCGTTGGAGTGTGTGAAGTGTGTAAGAGTGACGGAGCTAGAGCACCTAGCCCACATTCGGCCAATCACAACCATTCACACCGCATATGTCGTCATCGTGTCTCGTTATTAGGCCCATGCTAGTCATGTACTCCTTCCACCTCCGTGATAGGCTACGATCCTATAGCTTTCTCGACTCTATTCGTTCACTGGCTGCGCCACCCTTTTCTTCTCTATGGCTTCCACTCTCGGTTTGACGTCAGCATGCATCTCAGCCTTGTCGAAAAGATCTTGTTCCTGACGCTTCTTGGGGAAGAACCACCATCCTCTCTTTCAAGCAAGAAGTAGCACGACGACTGATAGGAGCGCTAGTGCGGCCCCAACTGCAATGCCCGCATATGCACATGGGGAGTGGGGCTGACTTGGATCGCTTTCATCTCGGCCGGGGGTATACGTCGTATTGTAGATGGTGACGATGTTTTCCGGATTTCCTGTTCTGGCCTGTGAAGCGAGACTTGAGTGTCACTGCGCAACGTAAATGCAGCCAATGCATCGAGATTATGGAAGAAACAAATCTGGAAAAACCTGGTCGTGCATTGTCGTGAGACGATAGCGCACCAATCAGACCCGACGATCGGCAATCACCAACAGCATAAGCTGCAGGAAGGTGCAGGGACGAGCCGTTTATACACGCCTTGGCAGGCGATTCCGCTAATGATTGTCATGGCTTAGGTGTGCAGATAGATGGGAGCTTCCGTACCCGTTACGCAATTTCCCGTTGCCCACCTCCTGGCGCTAACATTCTGCTATAGGGAGGGAAAGAAGATGTTCCTACTTCTTAGCATTGTTTAATAGAGCCCCTAGACGGCAGATGTCCTACCTTACCTGCTGCAACCTGCTCAGGAAGATGTGACACACTTACATGCAGCATCGCGAACGAAGATGGTCGAAGAAGCGAATTGATGAGTTGTAGGCATCGGCGCAGAGATAGTTGGGATGAGGTGACTCTGTACTTGAGAAGTTAATGGGGCTATACACCAGCTACAGGCACGGTCCACTCCTTCAGCAAAACCTCCACGATGTCCTTGTTCCTGTTTGCTTCGTGATCCCCATACCGGAGTAACAAATCCAAACCGCCGGCTTCAAACATGTCGTCAGATCGCCATGCATTGTCTTCCAACCCAGGACCGTCTGTCTTTTTCGCCTCCTCAGGTGCTGGTCTTGCTTTGACTTCGTGCTGCTCGAGTCGACACGCGGACGCATTTTCATCCCTAGAGTAAGGGCGCACTTTTGCTTTCTTCCTGGGACAATCTCCGTCCGTGGAGTCAGTTTCAGGTGAACTAGAAGAGCTAGTGTCGTATTTGCGCTTTGAAGTCAGACCGTTTCGCTGCAACAATTCATCTTTCGCCAACAACTCTTCCTTCAACTGCTTGATGTACTCAACTGCGCTCTCTACTTTTGTGGCTTTGGAAGATTTGAACTCTGCAATCGTCCCAGAGCTGGAAGGAAGCAGGTCTTGTAAGTCTTGCAAAGCTGTATTAATACGATTACGCCGACCTTGTTCGGCCAACTTGAAGGACGTGCGCTTTGAAGTCAGGCTTGTAGAAAGGGGTACAGGATATGAAATCCCTGAAGTTGTACTACCATCATCGTCCCGATACTGGGATCTAGAGGCTTGGAGAAGAGCTTGAGTGTTGTTTGATATACCTAATGGTCATTAGCGTCTGGTCAGTGACGTTACAATATCAAAACGTACCATTCTCGCCAGGGAAGGACAAATGCTTGATACTCGGCGAAATTTTTGGCTTCAATGCATAATTGATCCGCCTCGAATCTTGCTTGGAGGCTGCCTCATTACCATTGCTCTCTGCTGGCGAATCCTGCGACTTCTGTGGTTGACTACTGTTCTGAGACTCGGTAGTCGCAGGGTGGACAATGTCGTCGAATTGTGTAACTGGTAGCAGCCGCTGACTTGGTGAAGCTTCTAATTCTGGAGGTGGCTGAAGGGTCTGTAGCGGAGGTAGCCTTTGGCCATGCCAACCTGTTGGAGGTGAGAGCCCAAAACCACGAAGGTGCGGTGCTATAGTTGAAGATCCCGAGAGATGATTGCCGTTTGTTGAAGGGTGAGAGGATGTGTTGTTCAGTGCTGAGCCGTAGACAAAAGCATTGATACTTGTGTTGAACCTGACGCTATCCAGGCATGAGCCGGTGGAAGTTGCATGCAAGGTATGCGATGCCCGTCTTTCCTCAGCAAGTGCAATGGGATCCCGGGTTGCGTCTGCTAACGAGTCTGATCGCACGTTGATCGAAGGGGCGACCATATCTCTGGCATGCGCTGGTACGGGCGAATCTGAAGGACCGAAGAGATCCACCATCTCTTCATCAGAAGACTTGGTGGTCTCTGGATCAGGGTTGAGGGCTTCTTGAGCAATGGCGATAGCAAGATCGGGTCGGTCCGGATCCATCTCCCGAATAAGCTCCCAATCGCCTTGCGTGGATCGCGCCTCTTTGGGACGGTGCTTCTTGCGGTCTCTTTCGGTCGGCGATGTGGGAATTGGAGTAGCGTATCGAAAGCTTGAGTGGATCTCACTAGAGAAGCTTCCTTCAATGTCTCTTGAATGTAGCTCTGTTGGAGGACTATCGACAAGCAGTCCACCATCACAAAACAGCGTAAGTGAATCGTTCCAATCTTCATCCTGAAGGACATTGTCTACTAACATCAGATCTGATGTCCCTTGTCGAAAGGCATTCGAAGCAGGTGCGATACGGTGATTTAGAGTCTGTGTAGGCTTCCTCTGAGATTTGCTGTTACTTTCCAATTGATAAGGTCCAGATTTAGTTGCAAGACGCATTGAATAAGGAAGTTCTGGGCTGAGAATGTCTGACATGAATTCGCGGCGATAGCGTTGATACGTCTTGTGCAGGCGACGCTTACGGTGAGAGCCCACATCCCTGCCGGTCTTCAGACCATTCTGCAGATCGGTGATATGTTGTAGCAAGCTATGCACATGATTTGCGCACTTTGCAAGCTCATCGAGGGTGAGGTGCTCGTCGTTCTCGTCATCGAGTGCGCGAGTCTTGGGACTAGTGGTAGAACCATCAGGTGCGCCCGGCGTGTGCACGTTAGCACTGCATACGCCAGATTCTAAGTGTGGCGTTGATTGAATCGACTGAAAGGTGGAAGTTGCAGGTAAAGCAGCCATGGATAGAGTGGGCAGGCTCGGCGTCGGACTGGGCGTTAGGAGGGTTGTTGGCTCCAGGCCACTCGCGCTGCCCTGAATGTTTGCCTTTGCAACGAAGCTCTCTAGCTGCGCCCAGAGCCGGCGGATCGTTTCACTCTTCTCTTGAAGCTCGCTCTCCAATTGCCTGTTGGTTTAGTCAACAACTACTGTAGAGATGAAATTGTCACACATACCCTCGGACCTGTCCTTGCGCCAATTGTAACACGTTCAGTAGCAACAAGAGACTGAGCTTCAGGCCTTGAAGTCTTCTGCTCAAGTCTCTGACATCTTTCTCCTTCAGCGGCCAGCTGCATTTGCCCCAGAACGTGACTCGTTTAGTCCCATCCTGCTGAGTCTTTCTTCCCTTTTCGAGGATCGCCGAGATTTCGGAGAAAATGGTATTGCAGCTTCTTATGATATGGAATGCCCGAGATATTGCATCTTGGGAGAAAGTCGAGGTCGTTCCTGTCGATTTCAGAACATCTTTGACACTGTCCAACGCAGTACAAGTCGAACCAATATCCTCAGCAAGGTCAGCAATCTCACTCTCTGCTCGTGTCGCTGACCTCAGGAAGACATAAAGTGCTTTTGACAATTCAGCGCCTGCACCGCCGAGCTGAACAATGCTGGCAGTGAGGCCAACGACCTCTAGACCTGACATCGGTATGTTCAGGGCAGTGCCATGTGCGAGGTAATGGGAGCATCGAAGTTTTGTACGTAAAGGTCGCGATTGTGAGCATGATCTAGATGTAAAGTTGAGGTATCGTATTGGGGCTGAGTCTCTGCCTTGCCCCTCGCCAAGGACGCCGCAGCCTCGAAGGCTCTTCCCAGGCTGACAGGCTGCATTTTCCCATCCAATCTTCGTGATACAATGGGTCAGATGCAATAGAGCATGCAAATCGCTTTCGTCAAAAGGTTGCGGCTGCGGATTTGTGCTGCTGTTCCTAAGGCCACACAATTCGAGACTTGCGCGTTTGGCTGGCAGCGTGCCACCACTCTCTGGGCACAGCCCTTGTACGTTAACATGGTACGGAAGTGAGCGGCGGGTCTCGCCGTATTGGACAAGATAGAACCGACGGGCGATGAAGTGGTGCGCATGCAAGGCTGTTGTCTTCAGCATGAGAGGGTGTCATTCGCTCCTCATCCGTTCTCATGTGGGCGCGCGCTCACTCAATGAAGCAGATCTGTCGGAGTTGCATGTTCAGAGCGCGTAGGTGCATTAGAGGTCAGTGAGTCCTATATTGATACGGGACGATGTGAGGATGTTGAAGCAGACACTAGACGATCTAAGAGCGGCCCTACTAGCGCGAAACTAGCTCCATCGAAGCCAAGCACTTCCAGTTCATTATGAAATCAAGGATAACGTGAATGCCTTTGGAATACACGCAGCATGTCTTGTCTTCAATGGCATGATGCTCTCGATGGTATCCATGTCCCACCGATGCGGACATGCAAGCATCAGATGCTCAAAGCCGTCAATCAAGCGCTCGCCATCACAGCCGCGTCCTACCACCGTCTCATCGTCCCCGCCTTCCTCTTCCTCTCACAGTCCCTCGCCCACTTGTGGAACAAACTCCCGTCATAAATCGCCCTGATATCCTCCTTCTTCATCTTCCCATCCTCCGGCCACAACATGAGATACGTCGCCATCCACTCAAAGATCGCCCCACCCCATCCAATCGGATCGCTGATATTCCTCTGCCCCTTGATTTGAGCCATCAACGTCCAGATATCCAGATAGTCCTTACCGTCCGCGTATTTGCTGAAGATGTCTTCGAATTGTTGTGGCCGGAAGCGGCCCTGACTATCATACGTATCGCTATCACTCCCATGCTTGGTACGATCGATATTAACCAAATTGATGCGAAACAGCGGGTCGGGGAGCCATGAGGAGGATGTGGGATAGGAGAAGTTGATATGGATGATGAACAGCGCGAACGCGGAGAGAATCACACCGAAGCCGAGGTTGTAGAAGCCGACGAAGGTGTCACTTGGCCAAAGAATGCCGTCGCGGTCGCGGTCGAAGAACTCGCAGTGTTGCTGTAGCACGGTTTGGTGTCGATGCTTCTTGGCCCAGTCGCCTTCCGTGGTGCCGTTGGGCTTGTCGAAGGTTGCGGCGATGTTGGCGCGTGCGAGGCCTGGGTGGGTTAGTCGGCGTGTGGTGGAGATGGGGATAGAAAGTACCTGGGTCTTTGAGGGGAGAGTTCTTGGGATTCACCCATGGCCTTTGTCTGCTGGTGATGGGGACGTGGTTGACTGTGCGGACATCATTTGCCGTGAAGTCGTAGTCGCCGTTTGTGAGGTCGCCGTTGGTCAGGGAATCATGGCGGTCGGCAGTGAGGCCTTCGGCGTACCAGACTTTGTCAATCATGTTTCGGAGGTGATGCACAGAGCGAGGTCGAGAAGAGGCAGAGGAAGCGCGGCGAGCGAACCCTACAGAAGGAAGTATCTTTCTCGCAGTTCGCAAAGCTGAAGTAAGAGCGGAGCAAGCAGCCATCCCACAATATTTACTGTGCCCTACCACGCCAGCTGGTATGACATGTTCATCACAACAACTGCGCTGCATTGAGCATTCGAACCTTCATAATGACGTCACGACTCACAAACTCGCATCGAAACAAGCGAATAAACGACACCAAGAAGTAATCAAAAGCAATCGCGGGCACTGTCGGCTTCCGTGATACCCGCACACACACTGTATCCAGCGCCCTTTTTTGGGTGTAGCGCTAGGGTAAACGCATTGTGGGAAGGGTGATCGTCAGGGCAGCATCACGGCTGGTGGCTAGCCGATCGGCGCTAGCGGCTGGGTTTACCGACGACCAGTGGTTACACATGCAGAGCGATCCTACACAGCAACAGCACAATGGAAGACGTGTCCAAGGGCCCGCAGAGAACGAGGGCAGCACCAGTATGTAGAAGTATCTGTAGGGAGGACCGATAGCAGATACAAGGGTCTCACAACGTGCCAGTCAGAATAGGGTGACAGGTGGCTTCAACCAGCCTATCTGCGGAACCATACTGTTTGCTCGCACGTTACGGTTGGCACAAAGACAAAGAATGAGGACAGACATGGCTACTGTGACTGCTACAACACGCTTGCTTCTTGGGTATCCAATTCATCAATATTGTACACTACAACTCAACACCAACTCGATTCAACAGCTCTTTGTATGCATGCCGTAGCCTCGCAAATGACTCGATGCAGACTTGAACAATGCCTAAAAGTGTGCCTAAAGCCAATCCAACACCCTTCTGACAGTACCCTTCTTCTTTCTTAGCCTGCCATGCGTCTCATCCGAGGCATGGCGGTGCTGGTGCCGATGATGCTGGGAGAGATATTGCGGCTCCGGCGGCGCGTCGTCTGCACCATCAAACTGACCGCCGCGATGTTGGAGATCATCGTACAATTCACCTTTCGGTGCTGTGCGGTGATGTCGACGTCCGCCGCTTCTGTTGCTCCTCTGGGCTAGCTCGTTTGTAGGTCTGACTCGTTCGTCCTCTTCGTGCTTGTCGTTCTTGCTGTCTTTCTCCCTGCTTTCATTCAATGAGCAAACTGTTCAGCGACTTCAATGATGCTTAACGATGCTCAGAATCCACCTCATCTAGTCACCTAGCAGGCTCCAACATCTTCGGACGGTCTCGCTCCCTGTCCCTCTCACTGCGCAGATCATCGTAGTCGCTCTCATCATCACGACGTCTGCGGCGTCCGTCGCGGTCGTAGTCGCGGTCATAGTCGCGGTCACGTTCGTCACCATCGTCCCTGCGGCTGCGGTGGCGGCTCCGATCACGGTCTCGACGCTCACGCTCGTACTCTTCTTCTGCTTACATGTTAGTCCTGGCTGCCGTTGACGCGTGGCATTGTTAACATTGAGGGCGTACCTCGCTCTTCACGGATCTGTTTGGTCTTATCCGCAAGCTTCTGGATCTCCTCCTTCGTCAAGACCCTCAGCACGATGACACAATCCATACGCTCCTCAAATCGCTCCTTGGCGCGCTCAAGAGCCTCAGGGTTGACAAGCTTGCGGTCAATGCGAGTCCAGCGGGCGCCGACGGGGATGTCCTTGCCCTTGAGAGAGTCCTTGTGCGGGGCTACGCCCTCACGAATGGGCTCGGGGTCTTCGGGGAACTTCTCTGTGGGCTTACGGAGGATGCCCTTCAGAGGTGGGGACTGGTCTTTGCGGGGTACAACGATTTGTACGCTCTTGCCGGGGGCGTCAGGGTTGAGCTTGTCGATGGATTCTGGCTCTTCAACCAGATTGCGGTCGTTGTAGCGGGAGAGTGCTTGGGAAGGCGGGGAACGCTCACGGCGCTCGTCTCGACCTCGTGATCTGGAGCGCGAACGCTCACGGTCTGCTCGGTCGCGACGCCGTCGTCGGTCGCGTCCACCATCCGAATCACTGTCTTGACGGTCTGCCGCAGCCCGGCGGCTTTGCTCTGCCTCCTTCTCTACTTGCGCAATACGACGACGGTACTCCTCATCAGGGTCAATAGCTGCAGGCACAGGCTCCTTACGGCTGCGGTCCGAATCGCGCTCAGCGTAGTGACGAGGTCTCTCGGCATCACTTCCCTCTGGTGAGGTCTTGCGAGGAGGCTTGGGTGGCGGGTTCTCCTCGTTGGGGTATGGACGATCACGTGAGATCGGTCGCTCAGCTTCCTGAGCCATCGCATACGCGGGTGCAGGAGCGGCAACAGGAGGAGCAAACGGAGGCTGAGATGGTGGTGGCGGAGGAGGAGGAGGAGGAGGAGGAGGTAGAGCTTCTCGGCGCTCAGGCTCACGGCGTTCTTCGGGCAATCTGCTGCTGCGCCTGTCGTCTCGTCGCTCGCGGTCATCGTATCGGTCATCGCGCCTGTCTCGCTCATCGTACTCTCTCCGCTTTTGCCTCTCACGCTCTTCGGATGATCCTCGCTCTTCCCGCTCCCTCTCTTTGGCCTTGCCATGTGCAGCAGCAATACCAGCAGTAGCCGCCATACCAGCGATGGCGCCAGCTGCCACAGGAACCGCGCGGCTGTCACGGCTGTTCTCACGTTTGTGCTCGGTGCGAGGGCGTTCAGAACGAGGTGGGTCATACGAATCGTAGGTGGACACTGGCCTTTCGGGGCGGCGCGGCTCAGGCATTCGAGCCTCCGCGCCTCGGTCGGAGTGATAAGCGGAAGGTGCATGCTCGACTGGGGGGGCTCTTTGTGTCTCGTAAGGCGGGTGGATGGGCTGTCGGTCGAGCGCATACGGATCCTGAGCGAGGGTGGGGTTGCCTGTCGCAATTCCGAAGCCACGAGAAGCTACCTCCCGGTCTTCAAAGCCACGGTCAAGCGTGCTGTGGCGCTTGTTTTCAGCCTCCCTGCCACGTCCATAATCGTCATAGGTCTCGGCTCGACGAGGCTCACGGTGCGCCTCCTGGTGAACGGCTGGCGCGTGTCGTGTCGAAGACGAACGGTGTGGTGCAGAGTCGGAGGCGTACGGGTCCTGGTACCGGGAGGGAGCTTCACGTCGCTCAATCGAGTTCGACCGGCCGGGCCTTGGAATGCTGTTGTTGATCTTATCAAAGCCACGAGTGGAGGGAGGCGGGCCTAGGTCACGAGTGGAGCTTCGAGGCGGACGGTCGATAACCATGCTGCTGGGACGGGAGCCGCGTTCCACACTGCCGGCACGTGGGCGCGGCCAGGCTGGCTCGGTGTCGCGGTACATGCTGGCGGGGTCGGTGTACGAGTAGCCATTGTCACCCAGATCGGCGTGGCGGGAAGGCTTGCTGCTGCTTGGGTGGTAGCTGCTGCGGCCGCTTGTGACACCGCCATAGCCGCTGTCCCGGTGCCGCGGTGACTCGACCGTGTCTGTCTCAGCGACCAGCTTGGCTGTGTGGCTGCTGTCAACGCTGTAGATCTTCTTGTGGCTCGAGGTGCCGTCCTGCCGCGAAGAGCCGTGAGTAATGTATGTGTCTCCGTGGCCGTGGGGTGTGCGGGACTGTGTGAGTGGGCTCGAGGGGCGGTGGTCTTGGGTATAAGGCGTGCGGAGGGGCAGCGAGGTCAGCGATGCGATATTCGGTCTGCTCGTGCGGTCCTCGGTGTTTCGTCGAGGGCGTGTCTGGCCGTAGCCCGAGTCGTATTTGAGGGCGCTCGCGCGGGAGCTGGAGGAGCTGCTGGGCGCATAGCCGCCGTAGGACGGGCTCGAGTGGTGGTGGGAGGAGCCCGAGATGCGGTCGGCGCTCGAGCGGGGCGAGCTGGGGCGGTAGCTGGAGTAGTCGTAGGCGGAGGAGTAGGGATCAGCGAAGGTGCCCGTCGACGCGCGGGCCGGGTTGTAGGAGCGCCGCGGCGACGAGGAGCGGTAGTGCCGCGAGTCCATGCCGCCGGAGAGAGTGACGCTTTTGAGCTGGAGGGGCGCCGTCTGGGCGGCGGGCGCGGTGCTCAGCGAGCTGCGGCGGGGAGGCAAGGTCGGCGTGCCTGTGCCGGTATAAGTGTTGCGTCGCGTGCCCGACGACGGCTTGGTCGAGTGCGACTGGAGCGACGAGGGGAGGAGGACGCTGCCCAACATGACTGTCAGCCGGTGAAGCAATGCAACTAGAGAACGAAACTATGTATGCAGTGCAGCAGCGCAGCAGTGCAGCAGCGCAGCAGTGCAGCAGTGCAGCAGTGCAGGCAGGAGCGACCAAGAGGCCACAGACGAGACGAAATCAGGAACAAAGCCAGACACCTCGCAGTGCCGGACGGCGACGTACATGCTGCCGCTATATGGGCGGCGGCCGGGGGGAGCACAGCAGGGCTCACGGTAGACTCGCTAGGCGGCTTGTGGTGACTGGCGGCCCAACTGCCTTGCTCGAGGGCAGCGGAGGGGCACTCTTGGACGGCGGGCAGGGGCTCCGTGTCGAGACGACCGGAGCGGGCGTGATGTTTGCAGCCGCAAGCAGGGACAGCCTGGGGGGAGCGCTGGGCCACGGCGCGCGGATGGGCTCAGGAGCTGCCAGAGGGGCCAAGGAGCTGCCAGATGGGCCAAATGAGGCGGCGGGGCACGGTGATGTCGCGAGCGCGGGTGGTACCAGGTGGGACCGGGAGATGCTGCGCCCAGACAGCCGCAGAACAGGTTCTCGGTGAGTTCAGAATGGTGTAGTGTGCTAGGAAAGGAATACAGAACGCTGGCTGACAAGAAATCGTGAAGCCGCGCCGGCAGGTGTGCGCCCCTACGCGGCTTGCATAGCCTGCATTTCAACGGCGTGGAGCATGACAGTTGATCAGCCATATGACATAGTTGGCTCGTGCGCGCAACTGAGCCCTGAGCGCCGCCCCTGCACGCCTACGCCATTGACAGCTTTGGCTCCGTGCGCCCAGAAATTCTACGCTGCAGTCTGGAGGTTATTCAGCCTGCCAGCCGCTGCTGCATGCGGACACCGGCCATGACTGTCAATGTCAAAGTCCTCAGCCGCCCTCTGTCACGTTGACTCGACTCAACAACCCTTCCCTGGAGGTGCACAACGTCGCCCCGCCAGCCGTCCATCGTACCAAACTCTCATCCCTCTCGCGCGGCCCAAGGGGCTAGTTGGGCACACCAACACAGGATAGCCTTGCAACGCCCAACCATGGCCACTGGTTTCGGGCCGCACAGCGTATCCCCACCGGACGGGAGTCTCGCAAAAACGTGTTTGTTCATCGCTGTGTAAAACGTGGCTTCTTGTCTCAGGTGCAACCGCTGTGGATTTTCGCCAATGTGCAGAATCGCGAGTAATTGTACGGGTCGTGAGTGGACACAGCTGTGGGTGTATGATGATCAGAGAGCATTACGGGAGAAGGAGTGGGGACTTCTGGAAAAATGTCTGTGGGTCTTTGAAGTGGTCTGAGGATGTTGATCTGAGCAGGGTCATCCTCGTGTCGGTCCTCGCACTTCATGAGGGATACCGCTGGCAGTGAGGCTTTATCGAGCTACTCGTTTTCTATATCAAGACTGCTCCGCCGTCGATAGTCGCACACAATCTTCACTTTCTTTTCGGCCTTTCCTGCATATCGTGAGGCGAATGGTAAAGGGCAGCATCATCAAAAGCATGTTTCTTGTGGTCACACGTGCAAGGTGAAGATCTGAAAGATGCGATTCAGCTATCTCTGTGCGGTAGGTACTTTCCTTTCCGTCTTTTCTCGTCCGATTCTTCTTAAGCAGTCTCGACATACTCGACGCTCCTGTTCTGCTTCGGCGCGCCTCCGTCAATATCCTCAACTTCCTCAGCGTAGTGCGTGTTCTTGATCTTCTTCGCGCGCGACATTGCGGGGACAGCGTCCTTGACGCAGCCAGCAACAATGTTGCCCTCGAACAGGAGGTGGATAGATTCGAGCGGCACACCCTTGGTCTCGGGCACGCAGAAAATGGTGTAGATACCCATGATGATGCAGCAGGCTCCGAACAGCAGGAAAGTACCGTAAGTGATATCCGCGAGCATGATGGGTGTGATCTTTGCAATCACGAAGTTGAATAGCCATTGGGTCATAAGGGCGGCAGCCATGATGAGCGAACGAACGTGGTTTGGCGCGCACTCGGAGGAAAGGACGAAGGGGATGGGGCCCCAGCCAAACGAGTAAAAGACGACGAAGAGATACACGCAAATGATGGCGAAGATGGCGTTGCCATCCAGCTCACCGGTGGGTGGGTGCACAGCCTGGTTGATGCCGATGTAGAACATAGCGAAAGCTTGGCCTGCAGAGCCGATCAAGAGTGACCACTGGAGCTTGTCAATGCCATTTCATGCAGAAAGTTAGAATCAACGAGACATACTTTGCGGCCGAGCTGTTCGGTAAAGGCCATCAGACCAATAGCAGTAACGACGATCTTGACAATACCGTAGACACCAGTCGCGAAAAGTCCGGCGGAGCCACCTGTGAGACCAATCTGCTTGAAAATCTGCGGTGCGTAGTAATTGATGGAGTTTGTACCTAGTGAGAAGGTTAGCACTAAGCTTGATTGGATTGCAAACGGCTAAACGTACCAGTCCACTGCTGCCAGAACATGAGAATGACAGCAAAGGAAGAGCGGTAGAAGATCTTTTTGTTCGAGCAGGCCGACTTGAGCTGGGCGACCATTGGCATCTTCTCGTGACCGTTAAAGTCAGCAATGATGTCGTCAAGCTCCTGGACAACATCCGGGTCGTTGGTGGGCTTGCCGCGCACGTGGGCAAGTGCCGTGGCTGCTTCAGTAATGCGGTTCTTCTCGACAAGCCAGCGGGGACTTTCGTTCATGAAGACGATACCAACAAGGAGGATGACGCCGGGGAGCATCTGTAGAGCAAAAGGAACGCGCCACTTAGCGGAGTTGAAGCGGCTGGTGATGTCGAGGTTGATGCCGTAGTTGACAAAGAACGACAGACAGATGCCGGTGACGTTGGCGAGTTGCATGCATCCAACGCATCGTCCTCGAATTTCCTTGGGTGCATTCTCAGAGATGTATGTTGGTACAACAGCTGAGATGAGACCAACGCCGAAACCGCCAATGACACGTCCAACGTATAGCTGAGCCAGGCTGGTTGTGCCCAGTGCACAGAGTGTCTGCACCATCGAGCCGATGATGAAGATGATGTCCGCGATGATGAGAGCCCGCTTGCGGCCAAAGGTGTCGCTGACGTAGAATGATGCGAGAGCGCCGAAGAAGCAGCCGGCTTGCAGAACGGAGACGATGTTGCCTTGGAGATTGGCAAAGTTGGGGCTGTAAGGGTCAAGTTTGAATGACTCTTGGAAGGCATCCATTGTCAGAACACCACCAATCAGACCCGTGTCCCAACCGAAAAGCTACACAACAATCAATATTGGATAAAGGATCTAGAGTGGATATACTCACCATTCCACCAAAGGAAGCAACTACTGTGAGGAGGTAGGCTCGACGATACGTCTTGATGTCGCGCCATACCGCGGGGAGGTCGAGCTTTGCCATGATTGGGACTCGTTGAGGCGAATTCGTTACGAGCAGAAACTTTTTTGAGCTGCGCAGTCGGTGTCGAGTGTCGCTAGCAAAGACCAGGGTCGTCGCGAGGGAGGATTGCGATGAACCTCAAACATCCAAGGAGGACGTTTAGATTTATATCGCAGTCCCGGAAGAGCACGAGAATGCCGATCCACTACTCCATGGGGGTCGGCATAGCATAGCGCGATAGCGCGATGACGTGGGGAATACTGTGGGGTCTCCAGCAGTGGAGCCGCATCTGTGGTGGGCAGTTCTTCCTCCAGTCAAATAGTCAAACGCCGACATCGTAAGATAACTTCCGACGTTTCATCAGGAATTGTTGATAATGTTGCATAGCTGTGCATGGAAGCGAGCATGCGGCGACTGCGCTCGGGGCAAAGCCGACACCAACCTTGCTGGGATTTTGTCAACGGGTTGCTTGATTGTGCCTGGCGTTGCTTGGGCAGGTTGAGGCACCCAGTTGGCGAGTTGACCTTGTCTTGGCCTTTTGGCTCTTTGCGAACATCAGGCTTTGCTCCTTCATCTTCTTCCGCGGTCATGAACTTCAGAGCCTCGGGCGTCAATGTTCATCCCGATAAATTCTTCTGCAATTGCAGCCATTAACGGAAACGCCGTTATGGGTGGACGTTGTCGAACTCTTTTTCAGCCAGTCGAGACGTTGAGTTCAAACGCCGACGTTGCCGCAAACAGGTGCCGGTCGCGCGCGAAAGACGAGAGTCCTCCTCACCTCCACATCGTGTCAAACACCGACCCCAGGTTTTCCCTCCACATCGACCGTGTAAACAACGCGGGGACCGTTCGTAGAGAGTCGGTAAATGCTTCATTGATCTATGTATGGTCATGACATGGATTCGATGCACTCGCTCACCCTTGCTGAAAAAGCGGGATCTGGAGCAGCAATGACGGATCACAAATTTGCCTTGTCCTTCTGCTCCGGCACTTGCGTGATCAGCTTCTCGTGCTTGATCGCTGATGTCAAGTTGTCCAACACCAGCAGCTCCATGTCGCGCTATGAGAGTCAGTCTATTGTTGCGCTTCTGTCTGAAAATTGCACTGACCTGAGTTTCAAATGTTGCTGTTCCAACGTGCGGCAGCAGCACCGCGTTCTCGCACTCCAGCAGCCCTGGATGGATCGTTGGCTCCTCTTCGAAGACGTCCAACCCGACTGTCCAGACCTTGCCGCTCTTCAGCGCATCGACCAACGCTGCCTCATCAATCAGAGCTCCTCTCGCGGTGTTCACTATTATGACGCCGTCCTTCATTTGGTCGAACTCGGGCTTGCCGATGATGTGCTTTGTCTGTGGGTTGAGCGCCAGGTTCAGACTCAGCACGTCTGATGTCTTGAGCAGCTCCTCGAAGGTGACGTATGTCGCGCCGTTCTCCTCATTAGGAGGCAGTCGTTTGCGGTTGTGGTACTGGATCTTCATGCCAAACGCTTTCGCGCGAGTTGCGACCGCCGAACCGATACCGCCCATGCCCAGGATACCGAGCGTCTTGTTCTTGGGGTCGTGACCGAGAGCGAATTTGCCGCGCCATTTGCCTACTTATGTCAGTGAAGCTCGGGGCGTATAGTGAGCATACTGACCTTGTCGTACCGCCGAGTAGGACGGGTGGATATTGCGGAGAGCGCCCAGCATCAGGAAGATTGCTACGTCAGCAGTTGCGTCGTTGACTGCGATTGGTGTGCTTGAGACCTGGATGCCCCTCTTGATGCAGGCTGCTATGTCGATGTTGTTGTACCCTGCACCGTTATGGCAGACAAACTTCAAGCTCTTTGGCAGCACTTCCAGAAGCTCATCGTTGAAATCTCCGGTCAATGGGTTGGAGTCGTTGCTACGGTACAGAGCAAACACGCCGTCGAACTCGCCATCCTTGCACCTCCTGATGAAGTCTGCGCGGTCGCCCTCAGGGTACTCGTGGAGCTTCGAAGCAACCTGTGAGATTTCCTCCCACTCTTTTCGTGTGTGAGCAAGGCGACCGATGAGGAGAGCTGCTCGTTCGGGCATTGTGTCGAGGGCGTATTGAGGAGTAAGTGAAGTGATATGTACAAGAAGCGAAGTCTGGAGGAGCAGCAAGAAGTGGGAGGAGCGCAAAACGGATCCTCACTGGAGCGGCACTTGTTCCCTCTTGTACGCGCCTGTTACCCGGCATATCTCGGACCGAGATGCCTTTCATGTCGACTTTCTGCGAAGTTCTGAACGTGGAAACTGTCCGCGTCGAATCACAATCACCTCTGATCAACATATCTGGTGCTTTTTGTTCTCTGTCTGTGACTGCTGCACAGAGACGTCGCTATCAGCTATGAGTGTGGTGTTGCAGGCCCGCGGACACGACCCCACCACACCAACGCTACGTCATACGCCTCAGAGAAACATTCGTCTTCAGCATCACAAACACATTGCATGATGTGTATCTTTGCCGAGTCAAACACCGGTGGCACGGGTGATTCTACAAAAGATCAAATGCACGTTGTGTGTTGATCACAGTGAGGCTCTTCGGCATTTGATCAACCAAATCAAGTTGCCGTGAGCCCCTCTCCGTTGCCGATCCGCGTACGTAAGAAGCGCTAACCCACAGCTTTCTCCGCATCACATGCGGGGCCTCACTATCAGCTGAGCGAAGCTCTGTAACCGAAACCTACTCATTCAAAAGTCGTCGTGAGGGCATCAGGCAGCTGTTGCCTTGGTGCCTCCAGTGCGAGAGAAAGTGTAGGCAAGCGCCAGGCAACGACATGTCTGGCGATAACGTGCGCCGATGACGCGTAACAGCACGCCTGAAGCCAAAACTCAAAACACTATTAAATAGAACAAGGCTGAAGTATCGCACATCTTCTTCAGTCTTCTAATTGTCTGTCTTGACCGCATAACATCCACAAGAAACAGCACAGGTCCTCCGAAGCTATACCCACAACAAAAAATCCATCATGGAACTCAAGAACATCGCCATACTCGGAGTATGTTGACCACCTAACATCTAGTTCATATCTGACCATCGCAAAACAGCCTGGAGGCAATGTAGGAAGCGCCATCATCAACGAGCTTTCAAGGGACGGCCCACGCTTCAACATCACAGCAATAACGCGACAAACCTCAACCTACACTCCACCAGAAGCATCCGATATCACCCACAAGACCGCAGACTACACCTCACTGTCATCTCTCACCGAAGCATTCACCGGCCACGATGCAATTGTAAACTGCATCACTGGCGGCGCCACGCAATACGACTCATCAAAGCTCATCATCGACGCTGCCGTAGCAGCAGGGGTAAAGTTCTTCTTCGCAAACGAATTCGTCGGCTATGTCGACAGCCCACAGTTCCATCGCATGCCAGAAGCTTTCACTGGCGCCAAGATCAGGATCCGGGAGTATCTAGGAGAGCTCGCTGCTACGGGTAAGATCACATGGACGAGTTTGAACGGGGGACCATTCTTCGATATGTGGCTTATGAAAGGACCTGCGGGCTTTGACGTTGCGAATCGACGGGCGAGGATTTATGGGACGGGGGAGAATTCGTTGTTTTGGACGCCGTTGCCGGTTATTGCGCGGGCGGCGGGGAATATATTGAAACGTCCGAATGTTGTTGCGAATCGGCCTATCTACATTTGTCCTTTCGCCAAGGGGGAACTCACTCAGCGATCTCTTTTGACAACACTTCAAGATGTGTTGGACGCCGAATTTGCGATCGAGGAAGTCGACCTGGTGAAGATCAACAAGAACGCGAGGATTGCTTTAGAAAGAGGAGAAGCAGGCAAGGCTATGAAGGGCTTAGTAGTCAGTAACCAGTTCTACGAAGAGGACAGCGGGAACGACTTCAGTCATTTGATACAGAACGCCGTTGTGGGTGTGGACTTGATGAGCGTGGAGGAGGCGGTACGGGATGCTATTGCACGGTGGGGACAGGATTGTCCAATCGTAGAGAGCATGTTTAGGGTAGAAGCATGCGAGATTTAGATCAACGTAGACCAGGGAATGGATGCAAACAAGTTCAAAGCTCTTTGGTCTTCGAGTTCGTCAGAACACAGATGCTCGAGTACTACACAGACTATATGCATATCAGACGCTCCTTTTCATGCAGCTGTGACGTCATGCTGCATCTCCCCATGCACGTCAGCGCAGCACTGTAAGCCGAACAACTCACCCACCCCCCTCTAATAGTGAGAGTCCAAGCTCTATCAACCCTACGAGGCCTTCACCCACACAGAATCGTACTTGACTCACAACAATGGCCCACCTTACACGCCAGGAAGCCTTGGACTCTGGCACCGTCTCGCCAACATACAAAACAGCATTCGAAGCACAACCAGTGGATATAGGCGGAACCGATATCTTAGGTTGGCGGGCTTCTCGTGCTGAGCATCTTCAAAGACTTCGCCATCTATATCCAATCCCCGGACCTATCCCGGACTTGGTCACTGAGACGTTGCACAATGTGCCGACAAGAGATGGTGCGAGCATCAGAGTCAAGGTGTATCAGCCCATTGCAGGGCCGCCAGAAAGCAAGAGCAGTCCGTTGATCATGATGTACCATGAGGGAGCGTGGATGATGGGAGATTTGACGGATGAGGAACTGAATTGTAGGATGTTTAGTAGGGATCTAGGGGCGGTGTGCGTGAATGTTGAGTACCGGTACGCTCTCAACCCTTTTCCGCATCTGACGTCTAACATCACTGATTTCCGCCAGCCTCGCACCAGAGCACCCCTTTCCCATCGGCGTGAACGACTGCTACGACGCCCTCCTATGGGCAATCTCCAACGCCTCAACCCTCAAAGCAGACCCCAAACGCGGACTCATCGTCGGCGGCGCATCAGCAGGCGGAAACATCGCCGCCGTCCTTGCACTGCTATCCCGTGACAACAACCTCGATCCTCCCATCACCGGCCAGTACCTGTGCGTCCCAGCTCTCCTACCAGACACCAATGTCCCGCCCCATCTTGCACACCTCTACGAATCACGACTGAAGAATATCTATGACCCTGTGCTCAAAGGCGGTCTGCAACCTGGTGGTGTCGAGGCGATCTATGCTCCTGAGACAAAGTCGCCCCTTTGGGACCCGTATGGCCATCCTTGTGGGCATAAGGGCGTCGCGAAGGCGTTCTTCCAGGTTGGTGGGTTGGATCCGTTGAGGGATGAGGCGGTGTTGTATGATCGGAAGTTGAGGGACGATGGGGTGTTGACGAGGTTTGAGTTGTATAGCGGATATGGACATATGTTCTGGACCAACTATCCGCGGTTGGAGGAGAGTACGAAGTTTGTGGAGGATACGTTGAGGGGTGTGAGATGGTTGCTGGAGAAGCAATGATAATACGCTCGGACTTCAACGTTGGAGGTCATGACCTTGATATTCACGAGGACAGATACATTACGTTATGACGAAAGCAGTATCAACGTATGGTGTTGCAAGAAATTCGCCAAACATGACGCCGTCTACCCACACTGCATCAACCAGCTTGTACGAGCCGTTGTTTATGGGCGCAACATTAGTGGTATGCTGCATGAGGACAGGATGCAAAGAACGTCTCCACTCTGTATGTGGCCTGATCCAGATCTTTCGTACTTTGTGTCTATGTAGAATGAATGGGTTCTTCCCCCGTGGGTTACAAGGCTTCCTGCCGTGGCTGTAACGACACCAATGATCATGCCAGCATACGGTGATACTCCCAGCTTCAACATCGTGGCAAATGACATCCATGGACCGGTCGGAGGATTCGGACATGGTATACAAGTAATGGTGCAACAGGTAATGGTTCTGGTCTCGATGGGCCTCCTCTAGTTCTTGCTTGCCTTGCAGAGAGAAATCGAGGCACCAGAATATGCTGAGGCTAGATGTTCGTCTGATATTGTATGCCAGAAAGCCCAGGTGTCCATGCTACTTAAAGGTCTGGATAGTTACCGTCTGATATGCCCAGTCTATCGATTTTGTACAATCCGGCTCAAGAGTGAGTTCTGGAGGAGGAACATGCGCGACATCGGTTGTTTGGTCGTAGAGTGGGTAATGTATTCTTTGTAAATAGGCCTGATGAGCATGCCGAGTAAAGCAAAGGCATGATCCCTGAGATCACACGCTTCTCGAGTCGCTGAAACTTAGAGAAGTTTCCTCCAACCAAAGCCATGGGATTCTTGGAGATGGCGACGCCTCGCGCCACTGAAACCATGAGGCTAGCAACAGTGGGGTCGTCTTTCTTTGATCTTTCCAGCCACAAGGTAGCGAACAAGAGTTGTGACCATTGAACCTCTCTGCTGCCACAAAGAACCACAGAATGGCTGCTGGCCGCCAGATGTGGAAGGGTTGAGAGTATTGATTGATCTTTTTGAGCTATGGCAAGGATCGATCGGGACTATATAGTAGAAGGGAATAGCCGTCAACGGGTATGGAAGCAAACCCGAGCTAACCGAATGAGCTGGACAATCAGTGCAGCGGACCGGTAGCAAATACTGCAACGGACCGCTGGCAAACACTGCAACAGACCGCTTGCGAACACCAGACTTCCCTGCATTGTCCACACACGACTCCACCATGGCCTCTCCAAGACCGTCTTGATCCGACGCATCTCTTCCTCGTTTGGCGCATAATCATAAAGATAACTATTCTCTCCTCCTCCCATGCCCTCTATACGGTCCATCGCGCGGTCGGTGTCATCATCCAACTCACCAAGGCAAATGATCGTATTCTTGGCCCGCGAGTAAATCTGATACATGCGGTTGACCTGATCGTTCTTGTCGCTTGAGCTTGACTGATCGGTGCAGACAGCATCCACCCACAGATCTCGGAGATTATATTGATGCTGTATTCGACGTAGAGCGCTGAACGAGTTGTCCGTTATTGGGAGATGATATCCTTGAATTAGCAAGGAAGTGGCCTCTAACGAATCTCCCCATACGTATGACAGTGCTTCGTAGGATGGTGATAGGGGCTTGAGGTCGGCTACGTACAGGCTGGCTTCAAGCGTTGCATCTTCTTTAGCTGACGGGTACACAGTCAAGATTCGAATTTACTCTGATGTGTAGTCGAGTGGATGAGCACGATATAGATTGTTCGGTTCGGTGCTGAGAGCTTCCGTAGCTGGCGACTGCCCTATAGCTGGGAAATGCTTCATGGCTTTGGAATTTTGAAGGAGCAATTTTGGTAAGAGCAAAGTTGTGACGGGAAAGCAGTAAGGGCTGTGTGAAGAAGCAACTGCGTATGTATTATGCATCGAGTAAGAGGAAGTACGAAAGTAAGACAAAAGCTAACCCTTGTCTTTGACCTCTACTGAAAGGTTGCATAAAAGACCAAATTGGTCTTACCTAAGTCTGTAGGACATGTACAAGGGAGGTCTACGAAGGAGTTGCTTATTGGGCAGTATTGTCGTGCAATGGCACGAACACCTCATCTTCATCTTGGAAGACAATGACACTTACCCGGCAGTCTCAAGCCTCCCCTACGGATCAGCCCAACTTTCAACAGATCCACGATCTACGTAGTAAATTTCCCCCATGTTTCACTTATGTGAAGTTCTTTCAACGAGCTGTATCGTGCAATGTTGTCTGCTAGTGCGCCCAAAAATTCCACGAACCTCATTTCAAGGGGCACACAGGTTAATTGCAGTTTCTCTAGTTTCAGAGGCAAGCTATCCGGTGTACGTAGTATGGTACTGTCTCTGTATTCGTCAACGGTCTCAACCAGAAACAGTCCGTATGGAATCTCGAGATGTCGCAACTTGGTGAAATTTGCCCAAGCATGAGCGGTTTCAGCCCATCGAAACTTGCTGCCTCCGAAGCTGGATCATCATATACAAGGATCCGGAGAGTCCTCAAATTTGAAGCGACATGTACCAGGTACGCGAGAAGATTACTAGTCTGCGCGTGTTCCGCATCGTTGTGCTACGCACCTACGAGCAGCTCCGTATCGTCAAAGTGTTTGAAAATGTGCAAGGCGAGGTGCGTCAAATGATCGAAGCCCCTTAGAAAATTTGGCGTCGCGCCGTAGAAGCCGCCATTATGCAAAGTCCATGTAGAGCATTCCACCTCCATAGTTCGGACTGGCGATTGTTGTGGCAGCCGACCGTTCTAGCTCATGTCGCTATCAAAGCCCACCTATAGGTACTCCAGTTTGGGTAGCTCGCACCCTCGATGTTCAATGTGACCAGCGGTAAACCTCAAGCGCTTACTACTCAGACCGAGTACACGAGTGATGGCGGTGTCTGCACCGAACATGTTTTCAAGAGGCCATTCGGAGCTACACCCGTTGTATTTGTCTAAGACAGGGACAAGGCCACTGTGGAGACTGTACACTTCATACCGAAGATGTTCCAGATTGGTTAGATTCCGGAGGATAGCGCCAGTCAGTGTAAACTTGCACACCTGAACAAATGCGTTCTCAAGTATGTTATCAAGCCGATGAGGAGCAGCAAGAGGTAGCACTACAGTATCGACAATGACCTGCTGCACTTCAGGAAGGCGGCCATCATTGGCTAGTTGTGGGTAAAGCTCGATGCTGCGGACTTTGGCTGCGAGCATTGTGTTCTGAAGTATTGTTCTTAGGAAGGTAAAGATTGGTCGTCTGCGTCAATTTCGTGCAGCGAAGGTACGACAGGGTGTCGATAGAGTACATCATGTCCAGCTCGAGCAAAATCCTGAGCGACAAGTGCGAATGAGCATAAGTCGTCTTGATCGAGATGCGATGCAGTCGTCAGCAATACTAGATATGGATCGTTATTCATGACGAATAGAGTGGAGAGGGAAGCATATGCAAGTGGGCTATACTCATTGTAAAAAAAGATGTTTCTTTCGTTCCAGCAAACATAGTGGGAGCGGATTGTCCGTTCTGGATGACTTGTCGCTGGACAAAGATGTTCGATGTTTGCATCGAGTCCGCCTTACGCAATGCACAAAGCGATAGAATTCTTGGTCTAACATTATCCTCTCTGCCTAACGACGAGATGGGACGTCGTGTAGGTGACCATGCCCATAGCGACGCCGCAAAGTGCCGATATCTGTGCTGTTATCAACGGCGATAACAATGGTGGTATCGAGAAGCAGTCCCTGGCTACTTTCAAAGTCAGCAGTACCTAAAATTGTGGTGTTGACACAAGTGGTGGCGGTGAACGTTGTTCTAGCCTTCAAATGTCCTAGGGTGTGGAAGCCACGAAGCTGCTTGCGCATCCAAGACAAGTAGCCCGACCGCCAAGAAGTCTTCTCAAAAGCTTGCGACGACTTGACAGCGCGTCCGCAAGGCTGTGAAGAAGGGCGGAACCAATGAACGCTTAATCATTATCCACCTGGCATTGGCCTGAAGCTAAAATGAGGCACTCGGCCCGAGCCCTGACCTCATTGTTAGGTCCGCTTGTTTCAACAGCCTCAGGCGTACGTACGCATCGAAACAAATTGCAGGGTCGTGCAAATCATCAACACAAACACGTCTTGTCGGATTGGTTGCACTGAGTGGAAACACCCCAGACATCCACCGCGAAATGCAAGCCACGAGCTGCGAGTCGTTACACGCGTTCGCGGCGAACGGCTCGAAATGTTGTTGTCCATCTTTCTAGACGCTGAAGGGGTAGATGCCGCGTCATGAGCTGTGACAATGTCGAACAGCATGGAAGACAGGACTGTGGGGCCTTCTGATGAAGTTGAAGTATAAGACTGTTCGGCTGCGAAGTTCAAAAGGCATCCAACGCATCCAGCTTCAGTCCTTCACTTCAGCATCCTGATTCTCATCACTTCCTCTTCGCAAGACCACTAATCACAATGGTCAACTTCGCTTCCATCCTTAGCGGCGCCGTTGCAGCGTCCTCGCTGATTGGCTGCGCGGTCGCCCACCCAGGCGAGAAGCACGACATGGCGCACGTCAAGCGCCAGATCGATGCTCGTCAGCTCCGCGCTGCAGCTGCCAAGCGCTCCCTCGAAAGCTGCCAGGACTCGCTCCAGCACCGCTCGCTGATGCAGCGATCGCATGCCAGGCGTTCGGAGGCTCTTAGCGCCCTTCGTCAGAAGCGCGGCATCAACGGTAACTCCAAGAAGTTCCGCCGTGATCTTGCTCTCCTTCAGGAGTTCGAGGCCATCAACCACAACCAGACTGGTGTCCTCGACTACTCCCCCAACACCGATGTCTCGACCATCTTCGCGGCCAACACCTCTTGCATTCTTACACCTGAAGTCACTGACGGACCTTACTATGTCAATGGCGAGCTCATCCGCAAGGACGTCAAGGAAGGCCAGCAAGGTATCGACTTGTATCTTGAGGTCCAGTATGTCGATATCACCACCTGTCAGCCTGTGCCTGAGCTGTTCGTCGACGTCTGGAACTGCAATGCCACTGGTTACTACAGTGGTGTCGAGTCAGGCCAGGGTGGTCTGAACACCACCTTCCTTCGCGGTATCCAAGAAACCGATGAGGACGGTGTCGTAGCTTTCGAGACCATCTTCCCTGGTCACTACGACGGACGTGCCATTCACACCCATCTTCTCACCAAATCCAACGTTACAGTCCGTGAGAACCAGACTACTCAAGACGGTGCCGTCACCCACATCGGTCAGCTCTTCTGGCCTGAAGAGCTCAGGTCCGAGGTCGAGGCCACTTCCCCGTACAACGAGAACACCCAGGCTATTACCTCCAACGATGATGACATGTGGAGCATCGTCCAGGCTGAGAACGACTACGACCCGTTGCCGCAGTTTGTCTACGTTGGTGGCGACATCACCGATGGTCTCTTTGCTTGGATCCAGATTGGCGTGAATGCTTCTGCCGATTACACCGATGATGACTACTACAACGTTGCTGCTACCTACCAGGCCGGCGGCGGTGTTGCGAACGCTGACTCTGGCATGGTCGGTGGCGGTGGTGCTGGTGGTAACGGCACTATGGGCGGCAACGGTACGACGCCCAGTGGCTCGCCTCCTTCCGGCGCGATTCCCTCCTCTACCGCTTCTGCTTAAGATGGGGTAGTCGCATTGCAAACTTGTCGATTCCGGTCTCAGAGCTTTGAGTCTGAGCACCCTTTGATCAGAGCGTTCAGTGGAGTTCTTGTTACCTGTTGTACATATATACTAGTGTCAGATAGATGGGGAGGTTGTGTGGCCTCAAAATTGATCACAATGAATGCGGTGACGCGTTTCGCGCTCGCCAAGCTTGAACCAACCTCTTATGGCTTAGTATTGACGCGTCTTTGCATCCACAAGCACACCGCTAAAAATTCGAAACATAGTCTCTAGCACTTCCATGGTATTGTACTGAAGATCAGTGCCGAACGCTTGTTCTGCGTGCAAGCCGTCCTTGACGTAGGTGCGAGGTCGGAAGATCCTCTTCATCCCTTTGTGAACTCAGCCGATGAAACATCCACGACATAAGTCCAAAGGCTTATATACATATAAGCACAGACTATTTTGACTGCGGTTGTATTTATGCATCACGTTCTGTACGCTCAAACTTGATCTAGTGAATGCCAATACACTTTGTGGGTACGATACTGTAGTCGACCGTTATATTGTAAACGGAGTAGATCGTTGGCTGTCCCGTGATCATTAAGACAAGACTTGGAAAGAATCTTCAGTAACGCGTCCGGCGGCATGTGACAGCTGGTGCAACACAGGCATCCCAACCCGTGCTTTTCTTGCCTCTTACTATCTTGACACTTCAATGTAACTGTATGTTATTGTTGACCACTCAATAGCAAGTATGAGATCTGGTAGGGCGAGAGCCTGGCTCATTCGATCCAGATTGAGATATCATATTTGGTGTCGTCACAGCAACACGAAGACCGTGACGCTCTCTGCGAGAAACTTGGACCAACGCCTCCATGTTCGCAGGTTTGTAAAGCTTTGCATGGTTCTTGAAGCTATCAAGGCGAGTCCACACTTCGTAGGCCCTGACGCATCCATCGAAAGCGCACCTGTAACTTTGACCAGCTTCGTTGTGAATTGTATTGAGATGTCTCTTACGATCCGCAACGTTCGTGAATTCTGTACGTAGATTGTGTGTGGTCTGTGATCTAAGCTTATATACATAGAGTAGTGGGCTGATTGGTCGCAGGATGATCCACATGACCATGCAAGGTACCCTGGGCTTACAAATTCCACCCCGCATTTACGATAAGGACATGATGGCCTAGAGCTCGAGTCTTTGGAGACGCCTATCCCAGATTTGTACGTTCCACCGTAATGAATTCGCTGTCCGTTATAAGTCCATCCCCTGGAAAGTAAATACTATTATTATTGATCGACGATTGTTAGTTTGTCTCAAAATCAAGGCGAAAAAGACTGCCTGTGCGATTCAGCAGCTGATGGTATTCGACCGGATCGAACCATTATGGGTCTTCCTCAACAGCCCTGCGGCAAGACTGACTGAACTGTGCAACAGGGTCCGCAGAGTCACAACGAAGCTAACCATGGTCCACATCCAGGACGTTAGCAAGAACTGCGTGTTTGTTGAAGTCGTACTTTAAGCAAAGCTTGTAAGCACTATTTTTGTCACGGGTATATACTGTTTGGTTCCCAGAACCCATATCTATTGGGTTACTGTACCTTTTTGGTCAGTGTAGCTCAGGTGGGACCAAGCCAAGCCCTCCCAATTTTGTTAGTTCTTGAGCATGAGCAAGGTTGCAGATGATCAGATGGGTTGGGTAGTTGTATAGTCAAAGACCTTTGCAACTGAGGTGGCAATGAAGAGTATAGAATAGACTATCTGTTTCAAGAGCAGGGTTGAGATGCAAAGACAAGCTTGATTGATGAGGTTGAACACACTGCCATAAGGGCAATATGTCTATGTGCTATATACTGAACGTGTCTACATGGTGATCTGTGTAATGGATGAATGCACTGCCCTCAATATCAATACTACGTGACATCTCCAAGTTATACCAAAAGGTAAGCACAAGAATACTTAAGCAAGTATTCTTTGTGTAGTATAATATATATAGTGCCAGCCAGCTAGCTTTGCCTCTAGCTGCTGTAAGCTAGTCTGCCCCACATGTGAGAGGGGGCCAGCTAGGGATACCAACTGCTCTCTGAGTGTAACACCTACGACCGTATCCGCCCCAATACCGATGTGGTTCCTGCAGGTCTCAGCACACCGCTCCTTGTTTGTCATGAACTACCTCCTTGTCACCTGGACAAGGGTACTTCCGATTCCCCTCCGAATGGGATACTTAATGACTCTGATACTGTAGTTTAGATAGAATAGTTTTTCTGTATCCTTTTGTACAAGACCTATAGGTGTAGGGAATTCAATCCTAGTGTTATCAACATCCCAGCACTCCCATATGCCTTGTAGTGGACTCACACTTACTTTGGACATCTTCCCTACTGGCCTGTGTCGTTACACTGAGATGGAAGGATTGGTGGAAGGATGGTTCAGGCTTGTTGGAGATAAGGGTGTGGAAGAGACCAAGTGTGGGGATACCACAAGTGGTAAAAAGGATAACGTTACAACCACAGACTTAATAACGCCACAATACGGGACAGGCGCTGCAGGATTACAGCAGCAGCAAGGGGTAACAAGAGTCCGCTCCTGTCCACGCCACACTTTAGTATTGTAATTGGTGGTACAGCGCTCACGTGACTGATCAGGCAGGCTTGGCATGATCAGGACAATCAGTGATCAGTGTGATCATTGATCAGTCCAATCAGTGCTCAGCAGGATCACTGATCACTGCAATCAGTACTCACAGAACCACCAATATGCTCACTCTCATTACAGTATATAGCACGTAGACACGCTGCCCTTATGGCATTGTGTTCAACCTCATCAATTAAGTTTGTCATTGGATCTCAACCAACCTTCAAGCTAGACAGATTGCCTGTACTACTCATTGTTACCCCAAGCCATCATTAGGTGTTTCACCCAGGCAACTTACCCCTACTGTTCCAGAACCAGAGCTCATCCTCAAGAACCAATCGAATAGTGCTTACAAGCTTTGCTTAAAGTACAACTTCAACAGTGTCATGTGAGTGCTTGTCAATGAGCATGACGTGGTGCTCATCAACAAGCATGGTACAATGCTTGTCAACGAGACGCAATCCATCCCAATACGCCAGGACCAAATCTGCTTGTCAATGAGCAGATCTTGTAACACCTATGACCGTATCCACCCCAATACCGATGTGGTTCCTGCAGGTAGCATGACGCAACGTTCATCAATGAGCATGACGCAATGTTTGTCAACGAGCATGACGCAATGTTCGTCAACGAGCATGACACAATGTTCATCAATGAGCATGATGTGATGTTTGTCAATGAGCATGACGCGATGTTCATCAACAAGCATGGTACAATGCTTGTCAACAAAGCGCAATCCATCCAGATAGGCCAGGACCAAATCTGCTTGTCAATGAGCAGGATCTGGTGGACTGTATATAAGCAAGTAGGAACACAATCCTTATGGTTTGTGTTCAACCTTGTCAATCAACTTTGTTATTGGAATCTCAACTGCTCTTGAGCCAGACAGTCTACTCTGTACTACTCATTGCACACAAGCTGTCGTTAGGTATTTCACCCAGGCAACTTACCCTTACTGTTCCAGAACCAGAGCTCATCCTCAAGAACCAATCAAGTAGTGCTTACAGGCTTTGCTTAAAGTACGGCTTCAACACGCCCCTGCACAGCTTTGTATTTTTGGGGCTTGTGACGCAAAATCCGGCTTTCTTTTTGCTTCATTGTGTGGTGGTTGTGGACTTATATAGGGTGCAAAGTGTGGGTGTTCATATGTACAAACATCAGATTGGGTGGGGTTGGCCATACCGTGTCTGTGCGGGTGCCGCCCGTGTTCGCGTGCCGCCCGCCCCAATGCCTTCACAGTACACTCAAAAACAAGGCTATAGAGCCACACAAAATAGATATTATTGCAATATTTTTGGTTGTAGTAGTCTATAGGCCTATGTAACAAACTTTCTCACTCAAACTTTTTGCGTGGAGCAATTTTGCCACCTCTGCTGTTGTACTTGGCTGGTGGTGACAGGGAAGGCTTGCAAACAACAACCTGACTATGGGCAGCTGCACCACTGCAATTCTGCTTCTTTCTAGGTGCTGCAGCCTGTGAAGCCCTGCGCTTGCCTCTTTGGGATAATTGTATGGCTTTTCCAGTGTTGCAAGATTGCTTTTGATGCTCTTGTTCAGCTTTGCGCTCAGCTTGTTGTTGCTCCTTTACACGCTTCCTCTCCGCAGCTTCCTCTTTCCTTGTCTTGGCCACCTCTTTCTTCTCAGCATCAAGCTTTTGTTTAAGCAGTCTGTTGGACTCACGCAGCTCACGCTCAGTAGCTTTGCGCACTTTTTTATCCCTCTCTTCTTGCTCAAATATACTCTAGAGGTGTTGTGCTTCATTAAGCGCACATGGAGACCACCATTGAGTCTTAGCACGGGTCTCTTTGCACTGAATAAGTGGCAAAGGCTTGCCCTGTGTTGGCTTACTCCAAGCAGTGTTAAGAGCAAACTGTAAGCCATCTTGCTCTACTTTGAGTAACTCATTCTCAACAGAGAGATGATGAAGGGTTACACGCAGCTGTTACGATCCATGAACAACTCGCAAAACAACACTGAACAAACAGGACTACGCAACGAAGACGAGAGCAGCCAAGGAACTGCAGTATCGATTGACCGAGCTGTGAAGCCGCGTCAGTGATACCCAGTATAATCAACACTTGCAATATCTGTTATACAAACCGAGATTGTACGAAAAGGACTGCAGTGGATACAACGTGGATCTTGTACACAAATGATC